ACTTTGGTCATATATTGAACTTTGCGTCAAGGATAAAAGAATCAACAGTGACCATGCCTATTGAAAGAACTGACAAAATGCAGATGAACGTGCCTTGAGGATTCACTTCTGAATGAGTTCATTAGAAGTGCATCTCACTGGTCTTAGCCAAGCAGTCGATACGACAGAATCTAAATCTGTCTGTGTGGGTTCAAAACCTACCAAAGATCAAATTATCAAGTGATCGCCAGAGTCAAAATCTGTTTCTCTTGGAATGTGCGGGTTTAAAACCTGCCAATGATAACATTTTTATTCCATGAAATCGCACCTTGACATTTCCTCATGATTGATATATGTTTGTTTTTTTCCCCTGTTAGAACACACCTTGACATCGACCCATGTGTACTTTCATGAGAGCTTCATATCACTGGTCCTAGCCAAGTAGATGTTGCAACAGAGTCAAAATCTGTTTCTTTCAAACCATGCAGGTTCAAAACCTGCTTGCAAAATATTTTGCAGCGTATAGATTCTCAGAGACCCAAGTTCCAAGTGCAAGCAAATAGGGACAGTTAGACATTTTGGAGTATTCATCAAAGTGATGTCATCCGTGTCAGTTTTATCTTTTTCAATGCAACCCAGGTGTGACTGCTTTGTGCTAGTTTTGCAGCAGAATGTAGCGAGAATGCTTCTGTTGCATCTATACATTGTGGTCTGTAGCTGGGAGTATCCTTCAGCACGACATAAAAATAAAATAATGAAAATATACCAGCAGTGTGTTGGATTGGACAACAGATGGACGTGTAATGTAGGGCGCGCACAGAAATGCAGTGCTTGGTATGGGACAGGATGTGATTTCATAAAATAAAAATGTCATCATTGGCAGGTTTCAAACCTGCGCAGTCCAAGAGAAACAGATTTTGACTCTGATGATCACTTGCATTTTCATCTTTGACAGGTTTTGAACCTGTCACAGACAGATTTGGATTCTGTTGTATTAACTGCTTGGCTAAGACCAGTTAGATGCACTCCCATTGAATCCATTCAGAAGTGAATCCTCAAGGTACATTTTGTCAGTTCTAACATTAATTTCTAACATCACCCTTGAGCTCAACCATATGCGATCCTTCCATTGTCAGTTGTCACTCGTGACCCGGTTGTTAATCCCAAGACATCACAAACATCATTGGCCCACCGTGATGGTCTGTCATCAGCACTTTTTCAAGGAGATTCTTAGGTAAACAGGTCTTGAAGTTAAGAGCCCCAGCAGAAGTCTGTGTCTTTTGCAATAAGAGCAGTATACAAGAATCAAGGGTGACCATGCTGTTGAAAGAACTGACAAAATGCAGATAAATGTGCCTTGAGGACTCACTTCTGAATGGGTTCATTGGAATTGAACACAACTGCTCTCAGCCAAGCGGTTAATACAACAGAATCTAAATCTGTCTGCGTGGGGTTCAAAACCTGCCAAAGATGAAATTGTCAAGTGATCACCAGAGTTAAAATCTGTTTCTCTTGGACCGTGCAGGTTTGAAACCTGCCAGTTGCAACATTTGTTTTCTATAAAAACACGCCTTGAAATATGCTCATGGTCGGTTTGCTTGCAAGCTGATCAAAGTTGTCTTTAGCCAAGTGGTTGTCTCAACAGAATCAAAATCTGTTTCTATTGGAATGCGACAGGTTTAAAACCTGTTGAATGTCGCATTTTTTCTATGAGAACATGCCTTGAATGTTGGCTCATAGACGGTATCTCAGACATTGATCTTCATTGGTCTTGGTCAAGTTGTCGCCAGAGTTAAAATCTGTGTCTCTTGAACTTTGCAGATTTGAAACCTGCCGGATGATGATATTTTTATTCTATGAAATTAAACCCTGATATTTTATCGTGGATAGTTTTCTTCAGAACCCATCATAAATGCTCTTTTCCATATCATTGCCACAATAGATTCAAAATATGTTTCAATCAAAGCCTACAGGTTTGCAATCAGTCAAATGACGCATTTCTCAGATTTTGAATCTATTATGGCAATAACATGGCTAAGACCATTTAATATGAGTTTTTGAGAAAAACTCTTCACTAGGAAATGTCAAGGTGTGATAAAAATATTATCATTAGCAGGTTTCAAACCTGCACAGTTCAAAGAGAAACAGATTTTGACTCTGGCGACAACTCAGGTAAGACTGATGAAGATAAGTGTCTGAGATACTGTCTATGATTCAATATTCAAGGCATTTTTTTTTATAGAAAAAAATGTAATGTTTCACTGGTTTCAAACCTGTTGCACTCCAATAGAAACAGATTTTGATTCTGTTTTGACAACCACTTGGCTAAACACTAGTCTCAGCGGCTTTAAAGCAAACCGACCATGAGCATATGTCAAGGTGTGTTTTCATAGAAAATGAATTTTATCATTGGCAGGTTTCAAACCTGCACCGTCCAAGAGAAACAGATTTTAGCTCTGGTGATCACTTGAAAATTTCATCTTTGGCGGGTTTCAAACCCACGCAGACAGATTTAGATTCTGTCGCATTAACCGCTTGGCTGAGAGCAGTTGTGTGAATCTATTTGTGGCAATAACATGTCAAGGAGTATTTTTATAGAAAATAAAATATGTCATTGACAGGTTTCAAACCTGCATGGCCCAAGAGACACCAATTTTAACTCTAGCAATCACTTGACAATTTCATCTTTAGCAGGTTTTGAACCCACACAGACAGATTTGGATTCTGTCATATCAACTGCTTGGCTAAGACCAGTGAGATGCACTCCAAATGTGCCCATTCAGAAGTGAATACTCAAGGTACATTTATCTGCATTTTGTCAGTTCTAATATTAATTTCCAACATCCCCCTTAAGTCCAATCATATGTGATCCTTCCATTGTCGGTTGTCACTCATGACCCAGTTGTAAAGAATGAGTTTATTGGAACTGCATGTCATATCCCACATTCCGGACCAACATCCGACGACGTTCCCACGCCTCATCTGGACCTCCGGACCTCCTGTCCATGTCTCCAGACCCAATCCTCTAACCGTCCAGATCCTTGTACTCCTGCATCTGATATCCACATCTCTGGATCCCAGGATCTGACCTATGCTTCATATCCGAACCCAAACCTTAAATCAGCACCCATCCCCTTATGGTAATCACCTGTCTCCGGACTCCGGAACATCCGGATCCGACCCGCGTCTATCTTCCATGCCTTTTCCCTTTGTGTGTTCCTTCTCAAGTTAGACTATACTCATTTTCCAGCCCTCATTTCATCTCCGAGTTCATTTCCTATGATCTGTCTTATTTTCTAATACATTTCCACATGCTCGTACATAGCCTTACCCCTCTGCTTACTGATCTGCACAGACTTGCCTCTAGTATATAAACCCCAGTAGATACTCCTGTATTTCCTCAGTCTGAATATTACACATATTAGTCCTCCGACTTAGTAATCATCCATCTCAGGCCTAGGGAGGAATTCCCTAGGCCGGAGCTCCGCTCCTCCGCTCCTCCACTCCTCCGACCCTCTGATCCACCATTCCTCTGATCCACCATTCTTCCAATCCTCCAAGTTTCTGGAAGTTCCTCAGGAACTTTCCCGCGGTCCTCCGGACCTATTCTGCTTCGGACTTTGTCCTTGCAGCCTTTCCTCTGTTTGCTTCTACTCAGGACTTGTCCTGAGTAGCCATTACACATATCCCCATCAGGACGAAACTCCATCATAATTTCCGGAAGTTCCTCCGGAACTTTCCCGCACTCATCCGGAAGTTTCTCACACTCATCCGGAAAGTCCTTCCGAAGTTTCCCACGCTTCTCCGGAAGTCCTTCGGACTTCACTGGACTTTCTCCGGACTTCATTCTGAAGTTAAGGGCACATACTCGGGTAAGGGGCGCAGCGCACAAGCTGAAGCCAAGCCCCTTGGAATCAGTCCTACCCTTTGTGCATGGTCTTAACACTGCATCTCACTGGTCTTAGCCAAGCGGTCGATACAACAGAGTCTAAATCTGTCTGTGTGGGTTCAAAACCTGCTAAAGATCAAATTATCAAGTGATCGCCAGAGTCAAAATCTGTTTCTCTTGGAATGTGCAGGTTTGCAACCTGCCAATGATAACATTTTTATTCCATGAAATCGCACCGGCGAGATCACTGTGTTTCTCTCCAGATGGCAAGGGACTCGCAAGCACGTCATTGGATGGAACAGTCAATATATGGGATGCGGAGACTGGTGCTATCCTCTCAACCCTCCAGTGTAATCTGGGTATGATATTGTGTGTCACCTTCAGCCCAGATGGGCTCAAATTAGTGTCCAGAACATTGCACAACATTTTGGTTTGGGACACAGATAATGCCAAACTTCTATTTGACATCAGGGCTCAGGAGGATTGGACCAGCAACATTGTGTGGTCACCTGATGGCCAGCAACTTGTCTCTGCATCATGCGACAAAGCAATCAAGTTTTGGGACTCAGCGAATGGGACCCAGATCGGTCAACCTTGCACTGGTCACACTCGCAACATTAGGTCACTCGCCATCTCTTCTGATGGTTCCTTCATTGCAACCGCCTCGGACGACTATACAGTGCATCTGTGGAACACAAAGTCACATCAGCAGATACTATCGGTTATCACAACTTTGGTCAACCACTGGTTCGGACACTTTGCAATATCTCACTTAACTCTGCTTCAAATCATATTCTGTCCAACCACATATCATTGTACACTTACATCAGTAGAAAACAAATATCGGTGTAGTCCCAGTGACAGCTACATAGTGCTACATAGTCCCTGTAGTGATCTGTAGTGATCTGTAGCTGAAGTCAGGGCTATATAGAGCTACAGGAGGCACTTGTAGTCACTGTAGTAACTGTAGTCCCTGACTCCCATGTTAGTGGTTGTCGGTCGAATACGTCTAATTTCCCTATACTTTTGTCTGCAACTCCACCGGGACTTTCCAAGTTCTGGCGGTGTTGGGAAAGGTCTTTGTCATCAGACTCAAACATACATTTTCTCTGTGCCCCCCTTGTCTTTTTCCTCATTTCTCCCTTCTCCTCCCAATGTCCTTGTGTGCTACTTGAGCGTCCTGCCTGCAGATGGTGGCCTCAAGCGCTGTAGTGCTATTCTATATTCTAAGGAATCATAGCGGACATACAAAAAGTCTCAAGGTTGATGAATGTATTCAAGTAAAATTCACTTGCCAACTCATACATGTTCGCGCTCGTCCACATAGGATTGACCGATTGACCCATCTTTGGTATTAGGTGACATGGACGAATAATTTCGTCAACATGTATCATGGCCCCATTCCGGCGCAAGCAACGAGTTGAACGTGAGACTTGACGCAGACCAGTTGTCTGGTCTGCCTCTCTGAATGGCGTGAACCATTCAATGTAGGCAAGGGGTCGCGAGTACACGCCAAATTGATGAGGCAGTGTAAATATTGCGCGGACCTGTGCAACTCGGACTGCAGCTGTAACTTAGAGTTCGTCATCATACTGTGTGAATTGGAAGACATTGACATACTGTCCAGGGTGAGTAGTACCTTTGATGCTTGGACACCATTGCTACTAATCAATGCCATGTCAAATCATGCGGGGGAGCCTGGCTTCCGTCCAGAAGGCGAAGGAAGCACTTCAGGCATTGTCCTCACCCGCAGGCACTTGGGAGACTCGGATACACAAGGGTCAGGGGGGAGGATGATGACGACTTGTCGGAAAACATCAAAATGATCTTGATAACTGGGCATGATGTGATTGTGTGGGAAATGCTTCTGTAAAAATGACTTGAAAGCAGGTAGAAAATTGATGGTGCCATGGATGGTTTCAAGATGTTGAACAGATTGCCGAGGGTGTGGAGGTGTCTTTGCTAGAACATGAACTATATCTTGTGAAACAACAGGCACCACATCGAAGTCTTCATTCTCAGCATCAGAGTCAGAGTTATACTCACATTCAGGTTCTGTCTGAGTGGAACATTTGGCCATCCATTCGAGGTAAGAGGTCCGCCAGAAGATTGCTTCCTGGCGTTGAAGCCATAATACCATTTGTTCCTCGTAGTCACACTTGTTACTTGCATGGTAAGTGTCTTTAGTGAAGTCGATGTGTAGGCGCTCGGGGAGTTCAGTGTTGAATCTATCAGCAGCACCAAACAATTTGATTGACTGAACGTAGTGAGACAATTGATGCAACTTCGGAATATTGAAATGTTCGCGCACTCCGAGTTCCTTTAAAACATCCTTGTTTGCGTGAAATACTGCGTGTGTTCTCCAGACCGTTGTAGAAACAACAATACTGAGAGGAACAAATGAAGCTCCTGACTGTATCTATAATGTTGTGAGGTCGCGCATTGCCTAGTCTGCTATACTTGAGACAACAAGTGCGTTCAACCCTAAAGGGGAAGCGAGTGCAGCAAGGATCTGGTAGTAGGCGCTGAAGGCGCTACTGGTTGGCTGATGCGAAGCGCGGGAAAGCGCAGGTGCGCGTGTGAGCGGAAATGAGAGAAAGTAAGAGTGAGTTTGCTTAAGTGGTGATATGATGCAAGACAAGAGATGTGAGTGCGAGGTGCCAAGGAATAGATTGCGACTATATTCTGCTAGGTAGTAAGTGGGTAAGTGGGAGGTAAAGTGGAAAGTGAGTTCAGTTCGTAATATTATGTACTGCTGGCGCTTATATACGGCGCCTAAGCACTGTCATGCGGAGCCGAAGCGCTACCGAGTGAGGTATGTAAAGATATATGTAAGTAAGGGTCCATGATAAGAATAAAGGTGGTATGATATGCAAATAAGGGCAAATGGAAATACACGCACTAGAGAACTTGGTGGACAGTGGATGGATGCTTCCAGATGGCGGGTGCTATAGGGCGCTCAAGCGCGGGAAAGCGCGCGTGCATATACCTCGTGAAGTGCGGGAAGTGTGCGTGCATGTTGCGCGGGAAAGCTGCGCCTCATAAGGGAATAGCTGCGGATAGCATACAGAGTGATGCTGCAAGTTCGTGCTGTGTACTCCCTAGTGAAAACTGCCATATCACACAATGAGAGGCATGAGTCTCTACACCGTCCAGGGATTTGCTCATATGTGTATGAAGTTGTGCATAATAGCAAAAATCCAGTATGGACCGTGTGACGATGGCAACTTGACTGTAAATTAAAGCGGGTTAATTCGTTGAAACCAAGCAGAAAGAATATGGCACCTTGGGACTGCACCGGTAATTAGCGCCATGAAAACGTGTTGCATCTCTTTATGCTCGGTTCCTGTCCATTGTTTGATGTTGGATATCCCCTTCTTAAAATGTCGAAGACCAGGATAGTCCGGAATGGAGAATGGTCTTGAAGCGAGCGTCAATTTCGTCTTTGCCCACAATGTCGAGACACCATTTGACAAGATGGTCTTTGAAGACCCCCTTGTGCAGTTGGTGGAGGAGATCTGGCGTGAACGCCATAAAAATGTTGGTGTGCGGTAAGTTTGCCCAGAAAGGTTTGTACACAGCACGCAGCCCATACTCATCAAATTCTACAGGGTGCTGACCACTCCTCCATCTCTCCAGTATCTCCCTTGTCAACTCCACATCTTGCATCAATGAATTTAGTGGGTTTCCCTGTTCATTGGCTGCAACCAAACATTTAGGGCAATGGTTCTCTTTACAGCAAGAGATCAGGCACTGTTCAGGGAAATCCGCGACATAGGCAGCAAGTATATGGTATACTCGTCGAATGAATGAGTCAGCACAAACCATGTCTATGCCATCCTCACCAGCCGCGATGAGGGGCTCCAGCAGCAGGGACACACAGTGATGGAATAGTCGGTATCCAGCGAGGGAACATGCATCGGAGGTGAAGCAGTCGAGCTTTGTGGCTGGTAGGTACCTAATCAGCACTGTCACACGTGCAGATGTTTGACGTCGTTTCTCCTTTGCAATATTGCCAATTGACAGGTAAACAGGCCATGCAGATTTGTTGCCTCAAAATTGCGATAACATTGTCTTGTCGGAAGCCAGAATGATGGGAGCTATGGTGGCTCCTTCAGGCAGTTCTTTCTGATCTGAAGGTAAGTTCGTTTCTCTTGTTTCAAATCAATGTGCTACTCACTTGCTTGTCCCACCACCAATCAGCCGTCCACATATCATCAATGAGCTGCTGACTGCCTGCTTCGTCCTGGTATGCTCATGATGGTGTATATACCATATGTTCCTTGAATAAAGGATTTCCGATGAGATCTTTGATGCACTCTACAAGGTCACGCATCCAAAGCTCAACATCCTCATGCAGTGACTGTCCGTTCTCGTCTGTTCAATTTCCCTTGACACTAACCTTCTTGCAACTCCAGGCAGGTCCATGCAGCAGCTCATCAACCTTCTGTAGGAATAATCGATTGTTGTGGAATGAAGGTTTTGTGCAGTTTTGTGTCTATTACTATGGTCAGTGCATACTTTATAGTCATCAATACAAAGCTTACTATCGGTAACTTCAGAAATTCATCCGTTCGAGTCTGGCCGAGGCTTTTAACAAGCCACTCTGCAAGACCCCATTCTTCCTTATCGCAAAAGGGAGCCCACTCATCTTCACCTTCACCCTCCTTATATCGCTGATACCTTTCAAAGCCAGTTTGGCCCTCCTTCAGCCCCAGTGAAAATCGACAAGAAGGGGAGGGATACGTGGCAATAGACGTCGAAGGACAGAAGCAAATAGATAGAAATCTAAGAAATTGAAGACGTCAAAAATACAAAATGCAACAAATTGTGCAAAGTTCGAAAATGCAAGTAAACGCAAGGGTCGTTCGGGACAAACTTGCATTTTCGAACTCGTCTTTGCAAAGTTTTCACCGCAACGACATTGCACAACATTGCACATACACAGATATACACTCGCACTCGATCACAATCTTTGCACAAAGTCCCTTGCTCCTACTATCATGGACATCAGCAACCTCAAAGCAGGTATCCACAAAGTTAATTCTAGCAGCAAAGATATCACTATATACCTTTGCGACTGCGAAATCTGCCTATGCAAGAATGGACGGGAGCCCAAGCAGGTCGGTCGAACAACATACTTCCAGCATAGACCTGGCAGGCTAGCGAAGCTGGATTCACTCCTACCTGCATCTGCTCAGGCAATACAACACCCTCTAGTATCTGCTACATCACAGCAACCTCTGTCTACATCAGTACCTCCATTACCTCTTGTCTTGTCTGGTAAACGACACCACAGCATACCTGATATGCACGATAACGATGATTTTGCATCTCCGGGCCCATCAAAGAAGAAAGGACGCACGGAAACTCACCAAAACTTTGTTGATGTGCCGGAAATCTCATACGGCTCAGCACCATATGTGCCGGAGTGTTCCAATGTGAGTAAATCACCATCATTTCGACTGCGACGCCTGCTCATGACACCCTTGAACCCAGGCTGATGTCGACGTCCAGCCTATTGAACCGGACATGAGAGATGGGGTTAATACTGCTGACTCGGATAGTACTCATGGTAATCTAGCTGATCATGTTCGAGATGTTGATTCAAATGAGATTCAGGCGTCCCTAATACTTCTGATCAAGTGCTACAGCCTGTCACAGATGATAATCCGCCCTCCATCGAGGATGACAATCAGCCTTTCTTCAATGATGATCATGAGCCTTTAATCGACAACGATCACGAACCTTTAGTCGACGACAATAGTCAGCATGATAATGAGCCTGGTGACGAGTTTCAAGGAGCAGACCTGGGCCAGGACTTGAGCTCAGCACGTGAAAACCTTGAGGATGTGGGGGAGGGTGGGCCCCAGATGCGAACTATGGGTTGGACAGATGAAGATTTAGAAGAGCTACACCGCATGGCTCGACTCGAGGATGCTCAAGACGCTTTATCATTTATCACAGCACTCCGAAAAGCTTCGCTCAATGACCCTTGTACACATCTTCCTCCAGATGCAATCGATCGCCTTCGTAACCCTCCTCGTGAACTTCCAGACACCACGGATCCTGATCTCATTCTCTCGCTCAAATACTACTTTGCAGATTTGACTGTCAACGCATATGATCTTATCCGCGAGGCAACCATGCAGCATCATCCAGAAGATGATATCTACAGCCATTACCGCATCAAACGCGCAGTCACAGAACTGAGTGGAGTCATTCCGATCACTCATGACATGTGCCTCAATACATGTCTTGCCTTCACAGGCCCGTTTGCTGAGCTCAACGAGTGTCCCCGATGCAGAGAACATCGCTGGGACATGAAAAAAAGCACCCCGGTGAAAAAGGTGGCTCGTCAGACCTTTGATACTTTCCCTGTCGGTCCCCAACTCCAAGCTCTTTGGCGTCACCCTGACCACGCAGAAAAGATGCGATGGCGTGATGAACGCACCCAAAAGATTCTCGAAGAGCTCAGAATCACAGGAGGTATCCCTGACATATACGAAGATATCCTTCATGGGAAACAGTACCTAGAGGCATACCAATCAGGCAAAATCAAGGAGGGGGATTCTGTACTTATGCTCTCCATCGATGGCGCTCAACTCTATGAATCGAAGCAATCTGACTGTTGGGTGTATATTTGGGTCCTATTCGACCACGCACCAGATGAACGCTACCAGAAGAAATACGTCCTCCCTGGAGGTATTATTCCTGGCCCCAAAAAACCAAAAAACCTCGATTCGTTCATGTTTCCTGGTCTCCATCACTTACGTGCTATCCAGACCGAAGGTCTTGTCATTTGGGATGGTGCACGTGAGATCTCATTCACATCACACCCTTTCCTCTTCGTAGCAACTGCTGACGGCCCCGGAATGGTGTTTTTGACTGGCCTTGTTGGTCACCACGGCAAAATGGGCTGTCGCCTGTACTGCGGACTTCCTGGGCGACACAAGCCTGGTGGCTCAACCTACTATCCAGCTCTTCTACGGCCACATGGAGGTGATGCTCATCCCGATGTTCCAATCAATCAGCTTCCTCCTGCCGGATCATTCGACTACGAGCATAACTTGGAGCGCATCATTTGGTGTAGGAATATGGCCGAGTACGAGCAGGCACGTCTTGAGACTGGGATAACGAAGCCGAGTATCTTCTGTGCTTTTGACACTAGCCGAATCTTACTTGTCCCTCTCTGCTTTGGATCTGACATCATGCATGTTGCTGCCATCAACGTCGGAGACTTGCTCATACCTCTTTGGCGAGGTACATTTCGAGCCGACCCCACGGACAATAAAACTCTCTGGGATTGGGCTGTTCTCACCAAGGAAACGTGGAAAGCACATGGAACCGTCATTGCTGACGCAACTTCATTTCTACCTGGTTCATTCGACCGTCCGCCACGTAACCCTGCAGAAAAGATCCATAGTGGATACAAGGCCTGGGAATGGCTGCTGTACCTCTACGGAATGGGACCAGCTACACTGTACGGAATCCTTCCTGACCCTTACTGGACAAATCTATGCGATCTTGTTTGGGGAATGCGTTTGATGCAACAGTACCATATCCCTCGGACTGATCTCGTTGATGGTCATAGGCATCTTCTTACATTTTTACTGCGGTTTGAGGAGATCTACTATCAACGTCGACTTGATCGACTTCACTTTGTTCGACCATGGATCCATTCCTTGTCGCACATTGCACCTGAGACAGCTAACAAAGGACCGCCAATCTGTTCATCACAGTGGACAATGGAACGAACAATTGGCAACTTAGCTCAAGAAATTCGTCTCCATAATTCTTCCGTCTACACCAATCTTTCACAACGAGCTGCACGCCGATGTCAAATCAATGCAATCAAAGCATTTATTCCATGTATCGAGCCTTTGAGCAGCGCACTCCCACGAGGTTCTCAAGACCTTGGCCAAGGCTATGTCTTGTTGCGATGACGGGAAAGGTCTCCTCATGCCACCCGAACCTGTGAAGCCAACGCCATCCTTTCTTATCTTACTGCAAATGAAATTCATGTTACAAGTGCACCTCCAGTGACAAGGTGGGCTCGTCTTCGCCTCCCAAATGGACAAGTGGCTCGATCTGCATGGAAAGAAAATGCCATGACACGGCAGCCAAGGATAGCACGAATGGTGAAGGTGCATTTTTCCCCCTCAACTAGTATTATATGATGTAAACTCATGTATCGCAGCTATTGACTGACGGGAAGATCACCATCGCAGAAGTTCTATTTTATTTCAACATGTCAGTCCATGATGAAGAGAAGACATTCGCAATGGTGTCAGAGTTTGGTTCACCACATCCTGAACTCCTTGAAAGCTCGTTCCAAACAATCTTCGCATGTCATTATCAGGGCGATGCTTCGCTAAAGCTCATTGAAGTTTTTACTGTACAATCCGTCGTGGCTATGATCCCACATCAATTTCCGGGTATCGCTGGTGTTCTTTTCTATCTTGTGGAGAGACCAGGACTAGATATCATCAAAATGAGTGGCATTGAAGAGCATATACCCGACGAAGCATAGGTACATAGTAGACATGAATAAAACGATACATCTTCTTTGCCTGAAACTTTGCCCGAAAAAGACTACTTACTATCGCAGAGAGCTTGAAGCTCTCGCTTGATCTCACGAACAGCACGAAACCTGTCATCATTCCCTGATCGGTCATACCACGCAGCATCTTCCTCCTTCGACACATACTTCCAATAGATTGACGTAGGGGGGGGAGGACTTGGTGTTGCGAAGATAGGCTTGTGTACTGGAGTTGCGACAGTTGGTTCGAGGTTATGTGCGTCCGGTTCGCTTTCGGGCTCCGTAATGCTATCCGAATCACAGATGGGTGCAAGGACAGTAGGTGGGGCTGTTGTAGGTGCGTCCGGTTCGCTTTCGGGCTCCGTAATGCTATCCGAATCACAGACAGGAGCAAGGACAGTAGGTGGGGCTGTTGTAGGTGTGTCCGGTTCGCTTTCAGGCTCCGTAATGCTATCTGAATCACAGACAGGAGCAAGGACAGTAGGTGGGGCTGTTGTAGGTGCGTCCGGTTCGCTTTCAGGCTCCGTAATGCTATCTGAATCACAGACGGGTGCAAGGACAGTAGGTGGGGCTGTTGTAGGTGCATCCGGTTCGCTTTCGGGCTCCGTAATGCTATCCGAATCACAGATGGGTGCAAGGACAGCAGGTGGGGCTTTTGGTGTGAGGTTATGTGCGTCCGGTTCGCTTTCGGGCTCTGTAATGCTCTCCAAATCACAAACGGGAGCAAGGACAGTAGTACTGATTATTACTGGTGTGTTAGAAACAGCATTTGAGAAAAGATATGATACTACAAACGTGACTTGACCAAAGATGCGCTGTCTCATTAGAGACTCCTTCTCTGGGTTTGCCTTCCAGTATGCAGGGTCGAGGAGAAGATCATCCGATGAGCTCAAGAAAGGTGTGTCAGAGCGCTCTGACCAGTTCTCTGACACACACAAGCTTTGATAATGAATAGTACATTAGAAATATTTCATAGTAGATAGTGAACATACCTAGTGTCAGCCTCATAGCCATCGATGTCAGGTTCGGAGCACATATCAAAGAAAATTTGTACAGCTTCTGGTATCATGGTAGAGTGAGGAACTTCGATGTTGTGCACGTTGTGATTGTATAGTAAGGACTTCATTGAATTTCCTTTCTTGACTTATGTAATTAGCATACACCCTTACACCATTACTATCATGTCGACGATATCGTTCGAAACATCAATTGATCCAGCGTTAACCGGAAACCCACATCTTCATATCTCTCAAGCAAACTCTCGACAGTCCTTTTCTCAACAGTTGGAATCTGGCGGATCCCATCATTCACATATGTGGGAACAACCCTATCTTCGTAACGGAAGCACTGTAGGTTCCAGGAATTGACCAATATCAGCTAATAACAGTTACTGACATCAACGGAGGCTGATGATAAATTTCGTTTAACTCTTCCTGAGCACGATCTCCCTGATCATAGCACCATGATCTTGCAACTTAAGCGAGACGTCAGTGAACTTCAGCATATAATTGGCCGTCTGCAGTCCGAGAAAACCACCCTGGTTCATGAAAATATTTCTCTGAGCACTAAATGTGATACCCTACAGTAAGCTTCCTTTAATATATGCGCATATATGCACAGTGCACAGTTCTTAATTACATGTAGGACCATACTCGTCAACATCAAGAGTGCAAGTTCCACAAGCTCAATCGTGTCGAATTCATTGGAATCACGGTTATCACCCTCCGACAGTGCGTCTTCCTCCGACGAACAAAAGCCTATTCTACTGGATGGATTTGTAAGAGAAGATTATGACAACGAGCTTAACCCACAAGATTACCCATTGGTCCGGTCATGGACAAAGAAAAGTTGGTTAGAGCAGCTCCCGAAAAATACAACAGCAAAGCCGGGCTCATCTGGTCAGCCATCACGAGGTTCTAGGCGTATGGCCCAGGGAATCAATGTATCATGCCAGTACCTCCAGGATAAGAAAGGCATCACTGTCACGGCTCAGCGTGCGAAGACCATCCGCAATATCATGCTTTCCAGTTTCCGACAACTCGATAGCCAGGGCCTCGCACCTGCATCCATTGGCCAAGTGTCCCTCGATGTCCTGAATTGGTTGTTCCATACCCTACGAAGACATTGTCCCGAACTTCGACTCTGTGTCGACAATTGGAAAGCGACTAAGCTAATGATGGACAACTACTCACAGTGGTATAATTATCACGTCAAGAAGAAAGGTATCAAACTGGTTAAGCACGAAGACGTGGCTTCCTCTTGCGAGTCGATCACCGAAGGCATCCAAATCGAATCCCCTGCCGAACCTACCCAAAGCAACCCTACTAGTAAAAGAGCAACCTCACTTGATACTACCGACAATGAAGCGGAGCCGGCAAGAAAAAAACAATGCATTGAAGATTTGGATACCGAGGACACCCAACACAAGTCTGACCACTCTCTTCCTCTGACGCTACAGTCTACTACTCCCGACACTTCTCATGCAATGTGCGATACTCAAGAAAAAGTAAGTGCTGTGCACTTTGTGGTTTTTTTCTAACATCATTTCATAGGCCTCTGAGTCGACATCATCTCTGCGACACGACAAAGGCAAGCAAAAGGAGATCCCGTCCGATGTGGAGGTGAGCATTTCCAATGGTCTTCACGTCTTTTTCTAACCTTTATCACTTGTCGCAACAGATCAGGAGCCCACTGTAAGAACTTTTTCTTTCGAGCTTCTTGGCACTGCTCATATTTTTATTCACAGTGATGGGCTTATCATCGAACCTAAAGCTACTTCATCCTCGGCTTATAGCGCTACAACACTCGCTTCGAAACCATCGAGTTCTGACACCAGCCTCCCTACGACTGCCGTACCATCACCAGACCTACCATCGTCCAACAATGATTCGTGTGCCCCAGTAGTACTACGACCTACTTCGTCGGCTACAAATGCAACTTCACTCGCTCTCAAGAAGGAGCTCGTGGCGACAGACTCGGAGCTACACAAGCCAGAACCTCCAAAGAAACGACAACCGAGTTCTAAACCGATGCGAGTCACTGCGAATGTCACTGCGCGGTAAGTTATGTCTGCTATTGATACGAAAATTTGTAAGACTCATGCCACTCATACCACACTAGGAACTTGTGCGCTCTTGACTGGCAACAGAATGGCAACCAAACAGAACCTGCATGCGTTTTTGCAGCTTATTGGAACAAGCTCTCGAATGCCGACAAAGAGGTATGTGACTATTATGATATTCCCATCCATCATATTCCCTAACTTGTCACTATCATAGGCGTACAAGCGAAAGGCTGCCGCTGCTTGCGTGAGTGATGTGTTTTTCTCGTTCTGGATCACATACTGATATCTCTTTTTCAGCTCAACTCGTCGTCGTCTGCTCAAAGTGTTCCCGGTTCGGATTAGTCTCTGTTTCTGCAGTCAATGGACTCGAGGAGCGTGGATAGCAGCTCTAGCAGGCGGTATGGTGCGAAGCAGGATGGCTGGCGACCCAGACGAGCAGCGGATACCCTACCCTATATCACCATAATAGCACCCATTCATAGCGATACCCATCGATACTCATTCTATTGCATTAGACGTGTATCTTTCCAGCCAAACAGGATCCTTTTTAATGCAAAAATCCATCTAAGCCAGGCGAGAATCTCATCTAAACAATTCTCGATCTTTATCTTTTCCATCTCGAAAAGTGCCGGTTTTTTCTAAAGACTTCTAAACGAGTCGATATGGTCTATGGTTTCGATGTCTATCGATACATATCCCTCCCCTTCTTGTCGATTTTCACTGGGCTTCAGCGTCCAGCCGGCATCAGGACACAGTTCAAAATACTGCCTGCCATCTTCTTTGTCAGCTACATCCTCAACAGTCACCCGTCGACTTTTCGATGCTACCGGGTTGTCTTCATCAAGATCGAAAGACTTAGAGTGTGAGCGGCGAAGTGGGGAAAAGGAATGATTTTCATAAGCAAATTCAGTTGGTGCGCCACCTTCATCATCTGTATCTTTAACCATTGACTCCCATTTTCTTCTGCACTCGGGGCAGGTAGCTATATGCTTCTTGACACCTCCTCTTAAAGGGAAAGGCTTGCCACAGAATCCGCAGCTGTGTGGCATGGTTGGTAAGTGATTTGAGTTTTTTTCTGGCTCTTTTTGACGTGTATCGTAATTTGACAGATCTAGGCTCTGGACGTTTTGGGTCTGGGCAATCTGTAACTAACCCTTTGCCCTTCATCGTTACCGGGTATGCCCTTATGCACTCTGTTATGGAGACTCAAATGCAGTCGGTTATGGAGACTATGCCCATTGCATAGGAGCAGTCCATGAACACAGTCGAGTGATATATTCATCGAGGTATATTCCGATCTGATCAGTGATTGTTTCAACAGAAAATTTTAAGGTTCAGGTCTAGACTTCAGTTATAATGGCACTACACTAGTCTGGTAATACTGTGAGCGGCAAGAAGTAACTCTAACAGTTGTACCCACTTTGCTTCCTCACAACACTTTACCTCTGCATCCCAGCATTCAGAGACAAGTCTTCGCAAGCTGGCTTGTATGAGGGTAAGATCTGTGCCCAGTGCTATTTCTAACAATTGCAATTTCTTTGCTTTCTCGCAGGCCCGAACTTCTGCCTCCTGTCATATCCCGTATTCCGGACCAACATCCAACGATGTTCCCACGCCTCATCCGGACCTCCGGACCTCCTGTCCACGTCTCCAGACCCAATCCTCTATCCGTCCGGATCCCTGTACTCCTGCATCTGATATCCGGACGCCAGATCTGATATCCACATCTCCGGATCTCCGGATCCGACCTATCTGTCATGTCCGAACCTAAACCTTAAATCAGTGCCCATCCCCTTATGGTAATCACCTGTCTCTGGACTTCCAAACATCCGGATCCGACCCACATCTATCTTCCTTGCCTTTTCCCTTTGTATGTTCCTTCTCAAGTTAGTGTCATATTCCGCGTTCCGGACCCAGACCTATCACGCATTCATCTCCGGACATCCGGATCCGACCCGCGTCTATCTTCCGTGCCTTATCCCTTTGTATGTTCCTTCTTGAGTTAGACTTCCTCATTTTCCGTACCTCGTTTCATTTCCGGCTTTATTTTCCTATGTCTTCATCTCCGTCTTCATTTACTATTTTCTGATAGACTAGTGTTTGACTTTTCTACATCCTCTGTCCACAGCCTCACATAGCTTCAGACTGTGCTGACTGACTCTCTGTTAAGTCCTCTGTAGTATATAAACTCTGTAGAATCTTTGTACTTCCTCAGTCTGAATATTACACATATTAGTCCTCGCACTAGCCTTCACCCTAAGTCCTCGTAACAGTTCTAGTCCTCTGACTTAGTCATTATCCATCTCGGGCCTAGGGAGGAATTCCCTAGGCCGGAGCTCCACTCCTCCGCTCCTCCGATCCACCATTCCTCCAAGTTTCCAGAAGTTCCTCCGGAACTTTCCCGCGGTCCTCCGGACCTATTCTGCTTCGGACTTTGTCCTTGCAGCCTTTCCTCTGTTTCCTTCTACTCAGGACAAGTCCTGAGTAGCCATTACACATATCCCCATCAGGATGAAACTCCATCATAATTTCCGGAAGTTCCTCCGGAACTTTCCCGCACTCATCCAGAAGTTTCTCACACTCATCCGGAAAGTCCTTCCGAAGTTCCCCATGCTCCTCCGGAAGTCCTTCGGACTTCACTGGACTTTCTCCGGACTTCATTCTGAAATTAAGGGCACATACTCGGGTAAGGGGCGCAGCGCATGAGCTGAAGCCAAGCCCCTTGGAATCAGTCCTACCCTTTGTGCATGGTCTTAACACCTCCCAACGCTCTAAAATGAGTTTTCGCAGGTATGTCTGAGCCACGGAGATGGGGCCAGGTGTTTGATGATATAGGGGGAGTGGGAACATAGGCTCTGCATCAGGGACTTCACGCTTTGGCCTCCTGGGCTCAGCATCAGGCGCCTCGAGCTTTGGCCTGCAAGCCGGTGAGTATTTGGTAGTGACAAGGAGGGGTAGATCACCTTTTGATGCCAATTTTGCTTTCTTTATAGTGAGCCTCAGTGGATGGTGACATTAACCTGTAAGATCTGTCAGAGTGTGGTGAGTGTTTGAAGCAAGCTCCGCACCGTTTTTTGGCTGAGTTGGAGGTATCCATGACAGTGAAAATTACTGTAGCGGTATGTCCTTTTTATCTAACCCATTTAACACAGCTTTGAACCTTGCATTATTCTAGATTAACACGCCCTGAAATCAACAAACATTCAAGGTTCAAATTGTGAGTGTTTATGTCTTGTGCAACATTATAAAATCAGCTGAACTACAGGTCATTCACACCTTGTGTTCTGAGGACCAAGAATTGTGCCTCCTCATAAGCCCACCTTCAAGCAAGCAAAGACAAGTGTTCAGTCATCACCGCACAGCAAGCAACCACTTGTGCACACCGCAAGAGGTCGACCACGACGACCAACAGAAAAAGAAAATTATCGAGGCAAGTCACTGCTACTACGATGTGATGCTTCACTTACTTTCTCTACAGTATCTGAAACGCAAAACATAGTCCGTCGTCAAGCCACAAAGGAAAAAAGGTTGGAAAAACAGAAGACAAGGGCACTCAAGGTGACATATCAAGACAATCCTGACGTCTTTGAGAGAGAGCCCTCGGAGCTACTTAGTGACACTGACAGGGATGAAGACACTATGGTTTGCTCACTTGCCTTGTTTCTTGCAACTTGAACAATAGCTGTTTTTTTTCAGTTCTTGGACCACGCTCTGCAGACAAAACTGTCCAATACCAAGGTCCTGGCATTCTGTGTGGGGAAAATTCCCCCCAAATTGCATGCCGCTAGCAACAGTGCACGCAAGCTGAAGGGTATGTAAGTGCTGCTTGTTAATTGTAGGTACACTAATACACGTCTATTTGACCTTCCTACTACCTCAGACGACACTAGTGACGAGTCTGGTGACGACTCAGAGTCAAAAAACCAATCTCAACCCAAGGCCTGGGCTCACCATACTGACGAAGAGGATGGTAACTCCATCAAGGAACAAATGCCTTCTCCTCGCATGACCAAACGACCGCTTGATGCAGAAGATGCCACAGCGGTGGTGAAGATTCAAAAAAATTCGGACGGTTCCCGTCGTCATATGAAAGCTGGCGATTTCAAGGCTGACACCAAAGACATCCTTGTAACTGCAACCTCTATCTTCCGCTGTCTAATCGTCACACAGGCGCCATTTCCGGATACCATTGCTGTCGAGACAAAGCTGGGAAAAGAGGCCTGGCATGAGGCATGCCAAATGAAAGGCATCAACGTCAAATTGACGCCTTTAGCAGTCAAGATGGTAAGCTGTCTGTTCTTTGCGCATTCTTGTTCTGACTTGTATTATATCTTATCATGAAGCTCTTGAAATGCACATCACATGTGCGTGGCGAACTCAAAACAAAAATGCAATCGCTGACTCGTTCGTTTTTTGGGTTCTGGTCAAGTGATTCGAGGGAGGTGATAAGGCAAAACCGAGATCTGGCGGAATCTTTGAAAGATGATTCATCCTTTGTTTTCAAGGTACATAGTGCAATGGTCTACATGACCTTTGAAGTACTGACTGTTGGGGATTAGGACTGGACAACGAAGACAGGTATCTACAAGACTGAATTACTCCAAGATGGGATCAATGTTATGTGGTTTGCAAACCAAGGTGACGAAGGCATCATCCACAATAAGTATTTTAAGCCCATGCCTATCGAGGTTATTGCACTCACACTTACAGCTGTGAGTCATTTCTTATATTTGTGACGCTGAATATGTCTGATTGTTGACAGATTGAATGCTGTATTGACGAGTGGCTGCAGGGCATGAAGGAAGACATCAAATTCACAGCAGCTACCTATGGATCTATCTACCAAACACATTTGAGCTCACTGCAGCGTTTTGACGAGTGCACAGCACCTTATAAACTCTTGGAAAGAATTTGTGACAATTTGCATGATGTGGCTCGGTGCATTTCACTCTAATTTCACAAGCACTAGCTTAACTTGCGAAGTTTCCATGCAGGTGTAGAGATCCTCACTACAGTGTCAGACGGATCCCAAATCAGTGACGAGGCATTCGAAGATGCCATTCGAGAGCACAAGCTTCAGGATGGTGTGTGGCGAGGCTAGTAGGGAGAGCGGGAGCTGAGGCTCGCAGATGGGAACGAAGAATATTGTCCCAGCTATTAACAGCCAGTGAATCTACTAGCTTGTGCTGATTATTTGAATTCATTTGTTTTTGTGACATTTCGTGTGCTATTATCTGAGTGACTACAGCACGCTATATAGTTGCTTGTAGTTCCTGGTAGCTGTCTGTAGTAGCGCTCCCATGAACTACAATCTACTACAGTAACTACAGTAGTACCTGGTAGCGCTATAGAGCACTGTTAAGACCATGCACAAAGGGTAGGACTGATTCCGAGGGGCTTGGCTTCAGCTCGTGCGCTGCACCCCTTACCCGAGTATGTGCCCTTAATTTCAGAATGATGTCCGAAGAAAGTCCAAGGACGTCCGAAGGATGTCCGAAGCGCGGGAAAGTTCGGAAAGACTTTCCGGACGAGTGCAAGTAACTTCTGGACGAGTGCGGGAAAGTTCCGGAGGAACTTGCGGAAATTATGATGAGGTTTCGTCCTGATACAGATATGTGTAATGGCTACTTAGGACAAGTCCTAAGTAGAAGCAAACAGAGGAAAGGCTGCAAGGACAAAGTCCGAAGCAGAATAGGTCCGGAGGACCGTAGGAAAGTTTCGGACGAACGTCCGGAAACTTCGGAGGATCGGATAAGCAGTGCTCTGGCCTAGGGAATTTCTCCCTAGGCCTGAGATGGATATTGGCTAAGTCGGAAGACTAGAACTGATATGAGGACTTAGGGTGAGATCTAGTGCGAGGACTAATATGATATTCAGACTGAGGAACTACAGGACATATACAAGAGTTTATATACTAAGGAAATAACGGAAAGATCAGTAAGCAAGCGTCCGAGGCTATGTATGAAGCATAAGCAAAGTTATCAAGCGCGAGTCGGAAATGAAGCATAGGTTAACGGATCAGTAAGCATACCGGTAGTAAGTATAACCGAGATACCGAGGACAAGGAATACCGAATAGAGGAATAGGCTGTGTTAACGTTATATGCACGGGAATGAATTAAGAAGCTTATTGTATATCGGATCGGAAGCGGATCTATACATCAGACCGGACCAGACCGGACCGGATCGGATCGGATGTCCGGATGAGACGCGTGGATAGACATTAGGGTGATGGGACAAAGGATGAATAATGCAGGCTAGCTGAGGTATGGAGGTAAAGGGATCTGGATGTGCGGATGTGGATGTGCAGAGGTGCAGGGATCCGGACGGATAGAGGACTGGAGACATGGATAGGGTGTCCGAAGGTCCAGATGAGGCATGGGAACATCGTCGGATGTAGGTCCGGAATACGGGATATGACAAGCACTATGTAGCACTACATAGTACAACATAGTCACCTCAGTTGCTATATAGAGGGCATGTAACTACAGAGCTACACGGACTACATGGACTATATAGTACTATGTAGTCAATGGGATTTTTCCTGACGTATAATACACTACTGTGAAGTTGAATAATTAAGATTGGTCGAGAAATGATTGAGATCCTTGTTCAGGTGTGACAGAGCCAAATATCATGTCTTCTTGTCACCAAACTGAGTCTGCCATGGTGGAGTTTCAGATTTGCTGAACCACTCACTATTAGCAGATTTGTGCTCATAGGGTCTTGGACGGTGCATGGGGCACGCTCGGGGCAAGAATGCCCATACCCCAACTCTGAGCAAAACGATCCAGCACGAGTTGCGGATTCAAGAAGCCCTTGCTGGAGTTCAAGGAACTCCTTTGCAGCACCTTCTTTTGCACTGCACTGGCAGGCGCTGCCCTGTGGCCCCTGTCCCAGTCATCTAAATAGTTCCTACAGCCCCTCATAAATTTGTACCAGTTCATAGTGTATATTCAATATAACCTTTTCGATTGTTTAACTTTTAGTTAGAGTAATGAACGCTACGAGGCCTGTGCACTTGAAGCTTTGAAGGCGCTGATACTGGATGCCGAGCGGAACTTGTTTCGGCAGATGCTGACATTGAGTTACTATCGTGTTACATTGTCACGTGACTGTCTGAACCAGTGGTTGACCGAAGTTGTGATAACCGATAGTAGGACGGGCACTCAAACATGCCAATGTCATATGTTTTCTGCGTCGCAATTTCTCCCAGTGGAGAACTGCTCGCAAGTGGAGATTCTGATGGGAACCTTCAGCTCTGGTCCATCGAGAGCATACTTTCCACAGCATTCGAGACGGGTCCTTTATACTTTGCGCATCGCAGTAAGGTGAAGTTGGGCCAAAGGCTCTATGCGGAGGCCCTTTCAGACGCGGAAAAGGTGCGGACGACATCCGTCATCGTTTCAACATTTCTGATGATATTTGCAGGTCATCGAGCTCGATCCTTCGTCTCATCTCGGATACGACTTGAAGTATACAGTGCTTCATGGAGCACAACGCTATGATGATGCATTCGAGGTCTTTACATTCATGCTCTCCAAGTAATATTATGCACCCAACCCACGAATACGACGTAAGCCCCAAACAACTCAAGTGCCGACTTGAAGATGACTTATGTTTTTGCAGAGCTACGCCAGCAATATGTCAGTCTATCTGAAGTAGAAGATGCTATTCGACGAGCCATTCACGCCCAACTGGAAAATACTCCACTTCGTCTAATCAACACCGTCACTGGGCATATATGTAATCGAAATGCACAGATCAACGTTGTCACGGAGAGTATGGAGTACAAAGAGCTTTTGCATTCATTAGTGACGCATGCACCCCTCCAAACGGAACTCATCAAAGAAGCGGTCATCAAGTACTTCAGTTGGGTGATGTTATCCCATAGGTGGGAAACCAAGGAGCCGCTACTGCACGACATTCAGGACAAAGTCATACGACTTGGATCCGGTCGGAACCGTTGTGAAATTGCAGAAATTCTGTCAAGTCGCTCGCGATGCGGGGCATCGTTGGGCGTGGAGCGACACTTGCTGCATCGACCAGAACAACAATGTCGAGGTCCAGCAATCAGTCAACTCCATGTTCGTATGGTATCATCACTCAGCGCTCACCATCGTCTACCTATCAGATATTCCTCCTTCATCAAAATGGGGCGCGCTCGCAAACAGCATCTGGAACACGCGAGGATGGACCGTTCAGGAATTCCTCGCTCCTAAAATCGTCCTTTCTTACCAAGCAGGTTGGACCCTATATCTCGACGACCGCTCGCGCAACCACAAGGAGTCTGTCAGTATCATGAGGGAGTTGGAGCGTTCAACTGGGATAAATGCACGGGCGCTTGCCGCCTTCCACCCGGGGATGAGAGATGCCCGAGAGAAACTCCGATGGGCGTCAACGCGTGTCACTACATTGCAGGAAGATATCGCGTATTCGCTGTTTGGGATATTCGGCGTCCACCTTCCTGTAATCTACGGAGAGAAAAGACAGAACGCGCTCGGACGTCTCTTGCAGGAGATCACAGCCCATTCGGGCGACATCACGTCCCTGGACTGGGTGGGACAATCGTCCACCTTCAACAGTTGTCTCCCAGCCGACATTTTCTCATACAAGGCTCTGCCATGGACGGTAACATCTCTATCTGAAGACGAGATACAGAACTCGGTCTCCACGCTACGAAATAATATTGTGGCTGTGGAGTTGGCTTCGAAACTGTATACCACTCTTGAGAACTTCGGCGTTCCTCGTTTCGCAAACAGTAGACTGCAATTGCCTTGCATCGCATTTTCTCTCACAGAAGTTAGGCGGAGTACTGGTGTAGACGAGGACAAATGTTTCACGTATGAAGTCAAGGCAGACGGGCTACAAGACCTGCTGGTCACAACGGAAGACAAACTAGTTCAATTCTCCCCTGCAAGGCCTGACACTTTCGTTTATACTCTAACAACTAGATTGGAGCATATGAAAATATCCGTAGAACTTTGCATTGTATAGCATCCAATAGTATCGTATTCTGCCTCATTACTCAGTACTCAGTCTCAATGGAAAGGAGAAAACACTGGCGCAAGCACTTCCTAGAATTGTGCTCGTCCAGATTCATGATTTTCATCCAGCGTTTCCGAGTCCTATCATGTCTCCAACGTTAACAAGCGAGTAATTATTTGCATATGAAAGTCAATGCATACAAGTAAAGGTGGTGAAGATGCCGCAGGAGTGACTGTCAATTCCGGGTTGTGCCCTGCCTGGAGAGAAAACGAAGGAATATCAACTTTGTCAGATGCTCTGGAGAAATTTTGGTGGGTGTTTCTAAATTCTCTGCAAACCACAGTTTGAGGTTCTTAACGAAGGATCCCAATGATAATGGAGTCCCTTCGCTGAGAACCATAGCTGTGCAGTGGGTCAAATTTTATAGGAGACGTCTTGACTAATATGCTACTAAAGTTACACGACGCTAGGAAAGGTACCTCGTCCATCGATCTCACCGATTCGTCATAGTTCGGCCACTGTATCACACCATTAGCTGGACACTTAACGAAAGGCGCTCAACATACGTGACAGTTTTGCGTTCGGTTGTTGCCACCTCCGTCTTGGCGCGGTTTAGAACTTTCTGGAACTCGGCTACTCGATGACGCATACGGGAGTGCATGTACGCCTTTGAACACTTGATGTGGTAGTGTAGATAATCGCGGAATAGCTGTACGTGTGATATCGTATTGAACGAGATGTTGGCGTTCGCAAAGTGACGAGGGAAAAGGACAAAGGTGACATAGCCGATGTCATCAGTGTTCCGCAGACCTGCGAGATCGCGGATTTCCAAGGGTGGGTCGCGGTTCGTGTAGAGCACTTGGGGGGCATTTTGAATACTGGGCTGCCGTCGTGCGTCCACGAATTCCTGGTTGCAACGTCAGGCATGGCGCGAGAAATCAGAGAGTATTATGACCTGCAAGAATACTTTGCCAAAAATACGATCGGTCTCCTCCCTGAAGACTGTCGAGAATATCACGGTGACACGATCAGGCGATGCTTGAATGTAGATGGCTTCTTCATCACGGTAGTGGATCTGCATTAACTGCCCCTGAGCACCACCTGATGCTTCCAACTCTTTCTGTTGCTTAAACGCGAGCTCGAATGGTGCCGCTAGAGCGTTCCGCTTGAACAGCGAGATAGACTTTACGAATGCTTCTCTGCTTTCTGTAGACACCACCTGAGTCAGATAAACACGCAGAGAAGCGGCACGCACCTTCATCGGCTGGAACCTGATCAATATCTATTTCAAGACTGATGTTATATTCTGGCTCTGTCTGCTGTTTAATGAGCGGGCCATACTCCCGTTGTAATACCTGCATCGCTCCGTATGCAACTAGCTCATCCCAGCATCGGATATTCATAGAAAGCTGAACCACGGACTTCTTTTCTGGCGTTGATAGATGAAACCTCACGCCATCAAAATCCACAAACAAAACATCGAGAGACGATGGCCTGGATATCTCATTAGTGTACGCAGCGTTAGTCAATGACAATCTCACTTTGCGATCTTCTCCGCAAGCGTGGTCTGAATGATGAGATTATGGGACTAACAGCAATCAGGATACACATCCTCAAAGGAGCTTTCAAACGTTGCTCACCTCGAGAAGGATCATGTTGTCGACGTCTTGCTGCGGCGCACCGTGTTGGTCCGTGTGTTATCTAGTACGTAGGACACGAGCGTGAGAAAGTCTTATGGTCGCAGCCGCAAGTGATTTCCTTCTTGCTTTTTGCTACTTATCCAAGCTAGCGAGCGACAGATCATACAGCGAAAAGTATCGCACAAGGTTTTCAATCATGGGTTTGTTTTTTTCCTAAAGTTAAATGCTCAATACTCAAAGATATTCAGCGCCTAAAAAATCGAAGGCATCAAAGATGTCTCTCAATGAATTTCTCGGCGATAGCAGTGCGTTGGTCATTTTTCCTGAAAACTCGGTTATAATGTGACGCATAGCACTGGGATCATGGGCGGATGAAATGGATTCTCTTCCGAGTGCTCGTATGTGCTTGTCTATGCCCATGAGGATTTAGCTTATCGGAATTCGCCTAGCGTCGATGAGAGCGGATGATGACAGGTCTCGACCTGGTGATCGGTTTGGGAGAAGGGACGACTTTTCTTCGTCGCGGCGTAAGTTCTTATTATGAGTCTCGTGATTCGTATTGATTCACATCCTACGCAGCCGATCGATCGTTTGCGTCGCCTCGGGAAGATCTCCCCCTGCCCACTCAACCCCCTTACACTGCCTACGTCGCAAATCTCTCCTTTGACATCACCGAAGGCGAACTTGAAAGCTTCTTTGGTCCTCATGAGGTACGTGTTCTGCGGCCTGATATACATAACGTAATGTGACTTTTGGCCAGACCAAATCCATCAAAATAATCAAGGACCGTGATGACAAGCCGAAAGGCTTTGGATATGTCGAGTTCGTGGAGCTTGATGGATTAAAAGATGCACTGGCAAAGACCGGTAGTGTCAGTGGACGTGTCATCAGTTTCCTTCGTGCTGTAGTTGATTCTCTTCTAGAGCCTTTCTGGACGCACAGTTCGTACCAGCGTCGCCGAGCCTCGTGAGTGCTGAAGGACTCTTTCCAGGCTTTCAAGACTTAGTATTTCACAGCAAAGGAAAGGTCCGGATTCTCAGGGTCTAGCTTCGACGATGACGCCAAGTTCTCTGGTAACTGGCGCCGTGAAGGCCCCCCGCCTAACATGCAGGACTCACGTGATTCTTCCCGACGTCGGTTCGATGGTCCCCCGGGAGATCGCATGCCACCTCCACCCAGTATCTCAGACGAGGTCAACCAGTGGAGGTCGAGTAAGCCTCTTGCAAAGATCCCTGAACCAGAGGCTCCATCATTCAAGCGCAGGGGCTCAGGATTCTCCACGCCCGAAGGTCAATCGCCTGCGGACAACGAGGACAAATGGACTCTTGGGAGTAAGTTCAAGCCGTCGACAGAAGAACCGCCATCGAGATTTGGTAGTTTGAGAGGCAGTCAGGATTCGCAACACGCGAGAGACCCGCCCGCCGATGATGGTGACTGGCGCGCTGGACGATCGAGAACATCGCGTAAGTATCATTTTCAGCACATGGTAAGAGTGTGGGTTAAAAACTCGGATAACAGCGAGCAGTTCCACACCCCCTACACCCCAGATGGGTCGTCGTAAGCTCGAGCTTCTCCCTCGTTCTTCCAACTCTGCCAGTCCCTCTCCTCTCTCTTCTCCGAAAATGGCCTCTAATCCCGCTGCCCCGTCTGCTCCCAAAGCTAGTCCTTTCGGCGCAGCCAGGTCCGTTTTTTGTGATATTTAACCTGTCAAGTGCTCAAGTTCTCAGCAGACCAGTTGATCTTACCTCAAAAGAACGCGAAATTACTGCCCGCGTTGAGAAGGATCGTGAAGCCTTAAAGGAACGTGTTCCGCACCCAATGTCACGTAACTCCTCCCGTCAAGCGACTGAACGAAGTCCTATCACTGCTACACGGTCGCCTCCCCAAGTTATCGCTACGCCACCGACACCTGGATCTCCGCGTGTTTCTCATGCTACGCCAACAACGTCAGCAAATATTAGACCATCGATCAGCTTCGCCAACGCTGCTAGTACGAAGAAGGATGCATTAAACGCCAAGGTTGAAGAGAAGGAGGAGTTGCCCATGGACAAAGTTACCGAACAGGTCGCAGAAGTAAGCGTGTAGTATAATGTGTTTATGACTTTTTATCTTCACACTTGCTCTGATTTCTATGACATTTTGTGATTTGGGGTATTGCGCATGATGTTAATGAGCATGGTATAACAAACTATAGAGTATAGTGTCAACAAGATATTCTACCGTCGATGGTGAAGTTCGGGGTCGATGAATTTCATTCGTCCCCGTCCTGAAACTCTGCTTCAGCTTTTGACACGAGAGTACAAAGATGACCGACCTTTGAATCGCACACCTCCATCACTCGCAGGGGGTGTAGATTCATATTTGCGCTTAATCCGCTCTAGTTCCTTTCGCTTAGCCTCTTCTAACCGCTCCTGCTCCTCTCTCTCAAGCCTGGCATCATACTCCTCTTCGGTTTCTTGCCTAGGAGCCTTCTCGTCATCATTCTTGCGGCCCTCATCATCCGATTTGGCATCCGCTTTTCTTTCATGTTTTCGGCGCTTGGATTTTTTCTTCTTTTGAGTGCTACGATCACGATCTGAACTTCGTGAGCGCGAGCGACTGCTGTGACCCCTTCGACTAGGAATTTCTGCATTTGATTCTTCACATTGCAAGGATATCAGTCACTTCATCACAACTTCTGGCGAGAAGGGCGCACCTTGAGACGCCTCAACCTTCCTCTTGAGTTCAAGTTCACCGCAGTTGACGATAACGATAGGGTGCTGAGGTCTATCCTTCTCATCTACAGGAACCACAGCAAGATTCTTAATGACCTCGTCGTATCCGCGAATGACCCGGCCAAATACGACATGCTTGCCTATGAGGGCACATTAAATACACATGTGGATTTTCTAGAAGAAAGGCTCGCCATTTAAATGTGGACAATCTCTCAGGGTAACGAAGAATTGTGATCCATTGGTGTTAGGCCCCTTGTTGGCCATGCAAAGGAGGCTGTACCATGAATTGGGAATATGAGTGAAGTATTGAGGTATTCGATGGTGAACTTACCCTTCTGAATCCAAAGGTCGCGTCAAGTCTTCATCAGGGAAAGCACTGCCGTAGATGGATTCTCCCCCAGCGCCGTTTCGTTTCGTAAAGTCTGATGACCATGAGTAACGCCTAAAAATGGAGTGATATAATGGCGCACCTCCACCCTGAATCATAAAATCACGGATTGAACGGTGAATGATGCTATTCTTGTAGTACAGAGGCCGTTCGGAGACAGCAGAAAGGCCTTTCTCTCCCGTACATAGTGCTCGAAAGCTAAGAAGGGGGTCAGATCAGGGCTGTATACCATGAGCGTTCATTTACTTTTCAGCTGTCTTTGGTGCTGTGTCGTTGTAGAGCTCGAAAATAACTCTAGGATGAAGTGATGAGGCATTAAAACCAGTGCGATATAGGGGTATTAATTACCGCCCTGCAGGCTCAGTGCCTATTGCAAAGTCGAAGAAAACCCGAGGCCGCATGTATGAATCCAACTGAGTCCAGAATGAATGGAAACTTGGAAAGCGAGGTTATCGCACGTGACTCTGCTTTCAAGGAGTCACGGTCTTTTTTTAGTCTTCCAAAACTACTTGACTACTACCGTGGTCTTGCGCATTTCACCGAAGACTGTGAGTGAACTACGCGTGCCATGTCAATCTCGGGAGACTTTTCTATTAACTTTGTCGAACTTTCGAAAACTTTACTCAGCTGCGCGTTTCATTCAAGGCCGTCAGAAGATATTCATCTGCATTTGCTCCACCGATAGAAAACATATTTATCTGTTGGATCGCGATTCGCGTCGGAAGAAGGAAAGGTACGTATGTCATTCATCATACACACTAGCGAAACACTTGATTCTCCATGAGAAATTTGGAGTCAGATGGAAGAATTTAGCTCAGCCGCAGTGCTCGGGCGTCCGATCGTCTCTGTTGACGGACTATCAGTAGACAAACTACTATGCTCCCGGGCTGGATTGGTATGCAAAAACGCAATAGTCTGGCCCGCACAGACTCAAAGATCAAGTTTACCGGTCAAGGTGAATTTCATTCGATTATCAAAATTCGGACGACGTTAGTTCAAATTGCGTTGGAGGTGAAAACAGGGAGGTATGTAACGGCAAAGATAATGAAACACAATGAACCGAAAAATCGCACCCTTCATGTGCAAGAAGGCAGACTCTCATCGTGTTACGTGCGTAGAATTTCATCCCATGCCTCATGCTATATAATTGCCACCTGAACATGTTTTGGATATCTCCGTCAAATGGCACGTCGGTTTGGTCATGCCGGCGATGTTCCATCAAACCAGATGACCATCCTGCGACCGTCGTGTTCAAATACAGCCTCTTGCCACGATAATGACTATGCACATCTGCCACTCCCTCCAGGTTTCAATCTTAGATATCATTCGGGCAAAAGGCATAGCACCATCGACATCAAAGAAACCAGTTGACAAAGAGATGGGATCAAGATGATGAAATCGAAGTGTCTGATGAACCTGATTTGCCCCCCAAGGATGTCAAGCCAAGGATCGAATAACTGGAGGTAAATTTGGATGTTGAGGGAATTATTTCCTCCAACTCATCTTCGTCACAGAGGGAGCCCCGGCATCTACATGCACAACTAGCTTCATGTGAGAATCGGAAGCCCTCACGTGTCAAGTTGGAATGTGGGGGGGGGGGGGGTCACGACGGCAACCTGCATTTACTCGTGATGTCCTCGATTTAACTGAGAATTTAATTTGTCTGCGATAGCTTGGTTTCAGGCCACCGCTTTGAGGTAAGTCATCGCAGACATATTAATGTTTGTAACTCTCACCTCCGTGCAATTCTACTGTCAAGAATTCGGTTCTTTGTAAGATGGAGCACGTACACTTCCAATGGAATTCGAAACTGGTCTTTCATTCCCTGTCGCTGTGGATGTCTTTGTATTGGGACAACTTCTTGATCTCTTGTTTGTCGTCACTGACTACGGTTGTCAAGTCCACCACTATGTCATTAGTAAATCTTTTTCTATGTAGAATCCTTACAGAATTCAGGGGAGTGCGCCGCCCAAACATAATCGACCTACCAGACTTGATATTAATTATGTAATATGTAACACCGACATCCAAACTGTTGTTCCCATGCACGAGGCTCCCGACTTCTTGAGCAGCCTACGTACCTTTCTTGGTTCCCAAGATCCAGTCCCACACCGGGTGAACGTTTATGATATGATATTTCCATCCTTTTTGTCTTTGTCATGAACTCTACTGACTTTCCATTTATTTAATTTCCTTTTTCGTAGTTCATCAATACATACATATTCCGTAGTATGAGCTCTTCTCCTTTCTCGTCTTGTGCTCGTCTGTTTGATAGGTACAGCCTATTCCGTACGTTCTAACGTCGTCTGTTTATGCAATAGCTGCTGTGGTTGTCGCTCCGAGTCGGCGTCTCGCCTCAGGTCATGATAATCCAAGATAACCGCTTAGTGAGTCCCCTCTCATCAATCACTGTGTTTCCGCACTGGGCAATGCACAAACCAGAATCCTACGCGTGCGCGCATATCAATATGACTACCGTACATACACTTCGTGACGTTGTGGACGCGAGCTCGGACTCCGTCCGGCATCCCGCACGTGACCCGTTGTCACTTTAAAGTTCGGTTCGGTTCACTATTACATATAACATTAAAGTCTTCAAAGCTTCACATACTTCTTTCAAGCTTTGAAAGCAAAGCCACTTAATATTCCATCTTGCAGACCTTATCCCGCCCTGAGATATATCACCATGATTCTAGGAGACTTTTCTGCTTGTATATTCATGGATGGCGAGGAGCTCCCGGAGTATGATATTGTCGTTTCCAGTACACCAACAGAGAACAGAATAACGTGTTGGATCGCGTCAGATGCAGGCAAGGTGCGTTGTTCATGAGATGCACAGGAAAGACCCTTAGTACCTTCATAAGAAATTTGGAGTCAGGGCGAAATTTTTAGCCCAGCAGACCTCGGGGAGCTCGGTATCCGTTTTCGTTGACGGTAATCGCTGTCGTTCCTACATCATGTCTCCGGGCTGGATCGGTACGCAGGAAATCAAATACATGAGCAATCGTTATGTCAGAAGAGATTTCATGTTCTCCCAACTCGAGCTTACTGGTTAGTATGCGAAAGTTCCCGAAGCCTTCCTCCAAGTTCTAATGCTAAACATCAGATGACGACTCAATGCTCGATGACCAAAGCGCAAATGATATAGGTCAAATTATGATGGAGGTAGTGCAGGGGAAGTACACCATGAAAGAACAAGTAGTGGGTTCCCAGAATGTGAATGATCGTACACTTTGTGTGCGGGAAGGCAAGGTGCATGAACGCGCCAAGAAGGCATGCCCTCATCGTGTTGTGTGCGTAAAATTTCATCACAAACCTCACTTTTTTATGATTGTCATTTTGTTAAGCTTCGGAGAAGAAGTACCTTATCAAAACTCAGTATCAGCCTTCAAGATCATACCAGACAATAGTCCAAAGACTATCTTCGTATTCAAGTACACGCGCTTGGGTGGGCCATGCTGTTTTCTACGCGCATTCGCCACTCACACATGGTACCGATCCCAGACATCCTGCAAGCAATGGGAGTAGCACCACGTACATCAATCATGGCAGATGCAGAGACAGAGATAGAGGATCATAACGATGACAATGAAGTCATGGATGGGCCTGTTGAGTCCTTGCCCTCAGAGGATGTCAAGCCACTGGCAAGGATTCGAGAGCTAGAGGTAATTTTTTCGTTTTGGTGATATCTTTTCCTCCAGCTCATTCTCGTCTTGCAGATGGAGCTTCAGCGCTTGCGTGCACAAGTAGAAGATCGGAAGCCCTCGCTTGTCAAGTTGGAACACGGGGGATCGCGACGGAAACCCGCTGTTGTGGAGGTTATTGATCTCACTGAGGATTAGCTTCTCTTTTCTTGGGTTCAGGTCCTCCGTTCTGAGGTAAGCAATCAAATTCCCAGTGTGATGGACACCACCATGCGTTTTCTAGGAACTCGATTATCTGCAAGATGAAACACGCTACATCAATAGTTTCTGTGTGGTTCGAAATCATCATCACTATGATATATGTATGTACATTGTATAGGTGCAGAACTTTAAAAGTCTGTCGCCACGAGTCCTGACGTTACGCTTACGACTTGAATAATACCGTTAGTACTACGCCTTGTTCTATAACCACTGTATAATGGCATTCCAAGTCGTATATAGACTTCATATAATAACAGCTCGCACTCCGAGGTTTCAGAAGTTCAATATTCAATATCAGTGAGTTCAAGATTACAATACAAACCAACTTTTATCACTTTCTTTCTCCCGTAGCAGGGTCGAATATCCACACATGCTCCTCGGAGACTTCTGTGCCTGGCCTGCGCTGCGGTTAATGGAAATGAGCTCAGCGCTCGCGATCGTGGCACCGCCGTCTCCCCTTTAAGATAGGAGTCCGGAGGCTACTAGGTACATGCTGGATTGTATCCAAGGAAGGCAAGATATCCTCTCAACTCGCGTTCCGAATGTCGCGGCATAAGTAAGGAGCTCAATGTCGTTTTGCTCAAGTGTTTCCGGTCTCCAGTCGGTACCAGGACATTCCGAAACGCACGCAACGTTTACAATGACTTATCAATGATGCGGTACTGCGCACTATGTATTATGTAGCTCTCGTGACCAACTCGCGACTTTCATATCTCCTCGACCATCGGTACTTGCCGGCAATGCAATGGCGACTTGATATTGTTCCACTGTTGACCGGTATCTAGACCTTCATGATCATGCTGAGCGGTATTCAGATGATGACGGCTACCTACTGCCCTTGGATGATCATGGGGGATAATTGTATATTTTACGAACACACAGCTATTGGGACATTCAAGAAGTATATCGTGTGAGTGGCAGTCATATTTTGGGACTTGACTCGTTCCATAACTGCAGCCTCGGAGACGAAGCTAAGAGAACTTCCGGTACAGACAAACCTCCTATTTGATTGATCTTATGCTCCATTGGTAAGCTTGTCTCCGATTTCTGTACCGAACACAATGAATGTCAATACAATGAATGTCAGTTGTCGCTCTCTGCGATTATTAGCCGGAAGCCTATGAGTGGACCGGAAGCCGGTTGCTTCGCAGGACTGCTAGAGAAGATCCCGGATCAACTCGCCTGGTTTTGTCATCACCTAACGAGTGTAGAATGAGCTGAAACGCCCGCGGCAAAAAGAGGGACTCGGGATTCCGAATCAAGTTAGGAGGACCGTCATCCTCGTGAGCGGGAATTTTTTCTGCCACTGAGACTACTGACCTGACGTCAGTACAGCCTTGAGTAGATCCTGCCGCCGGCAGGTGCTCATTCTCAAATACTACCCTTCCGGTGTAATCGGTACCCCACAGAAGTCGGTACTTTCACAAAACTCGTGTTTATAAACACGGATATCATTCTCTCTCTTATGACTCATTATGATGTTGAACGACCACGTGAACTGGAGTAGAATGGAGTGAGATAGTTGAAAGCGCAGAAGCCACGTAAAAATATCGACACCTGTCGATATGTGCCGTGGCATTTGCGTGACTGCCAGCGTCTGTGGCGTACCGATTGTACCGGAAGGGATAGTATACACATATGGCGTCCTCGGTGTGATGTCCTGTACCGGCCCGAATCCTTCTTTCCATTCCTCAAAATCTATGCAGTGTTTCGTCCATGGTGCCTGTCTGTACCGCCTGGTCAGTATCACATCGCATGACACCACTCGCGGTTGAAATTGAAACATCACATGAAGACGGTGACTCGTACACCGATTCTCCTGATAACTTTCTGATGTTCTCCGAAGTGGTAAAAGTGGCGTCGAACTCTTGAAAGGGGGGCTGAGAGGAGTAGTGGAAACAGTATTTTTGTGTGTATCTGTCACAAAGCTGAAAACGAAGAATGTGAATGTCACATATTGTCCAGAAATTTAGAGTTTAACCAACGCGTTGTTTGGAGTATAATGGCGCCTTATCAAAATAGTAACGGCATTGAGTGATAGACATAGATCGCGTTGAGTCTCGGCCGCCTTTCCGGATCTACATCAACTCCTCGGACTTTATTGACACGAAGGAGTACTAGTCCATATGTGATAGTGATTCCACGTAGAGACACCTCATGTTTTTGGTCCATGATCCGTTGCCAACCTGTTGAAGAAGGAATCAGAGCGCTGGACATTGGCGGTCCGTTACATCGGCCGATGTGAACCATCAGCGCTGCAGCGTTGTCAACTCCTATGTGCCGTTCCTCACGTGTCATCAATTTTTACGGGTCAGGCGTGCATCGTGACTTGTCTGAAATGGCCGCAAGTCAGCACATTATGACGTGCTTTTGTGGGTGGCCCTGAGCTCACATGAAAAGCCGTTTTGTAAAGCCTGACCTCATTTCCACTGTTCCGGCAGTATCACAAAGCTGCTAGACTAGCAGATAATGAGTCCATGGAAATCGAAGATTAAGCTGCAAGAAGCATTTACCATCTCCAAGATGTGAATCGCGAGTAGGCATGGTCCGGGCTAAAATCACAGCGAGAAGTACGCATTTCCAAGTGGTCTAAAGGTGCCTAGCACCAGGCCATAGCCACTGAGGAGGTACCAGTAACGTCAGTTGCTGTGAAGAACGTTCATCAACGTACCAACAAGTTTGGTTTGAAAAGAAGAGTTTTGGGATATGTCACATGACGTGAACGCGTTCCTTGGTGTCGCTGAGTTTTAAATTTAATTAGTGGATAAAAGTGTAATTCTTTCTGTACCTGGTTAAGCGCGTGTACATCGATTGGAAGCTATCCACGTCATCATTCTCCTTTCCTTCAATGCTATCCTATGGGACGCTACGAGCGTGCATCAGGGTCGATGGACAAGTTTTGGAGAGCTATGGAATTGAGACGTTTCCAGAAGAAAATAAGGTGACCTGTTGGATTGCTTCGGAAGCAGGAAAGGTGTGTACTTCGTGAATTTGTACATGAGGCGACCCCCAACGCCGCCTCCTGTCACTCCTGCAGACGTTCTCTGTAGTATGGCAAGATATCAACTATGCACGCCAGTATCACCAAACAGGAGATGTGACACTCGATGGCGTACATGGAGGGGGTCAATTAATGCGTGCTTTAGGTTTCAATGAGCCACCGACGTATCAGAGATGTACTGCGGAATTCAAATATGTCAACACATCGATGAATTCTATCCGTCCACTTACCTTCTCGAGGCTTCAGCTGACGGGTCAGTTTTATCTGGTGCAGACCATCAGACTCCAGAAGGATGCTCATATACTTATAGATGAAGATCAACACCTGAATTCTGCACATGCAGATCTCGGAGAAATTTCCTTGGCCATCTGGCCTGTGACTGTGATTGGCATGGGCTACCGAAAAAATACAGTCTCTGCTGAGGGAACGATAGTCCACGAGCGCTCAAAGAAGGCATCAAGTCACTGTGTGGGGTGCGTAGTTTTGCTCCATCTCGTCACCCAAGTCACACACGATCTTAGGTTTGGAGAGGAGATCCGCGTGCCGCCGCAACAGGTAATTAACGTGGCGCGCGTTGGAATAACCCCCACGGCTACATTTGTTTTCAGGTACAGACCATTTGGTTCGTGTGCAAAACATAGTCGGTAATTATATTCTGATACTCATATATCCTTACTAGATCGACTCGTGGCAGATGGCATTGCCCCGCCACCTATGCAACCTTCATGGGGAACCAAGCGTGAAGCTCCTATAGACGTACCAGAATCGGAAGATTACAACGATGGGACAGGCTCAGATATAGATGATGAAGCCTTGCGTGAGCTTAATGCGCTGAAAGTCAGATCTTTTCTTGCGATATGCTTATAGAAGCGCTGACACCCAATCTACGAAGGCACAAGTGAAAAGGCTCGAGGAAAGAATAACCACTACCCGCAGTGCCAAGAGGGTAAAATTGGAGTCCAGTGACAGCATGCGGAGTCAGTGAGACGTTGAGGAGTATCACTACCCTATAGGTAAGTTTCTAATCTCTCCCCGATAGCTTGATCGCTGAAAGCACAAGCGCACACAACGTAATTCCGACCCACGTCTTTCTTTTGGACTCTCACTTTGTCACATTCACATGCATGAGAAAACGCGCATCGAGGTTTGACTGTTTTCCGCTCCAATAATGTCCCCGTCCCGCACACCGTAACGAAGGAAATGCTTTAGAGCATTGAACAGCATTGCATCCTCGTCCATTTCCGTATCCATCTGCCAATTAACTGGCGTCAAATCTGCATTGGTGTTAACCATCCCTTCGTCATGCTCCAATTATATTTCAATCTTGTACAATCGGCTGTGGTTCGTTTTCTTGATAGGTACGTTCTTGCGGTATACTTGAGCTCTCGCTGACCAAACCCTGGCGAGCAGATTAATCGTATACATAGTTCATTCTCACCCGTTAATCCTCGATCGATTTTAATAGCCTGCGATCACGGTCCGTCTTGTGCAATCACCGCCTCCACTTCTCGAGATCAGTTGAATTCACTCTACGTACTGTCACTTAATCAATGTGTCTTCTTGACGAACCACTCCTCTTACTTTCCTACGCATAGATATCCATGCTGGATGTGGATCTAGTTAACTCGAAATGATAACGGCTTTTGCGCTATTTGATTTTTGCCTGATCACAGCCCTGGCGCTCAGCATCCCTCGGAAATGAGGCAAACGTTATTTCTTAAGGAAATGGGCTTCCATGTGCAAGGGGAAGGTGGGCTAGGCTGTGCACCTTGTGTTTTTCACTAATGGGGTCTAGTCTGGTCTGGTCTCCAGGCGCATCCAGGGACCGCTCGCTGGACTATACGTGAAACGTCCGGCGTCCAACTTGTCAGCCTCGAGGTTGGCGTTAATTTTGTACGTACCTTTTATTGCTTCTATAACGAAGCTCCACATAGGATAAACTTGTGGAGCGCACGAGGGAGTTTCCTGTGCAGGGAATTTCCATCAATTGCACTCTGTGCGGCCCTAAAATGTCACGAAATAGCGTAACTGCCTCGTGGGTTGTGGCACCAATGACTATAAAGCTCACACAATTCCTTCCTGTATAACGAAATATCCTCTGTACCTAATCGGAGTTCACGTCATAAGCACAATGACTGTAAGCATAGCGCTCCATTATTATGTACCTCGTGTTCATCGTTTACTCACCAACCCCATGCAGCAGTGCACCAGCAACAAGCCCCCCGGACCTATCCGTCGAAGATTAAGGCTTCTCGATAAAGCTGTGCAATTTTTATCGCGCCTAGATGGTCGAGGGCCTCACACAATACACGAGGTGTCCCTAAACACTTCATTCCATTCGCTTCCGTTGAGTCAGGTAAATAATAGCAATGAGTATAAAGACCCACGACCAATGCTTTATCTTCGCACAGGAACATAGCCCTTCCATCCATTCAACATTTGACTTCCACTCAATCCCTGATATGCCTGACCAACAACTCGCACTCATCATCCCATCCAAGCAAGCGACTTTTACCGTCGCTAGCCGCAAAATCCCCAAGCCAGGCCCTGGCGAGGTTCTCGTCAAACTCCAGGCCACTGCGCTCAACCCTTTCGATGCTAAGATCCATAGAGATGGCACTTTCGTCGACAGCTATCCTGCAGTTCTGGGCACCGACGGTGCTGGCATCGTCGAAGAAATCGGTGAAGGCGTTACGAAATTCAATCCAGGGGAAAGAATGTATGTATCTCATTTCTATAATGGCCACGTTCGTTGTGAGATTGATCGTTACTTCGGCTAGATTCTTCCATGGTGCCTTTGACGATAACGATCTGGCAACCTTTCAGCAGTATTGTGTAGTCACAACTGACTTCGCAGCTAAGGCAAGTTAATCCCCGCGATCGGTAGTCGAGACTCGTGTTGATCGATATTACTCAGGTCCCGAGAAGCTTATCGCTCGACCAGGCAAGTACTATCGCATGCGGAATTGGCACAGCCGCGATCGGGATGTACGGTACCATGAATGGTATCGGTCTCATTCCACCTTGGGAGCGCGGCGGATGGTCCAAGTACAAAGGTTGGCCCATCTTGATCCTTGGTGGTGCCGGCTCTGTGGGCAACTACGGTAAGCTTAGCGGCTCATTGCCACAGCCAAGACATCTTACTAATACATCACTGCTACTAGTTATCCAACTAGCGAAACTATCGGGCTTCTCACCCATCATTACCACTTCCTCGCTGAAGCACACGGAACGTCTGAAGAGTCTCGGAGCAAACCACGTCATAGACAGATATCTTCCACTGCCAGCACTCAAACAGGCCGTGATGAAAATTACGGGCTCTCGCATACATATGATGTACGACTGCATATCGACAGCAGAGACGCAGGAGGCTGCTTGGTCATTGCTTGCGCCTGGAGGGAAGCTCGTTGTCACACAGCCATCCTTGATTAGCAAGGACAGCCATGACAGTAGGCAGGTGGTTCCTGTAGACGGAAGCCCGCAATCAGACGAGAACTGGGAAACGGGGAAGAGGCTGTGGGCCCATCTTGAGAGATGGGTCGAAGAGGGTCACATACGGGTATGTATCGATCAAACCTTACCTCTAGGTGTCTTCTAACATTTTTTCAGCCAAACAATGTCGAACTATTATCTGGCGGGCTGCGTGCAATACCAGATGCGCTCGAGAGATTCAACGCTGGGAAGGTAGACGGGGTGAAAATGGTAGTTCGGCCACAAGAAACTTAACAATTTTGCACGGGCGATCTGGGACATCCATATATGATCATTATTTTATCTAGATACCCCCTGCATCCCTGCATTACCTTCATTTCTTTGTCAATATGAATTGCTTCTTGCATGTGTCATCATTTCAAAATGGGCGCGACTCGGGGTCGTATATAAAATGGGACCCCTATATAGAATCGCTTTCAATCGTACTCTCATCTTCTTAACCATGTCTGATACAAAGCAACAAAAAGCACTCTTTCTCAAGTCCAAGCACGGCCAATTCGCTGTTGGTTTGAACAGCACCCCGAAGCCCGGGAAGGATGAGGTCTTGATCAAGGTTTACTCTGTAGCCCTTAATCCTGTCGACTACAAAGTTCAGGAAGTCGGGGGTTTTGTCGAAAACTACCCAGCAGTACTCGGTGAGGATATTGCTGGTATGGTCGACGAAGTAGGAGAAGGCGTCCTCAACTTCGCGAAGGGAGACAGAGTGTGAGCACTATCAGCCCCTGAGTTGTGCCTGGGTCGCCTTCTTAACTTATTCACTATAGATTCACCCATGGCCAGTTTTCAAATGATCAAGCTGGTTTCCAACAGTTCGCACTTGGAGGTACGGACCTCACTGCGAAGGTATGTTCTTAGCGAAGGATTTGCATTAGTACTGACAGCATATAGATCCCGGATAATTTGGGATATGATGATGCAGCCACTATTCCATTGGCCCTCGACACTGCTTCGACTGGCCTGTATAATAGTAACAAGTACGGGTTAGGCCTCACGCCGCCTTGGGTAAAGGGCGGTATTGGCATGTACTCCGGGACTCCAATCGTCATTCTTGGTGGAGCGTCGGCTGTTGGGTCTTATGGTAAGTTGCTGTCAAGAGAAGTATCATTCTAACCTTTCCCTTTCAGTCATTCAGCTGGCTCGCCTCTCTGGGTTCTCTCCTATCATTACGACTGCGTCGCCTGCCCATGAAGTGTACCTGAAGTCGCTTGGGGCTACCCATGTATTGAACAGGCACCTTTCTGCCGACGTTGTCAAGGCTGCTATCAACGGATTTACAAAGAACCCGATCAAGTACGTGTATGATGCCATCTCTCTCCCTGAGACACAGCGGATTGGATGGTCGATCCTCGATGCGAAAGGATGCCTGGTTTTGACGCTTCCGGCATCAGTCCAAGAAGACGAAGGAAAGGAACGCAAAGCTATTAGGACATTCGGAAGTCCACACGCGAAAGAAAACAAGGAGCTTTGCAAAGGGTCGTGGGCCATTCTTTCGCAGTGGCTTGGAGCAGGGACCATTAAGGTGAGGTATCAAGCATATCCCAGTCTCACTGCCGCTGACCTACCTCATCATATAGCCTCTTAGGTACGAAGTTCTTCCTGATGGTCTTGAAGGAATCATCGGGGGGTTGGAACAAATGAAGGCGGCGAAAGTAAGCGGGAAAAAGCTGGTTGCTCACCCGCAAGACACAAAGTGAGGCCATACTATGTGGTCGACGAGGAAGTCGATGTGATTTTCGTCTGGTTTGTCACTGTATTTTTATTCAAGTGTCGGCATCGCATTACTATGTATTAGTAAATTGTTTCAAGAACAAACCTGTGATTCAGATTTCATTCGAGTTGCAATTGGCAAGCGCGTCTTTGCAAACCTTATTTGAACACGAGAATTAGCGGATAATTTCCCCACAATAATTAATGATAATTTTTTCTACCTCACGTTGACTCGGAGGCTGGTACTATGTAATAGTACTTCCGGACTCTGGATGTAATGCCTGGTCGGGACCTCGTGTCAGTCGCTTCTATCAGCCAATTTGTGGTCTTTAACTTGTCTTGCATGTGCTGTGACTTACGAAAAAATTCCTCGACCGATCATGCGAGGACCTTTTGAGACTCTCTGCATCTCGGAAATTCTCGCAGTTATCCTTGATGGTTTGCAAGGCGACAAGAAGTCGTTATACCACATGTCTTGCTGTTGTCGTGCATTTACAGATCCTGCCCTCGATGTCCTCTGGAGATCTATGCACTCCTTTGCGCCATTCCATTCGTTGATTCCACAAAGCGCGTCATTTGCGAATGTAAGTGACTCATCTCACGTCTGTCGCTGATGCCAATCCTCATTATATCCGCAGGACTCCCGGACGACAGACTGCGATCTCCTAAAGTATCGCCCATCGAACGACTGGAAAACGTTCGACAAATACGCTGCACGAGTACGGAGTTTGTGCATAGGAGACTACATCAATAACAGCGTAGACCTCGTAAAAAACCAGGATTGTTATACACGTCTCACAGTCATTCGAGGACAGGATGGATGTCATCCTTTCCCAAAATTACGAAGTCTGTCCTATATCCTCTACGAGCCAATTTCCCCGCAAGCGAAGCCATTTCCCCCCTCCCTGCGATCTCTCACTCTCGTGTGTCGCGACGCGATTGATTGTGACCCTATTGAATTGGTACTTGACCGCGCTGTCGCTGAAACACCGCATCTAAAGGAACTGCGCATTATTGGTCTCATGCGGACAATGAGAACGTTGCACTCAACACTCCATCTTCATTTCGGGCAGATCGAGAGCCTCGATCTAAGCAAAGCTTATATTCGTGCCCCCGAGCTTGCAACTCTTTGCACGCTATTGTCCCAGGTACCTATCTCAGACCTCAAAATCCACCTCCAAGATCGCTTGAACATGGATTGGCAAGCCATTCCTCCGATGTTCCCTGCATTGAAGCAGTTGGATGTTCGTGGATCAATGTCTTCCGTCACCCTCTTCATGTCACGTCTTGCAGCAACAAACCTACATACGCTGGTTTTTCAGCCAGACGGGTATTTTCAGGGTGTCGTGACCGTCTTTGATTACCTCATACCTATCATCGTTGAGACGTTCGGAAAGTCGCTGAAATCGCTTGATCTTCATATCAATGGACCTAGGCCTCGTGCCCAGGATAGCGACGTTATCAAGAGTATTTTTCAGGGGCTTGAGCCTCTTTTGGAAGCAGGCTTGCAATCACTGCGCCTGTTTTTGCAAGTAGGCTCCACAATACCAGTGCAATTCCCTCCGGAAGTGCAGTCCATGCTTGAGCCCTCCGCTTGGCCTTCCTTAAAGCACTTTCACTTTGCGACAAAGGAGTAACAATACGCAGTGTTCTTCCTTGATATAAGCAATCGATCAGGTTATACACCAGCATGGTTAGTTTTTTGGTCCCTGTCTAAGGATGGGGTGGTCTAGGAGCTATTTACATAACTTTAGCAGGGCTGATTTTAATTTTTTTTTACCCCAACTTGTACATAACTTAAGTACTACACACTGTTACGTCAGCATCCGGAAATAATATACAATTTAGATAGGTACCGGCGGCACCTGTAAAATCCATATTCTCGGCTGCATGCAGAGTCTGCGTTTAGGACATAGAACAGCGATACTCACATTCAATTCTCGATGAGCTTTGCTATGGATTTACTCTTGTTGGCAACCAGCTGGGCTCACGTTCTTTTGGCACCATACACGAAAGTCGAAGAAAGTTTCAACCTGCACGCAACCCATGATGTTCTTATGTATGGAGTTGGAAGAAATAATTTGCACAAGGCATGAAACTTTCTCATCCTATCTCTTCGTATCTAATCTGTTGCGAAGTTTGACCATAATACCTTTTCAGGTGCCGTACCACGGACATTCATAGGAAGCATTCTACTTGCGTGGCTCACTTCACCTGTCGCCTATGTGGCCAGTCAGTGGGGCCTGCTAAGCACAAAACTCGACCTTCAGCTAGCAGGTTTGATTCTATCTCAACACTCGGCTCACAACGTTTTGACCTTTCTCATAGTGCGTTTGGTACTTGCTACGCTAAATGCAACAGGTCTCATGTTGGTACGACGGGCTGTATGTAGACGATTTGGTCGTCCAACTGGCCTCATGTATGTCCTCTTGATGTGTTCGCAATTCCATCTGCCGTTTTGGATGGGCAGAACATTACCAAACATGTTCGCATTGTTCCCTGGTAGGTGATTTTCCTGCGACACAAGCTTCTGCTTAACAAAGGACAACCACAAGTCAACCTTGCATTCTACGCGTTGTACGACAGAGCTCCGCAGTCTCAGTATCCTGCAAGAAGGAGTGCCGATGTTGCATTTGCTTTACTAACGTTCACTGCCGTTGTGTTGCGCTCGGAAGTCGTGCTATTACTAGCTCCTCTTGCCATCCAAGCACTTCTTCTCCGGCGTATCAGTTTTATGAGATTGATTAAAATTGGGTTTTTGTCTGGCATGTTGTCCATTGGTGCGTATTGTTCTCTGTGCACTGAAAAGTCTGCAACTGTTGAGCGAATAGTTTTAAGCGTTACCGTCGACTCATACATGTGGAACCAGTGGCCGCTGTGGCCCGAGATGTATGGTGTATATTTCAATGTATATCAAGGCAAGAGTTCTGATTGGGGCGTAAGTTGTCACTTTATTTTTCTTTCGTGTTTCTCACCCATTATGCAGACCTCACCTGTGCACGCGTATTTCCTTTCACACCTTCCAAAGCTTCTTCTTGGATCCTTACCATTGGCTGTACTCGGAGCTATGTCGGATAACCGTGTCCGGGTCCTAATGTACCCCCCAGTCCTCTTTATTGCCCTCATCAGTTGTTTGGGTCACAAAGAATGGCGCTTCATTATCTACGTCGTTCCCCTATTCAATATCGCCGCCGCTCGGGGTGCCTGGTGGATGTAAGTATCCATACTTTCTACTTCGTTCGATCAGAGGCACACTGAGCTTTTCAACAGGGTATCTCGAAGGAAAGGTGGTCTTTTCGGAAGAATGATGTTTCTCGCAGCTATGGGCATCCTTGCTCTGAATTGTGCCATCACTATCGTATCGACATGCGCGTCAATGGCAAACTACCCTGGTGGTTCTGCACTCGTAACATTCAATGATCAATATGCAGACCAGCATGCTGGTATGAGCCACAGTGAATGAGCTTCTGAGTCTCGCTGACAACACCATCACAGTGCACGTTCACATATCTAACCTTGCAGCCCAGACTGGGGCCTCGCTTTTCCTCCAGAGTCATTCACCACCATATATCCCATCCATGAGCGCACCAGCAACAAATGATTGGGTCTACAACAAGACAGAAAGTCTCTCCCCACGCGATCTTACAACGTCGAGCCCTCTCACTCATCTCATTGCCGAGTCTTCGGTAGAGTTCACCAGGACCGGTCGATGGAAATTAGTAGACAGCGTGCAGGGGTTCTCAAGATGGCAGTGGAATCTCCCAAGGGGCGGCATCGCCAAGGTTCTGGAAGTTCCCCTTCATCAGTGGTTAAGCGTGTTGGAGATGGAGACGAACGACCAGCTTTATATACTAGAGAGAGTGAAGTGATATCTTCTGTACCTTGCTATCCTTGAAGCTTGATTGACACATACTTGAGTAATGTGTGGAAACGAATTACCTTATTTGTTACCGGGTGCCGTGCAATGATCCCTTCACAATTAAATGTATCACTGATACTCCGGGTATGTACTAGGTGAGCGTTCTCGGGGCCCATCAATCACAAGTGTTGCACGCGCCAAAAGTACTGGACTGGACTCTCAGGCTGCTTCTTATCGTGGTGCGTTCGCTAAGATTGTTAATGATAAGATGCTGAAGCGCTGTCAAACAGTGAACATGACGTTATGTATTTTTACCTATACTTGTAGAATGTGCGGAGACTGTATGTACTATGTAGAGGTTTAACTCATAATGCGTTGATGCACAGACCATATGCATGATCATTAATTCATTGCTCATAGTAAGTAAGCTTAGGTGTCGCGACGAACCAAGCGCCATCACGATATTATATTAATATGTAAGCTGCTCAACGTTATTGGCGGCTGGCCACGGGTTCCACTCTTCGGATTCCAATGCTTCCAAATTCGCAAGTTGTTCAAATACCACTAATCGTGTGGTCATACCCAGGCTCAGGCTTTAGTTGATCTGTCTTCCCAGAAACCATGGACAGCGCACCTACAGATTCTACTCACCTGGATTGGAGCAACGTCGGCCTCGGCTTCTCCTTCATTATTTTCAATGCCCTCATTTCTACTTCGCTACAACTCGGAGTAGGATCGTCGCTACTCTCCGCGGCTATACGATGTGTAGTGCAGTTGGGGCTAGTGGCGATGGTGTTGCAGAAAGTGTTCGAGACAAATAATCCATGGGCAGTGGGCGGTATTGCATGTGAGCGTTTTTCGTATTCACTCGAGGTAGCCGGGCACTAAAATTATGATATCCAGGTTTGATGAATTTACTAGGAACTGTCGAGGCAGGTATGTCCCAAGCGATTATTATCGTTGTCTCGGTCCCTAACGCAGAGAAGTTATAAACAAGTCTAAAAAGCGCTACAATTACATGGCGAGTTCTACCATGATCGTATCTATATTCTATTCTGAACAGTTCCATAGTTCTCTTGCGTACTGTTTGGTATGCTGTGCTCGACGATACCTGTCTCTATCATTGGCATCCGCTTCGCCATGGTCATAGAGCCGTTCTGGAAGCCCGAACAATATAGTATGTCATGATCTCTTTGTGCGAGATCAGTGGTATTGACTTGTAACTACAAGTTCCAATTGTTGGTATGTTATGTGGAGGCACGGTCTCGGGAATCGTTGTTGCCGTGTCCTATGTACTGCGGGAGATATAGTAAGTCGTGCCACTAATGTACTTAAAATCTAGATATTAACCAACGTTCTTGCAGCGACAATCGCGACAAAGTCGAAATGTACCTCTCATTTGGAGCATCGCGTTTTGAAGCATGTAGACCTGTTGCACGAGAAGCTCTCCGTCTTGCACTGGCTCCAACGATCAGCCAAATGAGGTTCGTATCATTCAAAATACCAAGCTGCTTCTAATTCAGTGTTTGCCCTTGACAATAGCGTGATCGGAATCATTGCTATTCCAGGCATGATGACCGGTAAGAATCTGCGCCACGATGTGGACGAATGGTCATACTGATCAAGGGTTTCAGGTGCCATACTTGGTGGCTCTTCAGTTCAGCAGGCAGCGCGGCTCCAGATGGTTATCATGTTTATGATTTCCGCCTCCACAGCACTTGCAGCGATTATCACCACGGTTACAACGCTTGCTATCGTCGTCGATAACGAGGACCGCCTCCGCCCAGACCGCGTCGATGTACGCGACCATCCGGTCTGGCGTGCGAGGAACTGGCTCTTCAGTCGAGCAGTGGACGGGGTGAAACATACGGTGCGGAGCTGTCGTGGGCTCATACGCAAGGACCGACAGAATGGGGTTGCGGAGACGGACAGGTTGCTGGGCTGATGCTCATCCTGTTCGATCTATCAAACTATAATTTTTTTCTGCGTGGTGTCCACACCCTTCGTTCAGATCCTATCGTTTATGGACGATTATTCTATACCCAATGGTGGAAATACATAAACATTGTTACTATGTAACGTCAAAAGGTATATAACTGGAGTTATTTAACTCGGTTATAATGTATTAAGGTGATATTTTGTTGATATGAAATCATGCATGCACGTGTTGAGCGACTGTCTGATCTTGGTAATGGACTCAACGTGCTTGCTAAATATGTGTCACGGGCGGGCGGGCTAGGGCACGCACAGGATAAAGACCGATAGGCTCGATTAAAGCTTGATCAGAGGTATCCGTCGAGAACGCCCTGATGGCATATCTACCGATAGGTGAGAATGAAATCTTAGATCAAAGACTTATGATTTGAATACCACTTGCAGGAATAGGTATTATAATTTCGGAATCCAAAGTTCGTATCAATTGATAGGGAAGAGTTGCGGCGCCCTGATTACTTCAATACTTGCAATTTGCAAAAGTCATTTAGAACTTCAACCCCATTGGAGTGGAGAGTCGAGACTCGGGACCTGTCAAGGTGATTATCCATCATTGCATTTCAGGAAGACCGTCCTCGAAAACGTCGCAGGAGATAACGACAGGGTGTAAAGATCTCGATACACTGGTGGTATAGACGTGGCACCATGGATCTCTAGACGCCGTTACATGGACCGCATCAGTCGCGCTTCACCTTCTGGCAAGGCGAAATAGAATGCAGGTGAGGCCGGCACAGACGTCAAGGATGCCAGTGTCAAAGGCACCGAGATCACACGTCTATGAGGTACCCTGAATGAAGCGATGAGTAGGTGGCCTCGAACGCCACAAGGGAGGTATTCTGGCGCGCTCGGATAGAGCGGGTAAAACTCTAGTCCAAGGTTCAATTTCGCTGAACCGCAATGTGATGAGCCATGGAAATCGCCTTTTGCGCGTGGACTGCGGTGCGTTAAACGCATTGATACTAAAAGAAACTTGCTGTTAGGGGCGAATGCCAACACGGGACATTAGAATTTAAATGAACGTGAAAAGGCGCGCATAAACGATTTGCCGGCGGAAGGAGACTGAGTTTGAGCAGTCGGCAAAGATGCACTGATGAGACTTCCATCTACAGCGCTCCGCCGTTGAAAAATCCGCCTGCCGAGATTGGTAGTACTCGAGTAAGCGAAGGGCATGGAGGTGGGCAGGCAGTGGGATTAGCAAACCTTTAGCCGGGATGATGTTCAGCAACAATGATGGTCTTTTTGGGGATACTAGACGATGAAGTCGGAAATAGAGAAAAGCTTGAGAACGAAGCACACCATACATTTCCGCACAATTCTCTATCTTCCATATTTCCAGAATAATCAGGAGCAGGTGTTCTGATGGGCAAGCTTCTAACGCGTAATCCGTGAATCCATAGCGGTTTGGCGCCCTCGGTGTTCATTGAAGATGTGTATTCGAGGTTCCTCTAGAAGTTTCCCGGACAGGAGTTATTTGAGCTTCGTGCTGTAAGGTGCTATGTACGAACAGGCTGGAGCCTTGAGTAAAGCGCGCTCAGCTTGTGGGAATCGAATGCCTCCGAGTCGAGGCGGAACAGAAATGGATGTGCCTTCGGGCCGCTTGCTAGTTTACGCGTCGTTTCTGACGTATTCCTCCTGTCTGAAGTGGGGTATTAGCAGGAGCGAAAGACAGCCGAGATAGAAGTCATAGTCCAACACGTGTGCGGGTCGTGAAGCGCTACACAGTGAGAGAGAACAATAAACGCTGGGCGTCCAATATTGATCGATTTATGTAAGATACAAACTCTGATTTCATACGTATGCGAGACTACGTATCACGCACATATCACACATCGAGAAAGAATATAGCCATCTAAGCTATCCTCGTTCTAACTTACCACACGCACATTCACTGGGGAGGGTATCAATCAAAGTGCATTGATATAAGAAATAGACGTTAGAAATAAAAACACTTGGTGAAACATATCTACAACGAGGTCCATAATCCATCAGCTAATATAAAACTTGCAAAGGTATGAGAGGCGACGACACAAGGCCACACATCTATGATAAAATCTGGAGGTCGATTAGTCAAGTCTACCTGCAGTGGTGGTCATTTTACGTACAGCCAAAAGCACAACTGCAACGACGATGACGAGAATAATCATGAGACACGCTGCACGTCGTCCAGCTTTGCGTTGGTACTCGGAAGCAGTCGAAAGCTCCTCAGCTGCCCCCTGGGTATCTACAGCGATGGAATACACGTTTGATTCGATGTTGTCTGCGAAAAAAGGGAAAAGAACAGAAGGTGCCAGTGAGCCAGTGATCATAACGGAAGCCATGCACATACCAAGCATGCCGCCTTGTTGGTTGACGAGTGTCCCAAGGTCACGGAAGATCTCCGATAGTTCATGTATACCGGACTCAATCTCTTGGATTTCCGCTTCTCGTTCTTGAATCAAAGACTCTTGGTACGCAAGCTCGTGCGGAGAAAGCTGTGACTGAAGAAGTTGAGCCTGACGTAGTCGGGGAGACGCGCTTGGCTCTCGTTGGCGCAGCCTGTAGAAACATGAGGCTATTGCACCTTCACGGGGAAAGTAACGCACGCATCATCATAGTGATCATCTTCTACTGCTATTTTCACCCCTTCTACCACGGATCTCTGGCGCTCTGCGCTAACTTGTTGTGCTCTTTGAAACGCTACCAAAGACAGTTGCAAGTCATGTGATATTTTCTGAACTGAGGTCTTGTGTTGAGGCTGGTACGTCCGATTCAGTTGACAAAAGCATCAGTGTAAAATATCAATTTACGCTTGCCGTAGCGGTTGAGGCAATCTTCTTCAAGTCCTCAGAGCCTCGCTTAGCCATAGCCCTCGTGGTTTCGGTGAGGTCATGTCTGCGCCCATAGTGCATTTAGTAACTGAGGTGATACCTAGCGAGTGATACGTACAATGACTTCCTAAGCGTGGCAGAATCCTTTGTAGTGCCAAGTTGGTCGACCAGCTTGAGAATACCCTGTACATTCGAATTTATCTTGAACACCTGGAGTGAAAGTGACGATTGCAAGGAGAGAAACGCAGACTCTTCACGCGGCTGAAGTGCTGTCGAACTGGACTGTCCCGTACGTGCAAGACCAGTTTCAATGTCCTGGAAGCTCATTATGACACACGAGAGAGCTGAAGGAGGACAATAGCGCAATATTTAGTGGTCAAGGTGTGCTGCCCACGAACGCAGTTACCCAAAGGGGTCAAAAGCGCTTACAAATCATCAAAAATCCCACGATGTTCCTGAGAAACTCTAAAATACTAATGGGCCAGATTTTTCCAGGTCATGTGACTGATAAACACAAGGCGCGAATATTGAACTTCTGAAGCAGAGATGCGTATTTTCTGCGATGTGTTCGTGGCAGAAAATTTTGAGTACGTTGGAAGAACGTGTGGTGTGGTGTTCCGCGTAAGGGACAATTCTTTTAGTCGCAAAATTCGAGTTTTTGAGCTGCAGAGGTAATATTTACGGCACAATGGACTATAAAATCGTACTTCTCGCATCCCGCGCTGGCTCCGTGGCGAAACCTGCGTGTCTCAGGTAAGAATCCTCACTTCACCTCACTCTAAGACACAAGTTTTTGCAGGAGCTCAGATGGGAAAGGTGTCCCAGAGCCACGCGCCTCCTTGCCATCCCCCCTGTCCCACGACAGGAAAGCTCAACGGTCGATGAAATCACCACAGCGGCTATCATATCTGAGGGATGTTCAGAATATTGTGAAAATTCAAAATGTTACTAGTACAGTGCTAATGTAGGATAGGACTGCTGAGCTAAACGGCAGCCAATAATCTAGAATCCAAATAACTATGGAGTTAGTGATCGCGATTTGCAGCATGTACAATTCTTTGCTTGAGTTCAATTGAAGGAATGAGATTCATGAGCTTGGTCCCATTCTCGAGCCACCATTTTTCTGCCTCCTCATCCGCATCGTATCCAAATTGGATATCGCTCTTGGTCTTATCAGCCCACTGATTCGCGTTGCTTGTCAGTACACGTGTGCTCTTCTCACCACGAGCAACGCGTAACGCGTCCTCCATGGCAGCACGCATGTCGCGATCACGTTCCTCTTGCTCCGGCCCGTCGGGTTGGTGGAATATGTGCCGGTTTAGTTTTGAGGAGTTCTGTGTCGCGGTAGCACGGTCGTACCGGAGAGATTGGTAGGCATGTAGGAGAGGCAAGATCTGTGAGCGGTGCGAGCAATGCGAGAATATGTTGCCTAAGATGGCAGCATCTTCAATCTAGAAAACTCTGATGTCAGCACTCGTTTGACTGTTTTCACTCCTCCTTACCGCCATGGCTGACCCTTGTGCGCGGTACGGCTAAGAGAATATGACACTCAGTATGTGCTGTTTTGATCGAGAATTTATACAAACCAGCATTGGGTGGCACGAGTCTCCCAGTAAGGCCAACTTGCCATCCTTGTGAATCCACGAAGACAGTGGGTCTCGGGCGATCAGCTTCCAATCGAGTGTTGACGGAACAAGCGCCATAAGCTTTTGAATACTGCGTCCCGCCCACGCCACCAGTTAGCATGAACAAGGTGGGGATTAAAACGGAGTCACTAACGTGGTGCTCCATCCCTTGTAGGTCTCCTTCATTTTGTCCACGTTACCTTCAGCAGTCCATGATTCAATGCCCCCTTCATCTTCATCAGGGTGCATCATGACGAGGTTAAATTCTGTCTTGGCACGCTGTCCGGCTCTCGCATTAGTTCCCGGGGATGTTAACCATGTTAACTGAACAGTCGGCTTACAATAGTATAGCCGACGATGTGACCTCCTGGGCCCATCCATATATTTGATTCCATTTTCTCCACCAATGGTCTCAGCTCTTCGTCCTCTAGGAGTTTCTCCACCGGGATGAGGGTTCTGTAAGCAGCATCTCCAGTAGCCTTGGGTTTATCGGGCCCACCGACAATATACTCCCGAGTAACACTTTTGACTCCGTCAGCGCCAATGATTAGGTCAGCAGATACGACCTCCCCGGAAGCAAGAGTTGCACTAGGTTTCGATGGGTCCACGGATACAACGCGACTATTAACGCGAATGTTACAGTATGGCTCAGCGGCTTCGTAGAGCATACGATGGAAATCAGCCCGCTGTTTCCTCGTCAGAAAGAATAGGTGCAATAAGGATACGACTAACGTGTAAGAGGTAGAAAGGGGAACCATATTCCTTATCGATCACATCTCCAAGCGGCGTCCACCCCACGACCTCATCGTTGTCCCCTGGAAATTGTCATTAAACAAGAGCGCCGAGACAACAATTTGATGGAACTCACATCGTTTAAAGCTTAAAGCCTGAATTTTGACGCCAAGTTCTTCAAGACGTGGGCCAAGACCCCAACGCATCAAGAGACGCGAGACGTTGGGACTGGCTTGAACGCCAGCACCCACTTCACCGATGGCTGACGCTGCTTCGAGGATGGTGATGTTGTGGCCTGCCTGTGCGAGGCAATATGCAGCGGCGAGACCTCCCAGACCGCATCCTATGACTACGATGTTAAGGGGCAGTGAAGCTCGCCTTCCTTTGTATAGATGGTCCGGCTGATGGGTGGATCCAGCCTGAGACATTCAAAAGGTCAGTACATAGTTTCGCTTTGACTGGGCCCACGTCACTACTAACTGTTTTAGATTGCTGTGCGTTCATCGTGTCACTCAAGAAGTAATACTTGGGGATGATAGAGTGGAGATGATAGAGGGGGCTGGAAGTGAGTAATAATTGATGTGGGTGGACTGTTGATATAGGCTGCTAAGGAGAATGAGGACGTACCTTATTTCGTCACATCGATTCAATCATCAGGAGTTTCAAACCCGTCTTCGTCGCTGGCCATCGGTTTTCTTCCCTCGGTTCTATCTCCTGAATTAGAAGTAGGAGTGCTTTCTTACTTGAAGATGTCAGCACGGGTCCTTCGAATCAGAGGGTAAACGATTCATCCATTCGCAGTTACTGGCCAAGATTTCCTTGTGGTCGGCTGCCGTGAAGATCCATCACTAAAAACGCCTTGACAGTCTTTGTCTGTGTCTAAATGATTTGTTATCCAACACTCTAGTTATATGTCATGACGCACATCATGTTATTAAGATTGTTGAGTAAATTCGCCAAAATATTTATCCAAACTCTCAGGCACATAAGCTTTCACAGAGGGCCCGGCCCCGGAGGGGGGTTCGACTCAGTCGACATGCTTGCAAAGGCGATCATGATGATAGAGTGTGTGAGACAAGATGGTTGTAGTATAATCGCCGGACTGTGGGGTATTCGATTAGTAAACCTGTAGTCGACGAAAGGTGATGCAAGAGGCATGAATAACCGCAGTAAAAGATTTAAAAGTAGGAGACTCCACGTGGCTGAGGAGCAGTAAAAGTAAAAGATCGAATCTGTTCCATGTACGACTTACCATGGACGGGCTTATGGCAGAATAAACCTATAGCTCGTATATCCACTTCTGAACCGTGACAGGCGTGTATACCGTGGGCATGTATGACTCATAAGGCAGAGTATGAACGTTAACTGTGCCAAGTTTGTGCCAAGTACTGTCAGTCTGTCCCGGGCGCCACGCCTCGACCTTAAATTAGGCAACCTATGCACAGAGATAAGATTGAAAGTTGGTATGAGTGGTCACCGGTCAGCACGCCCATCTTGGTTTAGACTCTTGGTAAATGCTATGCTTAACAATTAGACACCATCGGACGTACGAGTAGCTCGGAGATAGATAATGTTAAATTTGGACACTCCAAATCTTTGAAATAGATGACTGTGCAGTGTGAACCGCCTGCAGATGAGACTGTACATCTCTTTCCCTGTGTGTTTTTGCTGATTCAGAGGCTCGTCAGTGCTAGTCTGCCACACGTTACAAACCTCAAACCTTTGACTGCAACTCCATTCATCGGACGAGTTCATTCTTCCACAGGTGATAAGGTGTGCAGTAGAGATACCCTCATGTTAGAAGGGACAACTGTCTTCCTTCTGTAACATTCTGCCTAGGAGAGACTACTTTTATATGACGCAGACAACCTGCACCGATAGGTTACCCTGCTGGGCCCCTCCATGAAAGTGAGGATGCCTGATCGCAGTCCCTTGCAAATGCCGTACAAGAAGTCATTTTCGATGTCGTGTCTGCAGACTCAATGCCAGTGATTGACTCGGATTCCTTTTCCAATGTTCCCGTGAATCAATCAATCACTCTTTTACCACTATGATATATCTGTACCAAAAGACGCAGATGTGTCGTTTGATCGAGTCATAACACGGGTGCTTGAGCCAAAAATTCGTGACCACATGCTGGCGAGGTTCCTGCGAGTCGTAGAGATAAGCTTAATGGCCGGAGGGTAGAACAAATTTAAGTTGGTGTAGACGGATTAAGTCTGTAGAATATTAAAAGTGGATTCCTGTCTAATTGTCAAAGTGAAGAAATTTGCTTAAAAAGATTGTTTGGTCGTATTTGCTCTGAGGCTTGTAACTAGCAAACTCTATTTACTGTATCAACGTTAGGCAGGCTAGAATATCTCAAGACCGTCAAGACCGTCAAGACCGTCAAGATCAACGACAATGGCCTCAAGACCCACCGTTACCGTCCAATCCGTCTCCGGAGGTTTGTACACATTTCTCGGCTTGCTGTCCGTCCATACTAAAGTCTATCTCATGTAGAGGCCTCAACCTCCCTTCCCCTTCCTGCCGTCCTCACAGCTCCCATCAGGCTTGATGTAGTCGCCCAGGTTCACAGTGCGTAACAAGTGTTTGGCACTTTATCAGAAATGTGACATTGTCTCAGAGAGCATGGCCAAGAACAGGCGTCAGGCTTACGCTGTCAGCGAGAAGGCTGGCCATCAGACTTCCGCTGAGTCCTGGGGTACTGGTCGCGCTGTTGCGCGTATTCCTCGTGTCGGTGGTGGTGGTACCCACCGTTCTGGCCAGGTGCGGGGATAGTCATCCAATCTCCGATCTTCCATCATTGACAATATATCCTTAGGCTGCCTTTGGAAACATGTGCCGTGGCGGTCGCATGTTCGCCCCCACCAAGACTTGGCGCAAATGGCACGTCAAGGTCAACCAAAACCAGCGCCGCTTCGCTACCGTCTCCGCACTCGCAGCTTCCGCGCTCCCATCCCTTGTTCTCGCCCGCGGTCACCGTATCGAGCAAATCGCCGAGGTTCCTCTTGTCGTTGATAACGCAGCTGAGTCCTTCAAGAAAACAAAGGAGGCTATAACTCTCCTCAAGGCCCTGAATGCATACACGGATGTCACCAAGGTGTCCAACTCGCGCAAACTCCGTGCAGGAAAGGGCAAGATGCGCAACCGCCGCTACCGTCAACGTCGTGGCCCTCTTGTCGTTTTCAAGGACGACAACGGCATCGTCCAGGCCTTCCGTAACTTGCCTGGTGTCGAACTCGTCAACGTCCAAAGGTTGAACCTTCTCCAACTCGCTCCTGGTGGACACATTGGCCGCTTCGTCATCTGGACAGAGGGCGCCTTCAGCCTCCTTGATGAGGTGTTCGGCACCTTCGACAAAGCCTCCTCGTACAAGAAGGACTACCTGTATGTCTCGTATGCAGTGCCTTATTGCTCGACTGATTTGTCCCGTATAGCCTTCCCACTGCTAAGATCTCTAACCCCGACGTTACTCGTCTCATCAACAGCACTGAGATTCAATCTGTTGTTCGCCCTGCAGGCCCAAGGGTCCAGAAGCGCCCATGGACGCAGAAGAAGAACCCCCTCGTCAACAAGGGCGTTCTCTTCCGCATGAACCCTTACGCCAAGACCCTCCGCAGACAAGAGTTGCGTATGTATCTTATATACCTTTCATTTAATCAAATTGATCACTCATGTATTACGTTGGTGTGTTATAGTCAAACAGGAGCGTGTCAAGGCACAAAAAGACAAGAAAGGAAAGAAGGCCAAGGGCTCCTCTGCTGGAGAGGCTTTCCTCAACACGTTGTTCGCTCCTTGAGTGTGTTGAAGTTATGGTTACCTACATCTACGTCGATTGTCCTCGCATGCCCTTATGCATTCATGCCATGCAAAAATTGTCATTCATGGAGACTTTACTTTGCTAGTACTTCTGATCAATTTCAGATCTCGTTCCACTCCATTCCCGCTTAGTCAAAGTGCGTCCAATGGAGTTATGCTTCAGCCACATCATTCCCGTCGAAAGTGGACGCGTTTTTAGACCATTTGGCCTGACAACGCCTGACAGTTTTTCCCCCTTGGGCAGCTGAATTCAATCCGCTTACCCTGCAGGAGTGTGGAGCTTACGTCTTTGATAAATTCCAAACACGATTGGTACAATACCCGCTTCAATCAAGCTTCAATTGAGAAAAAAATGGTGAGTAATGTGCTCCATATTGTCTTGAGTTTAACTCCCAGGGACCTAGGTAAATTTCCGCAAATGGGCTGCTATAACGCCCGCTACATGTGTCAACATTTCAATCGTGTCCCATCGTGTCCAAGTCGAGCTCTTGGGATGCTTTTTTCTTGGAGCAACATTGCAAGTTCATCCACTTAGGCCACGGCAAGCACTACCACTGTACTCCACACGATCATACACATCGATAATCCTGCAGTGACAATCTGTGACAAGCGTGGAAGTTCCTTTTGGCTTGTTCAGAGCTTTTCAGATCAGAGTAGGACCACCAAATCCATCGGACGGGTGCTTCATTTTTGCATCTATTTCCACATGGTCGAAGTCCAGAACATGATGCATGATGGGTTGAGAGGTTCACCGCCACAATAGTGACTTTTGTTGCGAAGCGCGTGATTTTCTACATTGAGCTTCTGGCAGTGACTCCAGCGCGAGAGGTGCCATGACTATGATAGGCACTGCCTCAGAGGACACATTGTGCGTATATATAATCCTTTACAATTCATAAGGAGAATCCTACAACCCTCCCTCACTTATTCAGCCATGCCAACCCCAGTGTTGGCCGACTCCATTATTGGTGAGACCGCATTGATGCACTCTACAGACCACGGTACAATATCTCCTTGATTGTCCATCTGCATATACGATATTTTAGGACTAACTCGAGCATTGTGAGCACCAAGCGTCTAACTAGTATGATCGCTCCTCATCATCTTTCAGTGTACCGCAAGGAGGTTTCTTATGGCAAAGGTGATCTCTGATTTCATGTCGTGCACTTTCATCTCTCCGAATCTACCGTAAGAGATCATTGATGAGATGTTTTTGGTGTGCCAAGTTGCTCAGATCACTCATAGCTGTGAGTCTCACCAGCTCTCGTCCTCGTGCAAGGCTTGCGCCACACCTAGCCTCAAGGCAGTGTTTGTTGTGAATGTGGCGTTGATAACTCTGGATGTGGCGCTGTGTCAAGGTACGCAGCTTGAAATTTGTTTCTATTAACGACCTTCCAAGCTGTCATCGCTCTCTGTGTTTGGTGCCTTTTCGCGAGGAACAGGGTGTCGCTATACACCGTGTGCATACTAAGCGTTGACTATGGGTTTATAGGTGGCTCTCTCTTCGATCTTTTTCAAGGGGATGGTGCACCCGAGTTTTACCAAGAGCCTGACGATTATTGCCCTCGTGTCCACGTCCGGCTTTATAGACCATAGCGCGCTAGGTGTGTGATGAGCGACCAATTTCAAAGACGCTCTTTGCTTCTAGAAGGTTTTTTCAGAGTACGCCATTGATCGTACAGCTACTCGCATAAAACACTCACCATATGCATTCTCAGGTATCCATGCGCAACGGGAAGCATTCAAGTTCGATATCGGCTTTCATACTTGTCATACCATCACTCAGGATCGCTACTGCGCTCAATCATCGTTCTTTCATTGACTGGCTGGATATGAATATTGTAAAACTGTTTCTTGTTCTGCTCAGCAACCTATGATTCTCTAGGTTCACTGCATAGGTTTATAAGGCGGGTAGGTTGCTTTCATAGCTCACTTATGAATGAAATCATGAAACCGATCATTTATTCAGCGTCGTCGTCGGTGCAACCATTGTCTTTGTCTGCCATGCGTTACTCCTCAACATTCGATCTACATCTGCGGCGCTTCACAGCGTGGCTCCTCAACCACGCAGAACTCAGTCGTGTCCAAAAGACCATGGGAAACCGTGAAGACGAGATTTCGAGCGAGGCAGTTCTAGCGACACAGAACTCCCCATGACTCCGAATCCTTCTCACACCCTGGCTTCTTCGAATGGCCGCAACTTCAATGGTCTAGACACTCCCACAAGTGAGACTCATCGAGATTGATCGCTATGTCTTGGCCACTGATGTGACAGACTCAGGGTTAGTGATCAACATGCTGTTTCAGCCATACTCTTTTAGTATACACTGCATCGATGATTTTAATAAAAATAGGACTTACTGGATTTACTTGAATCCGGTGATTTGAGCATGATAGAAGTTGTTGCGGGAGAGAGTAAGAGCAAGCGTCCATGGTGACATGCGAATCTGAGGGTGTGCTGTGTTAACTTCTAGGTGCATCACGACAAGGTATCTGGACATATTTGGAAACATGAACTTTTGAAAAGGCCGTGTACGTTGATGAAAATGATTGCACGCTATATATAATCCTTTATCCTTTTCGAGCACTTCAACGTGTATGTATTAGGTTACCACAAGGGTCACCAGCTTCGCCTCTGCATGGTCATCTGCTACTTATATAGAGTTGGTCCACATTAACTCCTCAATGCGATTTCCCGGAACGGTCCTTTCTGTAGACATTCCAGGACCCATCTGCAACTCGCCATGTCCACCGACTGGCAAGCGCAGAAGGCTGCGAGCGCTACTACCTCAGCGCATTTACTAGCCGTGGCATCATTCACCCTAGTTGTGTACGATCATATTATCACGTTCTCTCAAGAGGTATCGTTGCCTCCATCATCAATAGTGACCTCACGCTGATCTACGACCAACCACTCTCAACTCACTCTTCTAGGTGACCTTCTTCTGGTCTGGGCCATGGACAACTTCAAGAATACTATACCTCAGTGTAATGCCGTCGATGAGTTGTATTCTGCTGCCGGTGCTTAATCGTGGATTCAATAGATCCGATACTTGGCTTTAACACAAATGTCGTGCGTGTTTGATGCCATCTCATAACACCGCATTGTTGATGACCATTGATTAGTCTCATATTCTATGGTCCGTCGGTGAGAATATACGTGACATGGCTCTGACGATTCAGACGAATAGGAAGCATTGTGACTCCCAATTCTACCGTGAGCACTTCTTCAGTCGTATCGTCGTTCGGCGCCTTACGTACAGCTTTCCACAGGAGTGAGTCATGCGTGACAAGGACCTAACAAACCAGTTCACGCAGGAAATAGTGTACAATGGCTTTTTATTACAGATTTCGTCCTTGCATTCCTAATTATGGAACTCTGCCAATGTTCGTCTTCCTGCATTTGTTGATCACACTGAATTAACCGATGTGTACAGGTGTAGTAACATTGCGGGTATGGCATCTATTTTACCGAAGTCGCTTCATTAGAGGGCTGGCGGTTACTGTTCTGATCGCTTCTGCGGCAGGAGTTGTAACCGCTGGTGTCGCCGCGTTTGGGCATATTCAGGCGGCCGTGTACGGACTATACAACCCGTCGAACTTAGAGGAGAACCCTGCAACATTATTTGTGATATACCTGCCAGCCTTGGTTGTCCATACGACCATGTTATCATTAACGATATATCGTTTTGGCATTACCCCAACAGCCTTGCCGAGACGCGGGATCGTCCACCGATTCTTAAAAGAGTAGGTCACCCTTGTCGGTCGATCACAGGCTCTAGTTCGAAAGCTAACGTTTGCTCAAGAGGGATGTTTATGTATGCATTTGCAGCCGGTGAATATATCTCGATTCTTCTCGTTTTGCACACGCTGAAACAAATTACAGGAACGCTACTGTACGAAATTGTCGCTCTTTCTCTGACTCAACCAGGGAACATAACTGTAAGTTACATGACCATAGTTGCGTGGCTGGTTAAAGTCTGAAATTGTTGCCAGGTTTACTATTCAGCTCTAGGGGGAGAGTAAGGTCGCTTCATCTTCCGTTGTTTACCGAAGCTCACGAGCAACCCCTACTTCCCAGGATAGCAGTAGCAACCACAGTCATCTCCGTCTGTCGCGCGATGCTAAGCATCCGGTCATTGGCTGCAACTTGCCACGTCGATCCAGCATGGTTACTCAATCATGCTGAACTCAGTCGCGTCCACTGGAGGAGAGGGACCAGTGAAGGAGAAATTGTCGTTGAAGTCAACGAGATGGATGTGGTTCTTCCCTGCAGATCGCTACCGTCAACTTCTGTGGAAATGGAGTATCCAGGAAAGGTTTAAGACAATTCTAGATGTCTTAACAACCACAACTTTACTCCATATGTAATAACTCAACTAGTAATGGGCACATCAATTTGCCTTGCGAAGTCTCATCTACTGAGTAGGTGGGCAGTAGTGCTGTATGGGATAGTGTATAGTACAGTTTTATACGAAACAAAGTTGTAGTTGTTCATGCAGGTGCTGTCAAGTATGAATGAAAATGCGTCCCGAAATCCCCATTCTTCGCAGCTACAATATCTCCAGCGTCCTGATCAGTCATGACATCAACAGAAACTATGTATTTGGCTTGTGTTGTCCGAAGCAATTCTCTTATACTCCCCGACGCACTGCTATGCTAGCAAAAGTTTGTCGGAGGCGAACGAGCACCTTCAACTCATGACTCATTGTCTCCAGCCGACTGGATGGTCTGTTAGAGACAGGTTCAGGCCAATCATCTACGCCCTACTACTATGTCTCGTCCGTAAAGCGCCACAGCACGTCGCAGCGTAGAGAGCGATGTCTACATTTCATCTTCAGATAAATATGGCAATATGCACGACAGAGTTGTGTATGAAATGCCGGCTAGCAGACAACTATTGAGTTGGATGATTGTCCTACCCAGTCAGTGGTAGAAATGTGGCCTAAATAAGCTATAATCTGCTGCAAGAGACGTCCGAACGCGTTGTCTTTTCTCTTCCTTACAGGAAGGTTGACATCGAAGACGCCAAACAAGGAGCATCTCTCTCGTCATCGAACGGAAGTCGGCGTTGTTGCATCTTCTAACTCCTGCATGACGCGGACAGACTCTTTGTGGTTCTCCAATTTTCCTAGAAGAGAACAATTTTAGGAGCGAGGAATTCCTGAATAGTCGATCCTCGGGAGTTCCAAACACTGTTTATGAGCGTGCCAGACTGGGAAGGAAGTCGGGACATCCGATAGGCAGACAATGGTGAGTGTTGATTAGCGGTACCAGACGAACGTGGAGTTGACCGATTATCGGAGCTCAACATTGTTGCCCTGGTCTATGCCGTATGTGTCGCTCCATGCCCCGCATCGCGAGCGACTTTGCGGAACTTTTGCAATTTTACCATGGTTCCAACTGGACACAATGTATACACGTTCTCGTCCAGAATTTCACGCAGTCGCGGCTCCGATAACATGACCCAAGTGAAATACTTTACGACCGCTTCTTTAGTGATGGAGTTGAGCAAACGAAGTGGAGCGTTTTCTAGGTGAGTGTCGACGGCTCATCGAGTAGCATGTTCTGCTTCAGACAGACTGACATATTATTGGCACAACTCCGCAAAATTAGTCGTCTTCAATCAGGCAGGTGAGCTGTTTTGGGCCCATGTCGTGTTTGTGTGTCAGGAGTATCATCCAACTTGGAGAGCATAATTTTGAAGGCCTCGGTTGCTTCACCATAGCGTCGTGCTCCGTGAGGTGCTGCATGCTTCAATTCATATCCATGATGAAACAAAGGGTCGAGCTCAATGGCCTACGAATATCATTTAATTATAAAAACAATAACGAGTATCGTCCGCACCTTTTCCGCATTGGAAATGGCCTCCGGGAAGAGATTTTAAAGTGTACCTCACTGTCACGGTGGTGTGCAAAGCCATATGAGGAATCCAGCTAGACTCGTAACAACCAGTCTGACTATGCGTCAATTTATTGACGTAGTCAGACTGGTCGAACTCGGAGTGATTTGGCAGGCCAAGCGAGGAGTTTGAAATTTGGCAGATGCCGGTATGCCGCTTTGGGTAACATCACTTGTCGATAACGCGAAAAGTACAGTATCCCCTCTCAAGTACATCGTGCCGGAGCACTAATCATTGATTAGGACAATCAAAATGATTCCATTTCATGTGTTATACCCACCCGTGATGATGTATCAGCAGCCTGAACCTTGATCAATCTTTCCAGCAAGGAAGAATTCTCGCTGTCTTCAAAATACTTCGTGGATGACAGTCATGGACCTCATGTTGCATGAAAGACCCTCCATGGCAACTTAGAGAGAAGGTTTCTTTCAAAGCAAGGCGCTTGTGCAATTTCTGAGCAGATGCATAACTTGTGCTGTATGATCGGAACTACCTCCGGCACGACCGGCACCTATCAAATTTCAAACTCCTCGCTTCGCCCTGCCACGCCGAGATCGACCAGCCTGGCTACACCACTTGTGCAACCGTATACGCCAGGCTGGTCACGAGCCTAGAATCCAGCCTAGATGCTGTGAAAGTAGTATTCTTGATGGGCCAGAGCCGAACTGTCTTATCATAGTCTCCACTCACGAGCGGTTTTCCGATGGGAGAAATGGCGATGGAGGTAACTCCGGCGGTGTGCCATTGAGTGGCTTTGTTCGCCACAATCGCACAGCCTTGTCGTCCGAGGAACGAGGGAGCCATCAAAAAAGATAACGAGCAAGAAGTGTAACCAGTGCAAGTTTGGCCAATCTGGTGTCCATTTGACGAGTTCCAGAGCTTAGCTACTACTGGCAGTATCAATAGTATCCCAAGTCACATCGTACAGTAACATGATGCGCCCTAGTATTAATAATGCCGTGGGAACTCCTGCGAATAACGACGGCTCAAACCCTCCTGGACGTGACTACTTGCCACCGATTACATGTTTCAAATTTTACTGAGTGTGTCATGGAAGAGGTTGATACCTTTTAATGGCAAGGCGAGAGTCCAAATCCGTGGGTACCCTTTTTCTAACAAAAAGTCGCTACCATCAATGATTCAGGAAATCTTTTCGAGTGCTTTCAGTTGATGAACGTAACATCCACATAGTGACAACCGGGCGCTTCTCAGCATAGCCTGCCAAAACACTTCAAATAACCATAATATCAAATGTGAGAGATGCAGGCCATGTGACTCCATGATGGGCTTCGCCTCCTGTTCATCACACATCACAGCCTGAGTAAATATATGGTATATAACATAGTCCACCTTCCTCGATGCGACTAACCAGAGAGTGCTCTGTTTTCTCGGTACTAGCAGGTCCATCCGTGATTTGCCATGTCCCCACAAACAGTGTCGGCGTACTCTGCCTCTACGGGATTAGCTCTGACATCTTTCACCCTTATAGTGTACGACCATGCTATCACGTTAGATCAAGAGGTATATTCGCTTCTACAATCGATGACGATATAACACTGATACACTGCCGTCGTTTTTTAGATAACTTTCTTCTGGTCTGGTTCATGGTCAGCGTCAAGAGCACTATATCTCAGCGTAATGTCATCGATTATTTCTTACCTTCAATTAGTAATCTTAGATTCGACAGATCCGATACTTGGCTCTGATACAAGCTTGGTGCGTTTTGACTGCATGCAATCAAAAGCACATTATTTAACAACATTGCTTAGCCTCACTCTGTATGGTTCGTTATAGTAAATATTACTTGTCACGGTTCTGGTGAATAATGGACATATAGGAATAGCAGGACCGGTCAACACTTTCAGTCCTGCGGTGGGTACTTCTCAAGTTGCGCGTATCATTGTTTGGCGTCTTACTTATAGCTTTCCAGAAGTGAGCTATTATACATCATGAATGCCTTACAGACCAGCTCATTTTGAAACAGAACAAACGTGTTACTCATTGCGGGCTACGTTATTTCATTCATGGTCTTGATACTCTGTCAATGTTTGTCTTTGGCGCATCCGTCGATCCAAATGAATTGACTAGTGCGCACAGGTGTCGTGACATTGCGAGTGTGGCATCTATTCTTCCGGAGTTGCCTCATTAGATGGCTGGCGGTCGCTGTTTTCGTCATTTGCGCGGCAGGAACTGTAATAGTTGGCAGCGTCGAGTTTAATCCCATCAAGACTGCCCTGCATATAACGTTGACCGCTGAGATCCCGACGCAGAGCCCTCCATTTGTGTTTGCCATGTACCTGCCATCCCTGGTCGTCCATACGGCCATGCTCTTACTGACAATATATCGCTTTCGCGTCAGCCCAAAAGTGTTGCACCAACGTGGCATTATACACCGATTCGTAAAAGAGTAGGCCCGGTTAACGGTTGCAGTTTCTACTACGAAAGCTGACATTTTCTCAGAGGGATATTGATGTATACGTTTGCGGCCGGTGAATACACCTTCATTCTTCTCCAGCATAATCTAAAATTAAATCGCAGGATCACTGCTGTACGAAATTATCGGTCTTTCCATGACTAAACCGGACGAAATATCTGTAAGTTTTGTGACCTTAGTTGTTTACACTACCACTTACAATTGTTGCCAGGTATACTATCCAGCTTTGAGGGAAGGGTAAGTTACTGAACATCATGGTATCCACGAAAGCTCATAGACACATCTATTTCCCAGAATAGCAGTAGCAACTACAGCCGTCTCCGTCTGTCGTGCAATGCTAAGCGTCAGGTCATTGGCTGCAACTTATCATGTCGATCCGGCATGGTTGCTCAACTATGCAGAACTGAGTCGTGTTCAATGGAGGAGAGGAGCTAATGAAGGTGAAATTTTTGTCGAAGCGAGTGACATGGACGCGGTTTACCCTTTCAAATTGCTGGGGATGTCTGCCGGGAGAACAGCAGGCGAAGGAGTTGTGTAAAAAGTAATTTAATGTGTATGTTTTGAACATGATCCCCTGATATAATACATTCTTGTTGAAATAGAACTGGTTGTTCCAAGCTGTGGGTGGCACTGGAGCACTATGTAGGAGGTATAGAAGGTCATTGTAGTTTACTAATGTACCATCATTGCAAGGCGAGCTCTTGATCTGATGCTACCAAAGCCACCGGTCTCGCAAATGTGCGTGGCGAATGACATGACAACCAAGCATCAACAAACAAGTGATCGGATGTAGACATTACATAAGTTGGTTGTTCGACTCCGCTTGTCGCGTCGGCGTGCATATACTACTAGGTCATCCGATACCAAGGCGAGAGTCAAAATCCGTGGGTCACTACATTGCAATGATTCAGGGAATCTTTTTCGTGTGCTTTGTTTGAGTTGATAAACATCTACATAGTGACGACCGGACGCTTCCCAGCATAGCCTGAATACTTCAAATAGACGATGATATCAAATGGAGACACAGGCCATTCCAGTCCATCATGGGCTTCGCCTCCTGTTCATCATGTTTTACAGCATGAGTATATATACGGTATATAACATAGTCCACCTTCCTCGATGTGACTAACCAGAGAGTGCTTTGAGTTCCGGGTACCTGCAGTTCCATTCGTGATTTGCCATGTCCACACAAGCACAGTCGGCGTACTTTACCTCTACGACATTGGTTTTGACATCTTTCACCCTTATAGTATACGACCATGCTATCACGTTGGATCAAGAGGTATGTTCGCTTCCACAATCGATGACAATATAACACTGATCCACCGCCGTCGTTTGTTTTAGATAACTTTCTTCTGGTCTGGTTCATGGTCAGCGTCAAGAACACTATATCTCAGTGTAATGTCATCGATGGTTTCTTACCTTCAATTAGTAATATTAGATTCGACAGATCCGATACTTGGCTCTGATACAAGCTTGGTGCGTTTTGACTGCATGCAATCAAAAGCGCCTTAGCTAACAACATTGCTTAGCCTTTCTGTGTACGGTTCGTTATAGTAAATATTCCTTGTCATGGTTCTGGTAAATGATAGACACATAGGAATGGCAGGACCGGTCAACACTCTCAGTTCTGCGGTGGGTACTTCTCAAGTTGCGCGTATCATTGTTTGGGATCTTACTTATAGCTTTCCAGGGGTGAGCTATTATACATCATGAATGCCTTACAAACCAGCTCATTTTGAAACAGAACAAACCTGTTCTTCATTACGGGCTACGTCCTTTCATTCATGGTCTTGATACTCTGTCAATGTTTGTCTTCGGAGCATCCGTCGATCCAAATGAATTGACTGATATGCACAGATGTCGTGACGTTGCGAGTGTGGCATCTCTTCTTCCGGAGTTGCCTCATTAAATGGCTGGCGGTCACTGTTTTCGTCATCTGCGCGGCAGGAACTGTAATAATGGGCGGCGTTGAGTTCAAAGCCATTAAGAGTGCCCTGTATGCACCGCCAGTTGATGAGATCCTGACGCAGAGCCCTCCATTTGTGTTTGCCATGTACCTGCCATCCCTGGTCGCCCATACAGCCATGCTCTTACTGACGATGTACCGCTTTCGTGTCAGCCCCAAAGCGTTACAGCAACATGGCATTATACACCGATTCGTAAAAGAGTAGGTCCAGTCATCGGCTACAGTTCCTACTACGAAAGCTAACGTTTTCTTAGAGGGATAATTATGTATACATTTGCGGCCGGTGAATACATTTTGATTCTTCTCCAGCAGAATCTAAAACTTAATTACAGGATCACTACTGTACGAAGTTATCGGTCTTTCTATGACTGAACCGGAGGAAATATCTGTAAGTCTTATGACCTTCGTTCACATTACCACTCAAAATTGTCGTCAGGTATATTATCCGGCTTTTATGGGAGGGTAAGTTTTACTAGACGACATGGTATTCATGAAAGCTCATACACATCTATTTCCCAGAATAGCAGTAGCAACTACAGCTGTTTCCGTCTGTCGTGCAATGCTAAGCGTCAGGTCATTGGCTGCAACTTATCATGTCGATCCGGCATGGTTGCTCAACTATGCAGAACTCAGTCGTGTTCAATGGAGGAGAGGAGCCAATGAAGGGGAAATCTTCGTTGAAGCAAGCGACATGGACGCACATCCCCCTTTCAGATCGCTGGGGGCATCTGCTGGGAGAACAGAAGGCGAAGGAGTTGTATAAAACTAATTTCATTTGTATGTTTCGAACATGATCCCCTGGAACGATACATTCTTGCCGAGACAGAACTCATCGTTTCAGCAAGTACCCGGACGTTCTATCTCGATATTACGCTTGTGCTCAAAATAAGATAGTTTGGTTGATGATCGTCCTTCTCGTACTTGCAAGATCTTTGAGTGATAATGCACAGAATACATAGTGAGTGGCGATATAAGTTTATTATCAAACGAGAGAATAAAAGTTGAACGATCCTATGAGAACTAATGGCTGTTTCATAATCAACCACTTCGCTCAAACTACGAAGAATCATTTCTAATGTAAGTATGGTCACCGGTCAAGTTCTGCTTCTCCCAGGTGTTGAAATCGTATTGTTCCGTTCTGATGATCAAACCTAACGTTTGGATACCAGATTCATGACAATGAGGCCCGACAGTCGTACTATTGCTGATTTGAACCCTACACAGTAAGTGGTGAAGTAGTGATGATATCTTGTCTCGGAATTCCATTTCAAGAAGTAGCGGCCCATCACGCGCACTGCCATGTTATTCGTCTCAGAAGCCTTTGATGTAAAATACTAATAAAGAAATTCTTCTAGTAAACGTCTTCCCCGTGGACTAACAGCCTGGAATATGGAGTGTGGATAGAATGTGTACGACATTTATCTGATTCTTTCACTCGATCGACCGCGCTGTCGTGTTCTTCATGATCACTCTATTCGACTCAGGCTACTGAAAGTTAATCTTGATCGATAACTCGAACGCAAGCTGTAATTGCCCGTGATAATCTAAATGAAAATACTGAAACCAACGGAAGACTTCTATGACGGTCGTGCTTCTAGTTCTAGAACCGGGCCTTCGATTCTGCATCAGGAAAATCATCCTGCACTACAGATAGCCTAGTAGCAGGAGCATGTGAAGAGGATCTATCACGCCGGTGAGTTATTTGGTGAAGTACAAACAAGTCATACTCACACAATTCGGCCCATCATCGTAGGTCTTGCGCTGGCTACTATGTAAGCAGAGGAAAGGACAGAGTGAGCCCTCACTGGCAGCGTCAGTGGCAGATATTAAAGCAGCGACAACGGCGGGGACAAAAGGGAGACGCATTTTCGGTGAAGATGTGATACTAGTATGGGTTCAGATAAATATGAAGGGGGAAAGTAGGAGGACGCCTTACCTTTACGTGCTGAATACTGTGATAGTCTGTCGGGGAGTACTGGTAGCTATTGTGTCGCGGTCGTGACGCGCCAGTGCAAGTGCGACGCTTCATGGGCGCAATTTCTTCTTCAGCTGGTATTCAAATTTGAGGCACAGTGCGAAGTGACGCCAATTCTATGTGTGACAAGAGCCGTCATATATGTGAAGGCCGAGTAGTCTGCACAGAGGCCGGAAGATTGGCTATATTAATCTGTTCTAGTCGTCAAATCTGAGTTCTCAAAGATGTTAGTCAAGCGGCGCACCTGTGCGGTCATAGCAGGGGATGACTCGGAGGTCCCCGGCACCCAGCTGCGGTCACTAAGGACGCCGCCGCCAATGCGGATGATTTCCGTTGCAACCCAAGTCTCAGAATATTCATCAGTGCATATGCCCAGTATGGACGACTACAGTGTACGACGATCTAATTCTGTTAGAACGAAAGGAGACGCTATTAGATGAGAATGAAAGTATAACTTTAAAGTACCGAGTTCTGACGCGCAGGGTACGTAGCATTGACACGGCATGGTGGTAGGTGTGACGGGACGCTGATGACTGAACTGTGTAGTACCTTAGGCTCGTGACCAGCCTGGCGTATACTACCACGGATGCTCAAGTGGTGTAGCCAGGCTGGTCAATCTCAGACTCGGTGTGGCGTGGCAGGGCGGAGCGAGGAGTTTGAAATTTGATAGGTGCCGGTCGTGCTGGAGGTCCTAGTTACGATCATAATACTTACGGTCTGCTCATTAATGGCTGATGTTTTTTCTCTTTGGCAGCTCGCACTGTCTGCATAGCTGACAGAAGAATGCGACGTAGCAATGGAGTGGTTTCTTGTAATGGCTCTGTCAACGATGTATCGAGATCAAACGAGAGGAGTAGTTCGGGGGTGACATCCTAGCAAGGCGAGAGTCTAACTCCATGGGTGTCTTTTTTTTGATACATAGATAGCTGCCGTTGATGTTTCAGGGAATCTTTTTCCTGTGCTTTGTTTCAGTTGATGAACATACACATAGTCCCGGTGACGACAATTCCCAACAAAGAACACAGCATACTTCGAATAAACTTTGATGCAAGATATCACGTTATCCCTTTTCTCTCCTTTTTGAACAGGGCTAAACATGTATGGCAGGTCATAATGATGGGCTTTACCTCCTGTTATCACGCGTCACAGCCTGAGGGCATATAATAAAGTCCGTCTTCCTTGATGCCACGAGTTATCAAAGTGTGCTTTCAGTTCTGGACGTCAGTGCGCCCATCTGTGATTCATCATGTCCATACAGTCGACATACGTTGCCTCTACGGAAATAATTCTGGTATCCTTCGTCCTTGTAGTGTACGACCATGCTATCACGTTAGATCAAGAGGTATGTTTGCTTCCACAATCGATGTTTATATAACACTGATTCACTGCGGTCGTCTGTTTTAGATAACTTACTTCTGGTCTGGTTCATGGTCAGCGGCACGAACACTATATCTCAGCGTAATGCCATCAATTACCTCTATTGCCTTCGATTAGTAATCTTTAGTTTGACAGATCCGATACTTGGCTCTGATACGGGCTTGGTGCGTTTTGACTCCATGCAATCAAAACCGCATTAGTTAACATCATTGGCATTGGCTAGTTTTTCTCTTTATGGTCTGTTCTAATAAACATCATGTCCTTGTCACGGTTTCGGTGAATACTTGACATATAGGACTAACAGGACAGGTCAAAACTTGCACCTCTGTGGTGAGACTTCTCAAGTTGTGTGTATCATTGTTTGGCGTCTTACTTGTAGCTTTCCAGGAGTGAGCTGTTGTACATTGCGAGAACCTTGCAGACCAGCTCACTTTGAAAAAGAGGAAACCTGTCCTTCATTGCGGATTACTTTCTTACATTGACGGTCGCTGTAATTTGTCAAGGTTCGTATTTGGCGTATCCGTCGATCCACATGAATTGACTGGAGTGCGCAGCTGTTGTGACATTACGAGTGTGGCATCTATTCCTCCATAGTTGCTTCATTAGACGGCTGGCGGTCACTGTTTTCATCATCTGCGCGGTAGGAGCTGTCATAGTTACCAGCGTCGAGTTTGATGCCATGAAGAGAGCCCTGTGTGCATCATCGATCGCTGAGATCTTCACGCAGGGCCCTCTATCTATGTTTACCGTCTACCTGCCAGCCCTGGTCGTCCATACGGTCATGCTCTTACTGACGATGTATCGCTTTCGCGTCAGCCCAAAAGCATTGCAACAACGTGGCATTATGCACCGATTCGTCAAAGAGTAGGCCCAGTTATCGGCTGCAGTTTCTACCACAAAGCTGACGGTTTTCTTAGAGGGATATTTATGTATACCTTTGCGACCGGTGAATATATATGGGTTGTTCCCCAGCAGAACCTGACACTAAATCATAGGATCGCTACTGTACGAAATTATTTGTCTTTCTATGACTGAATCAAAGGACATATCTGTAAGTTTTATGGCCTTAGCTGCATGACAAATTACCACTCAAAATTGTTGTCAGATATATTATCCATCTTTGATAGGAGGGCAAGTTTTACTAAACGAGATGGTATTTACGGAAGCTCACGAGACAAATCTATTTCCCAGAATAGCAATATCAACTACAGCCGTCTCCGTCTGTCGTGCAATGCTAAGCATCAAGTCATTTGCCGTAACATATCATGTCGATCCGGCATGGTTGCTCAACCACGCAGAACTCAGTCGTGTTCAATGGAGGAGAGGAGCCAGTGAAGGGGAAATCTTTGTTGAATCGGGCGACATGGAGGCAGATCCCCCTTCCAAATTGCTGGGGGTATCTGCCGGGAGAACAGAAGGCGAATGGGTTGTGTAAAAATTCAATTTAACTTGTATGTTTTGAACATGATTCCCTGGAATAACACATTCTTGCTGAAACAGAACTCATCGTTCCAGCAAGTACCCGGACATCCTATCTCGATATCACGCTTGTGCTTAGAATGAGATCGCTTGGCTGATTGATGCTCATTCCTCTCGTACTTGTGGGATCTTTGAGTGATGGTGCTCAGAACACAAAGTGAGTGATGATATATGTTTATTATCAGACGGGGGAATAGAAGAAATGGGAGCGAACGATCCCACCAGGACTACTTATCACTGTTTCATAATCAACCACTAGGCCTCGCCCAAACTCGCCCAAAACTCATTTCTAGGGATGGAGCGATTTCCAGTATGGTGTCACGCCATGTGTGCGCTCCACTTGAGCCTCCACTGAGCACCACCATCGAGCACTCCAGATATTCTGATGTCTGTGTCCCTCTACTCTCCCTTTGACCATTCGATTTAATCTTTGCTAATGTGTGTCACGGTCGTCCAAGAGCTTCACTCATGTCTCCGGCATCAATGACGCTGTTAACTTCCTTTCAAACGGCTTAGTGCGAAATGTGTGAGCATGAGTCTTTGACTCATCCGTTAAACGTGGTCGCGTAAGCAGGTCAGAAGGGAAACTGCAATTTACGGTCCAGCTTGAGCGTGCTGGATTGAAAGAGAATGTGATGTGAGGCAGGCAATGTCACTCTCCCGTGAGGAATCTGAGCCTCGATGAATCTGCGATGAAGAGTGCTGATGCAGACCGGACTTTTGTAACCAAAATAACATTGTATATATATAAATGTAGGTGGACGAAAGAGGGCATCAATTCTTTCAGTAGTCATCGAATCCATCCTATGTAGTGTAGTGTGAGGTGAACAGCGAAATTTAGTAATGTTGCTGACACTTTGTTTCAACAGGAATTGTTTCGAAATAATCTCACGATCCTGAAGATCAAACATGTTACAAAGAAGCACGTTCTACAATGCCATACAGATACAGATTGTCCGTGCTATCTCTTCCGATATAAAACTATAACAAATAGATATTCTCAGATCGTGCGTGAAGGCAAACATCTATAGTATTCACCTATAACAAATAGATATTCTAGTACAAGTTAGTATAGGTGAGAATAAGTAGAATAGATATCATACCTCAGATCGTGCGTGAAGGCAAACATCTGAGGTATCGGCTCGAAACATTAGTAGCTAAATAGCTGGAATGCTCTTGTTGTTACAATAACATGTAACCGAGAACCCCTCCTACAGAGGTCATCATGACCTTAGCCCCTATCCTGCCTATACACCGTCATTGGAAGACTTACCGACTCAACGGAGACTCATAGAGACACCTAGAACGGCCTGGATGCCGCTAAAGATGACCTAGACCAGCCTAGGCAACGTCTGGACGGACCTAGATGGTCCTCGACCTGGATCATGGAGAAGCTCTGCTTCATGGTCAGAAGAGAAGCCGCATGCTGCAGCATGCGCAGTTAAACTACAAGGCATGCTTAGCCTTGAGGACTAATAGGAGAGGCATGCAAACACCTCATGTATAGATAATTGCCCGCATGGCATCAGATAAGATGCCCTTGTATAGACACACTCATACTTACCTACCATACATAGTATTGGTCTGTGCACACGGACGACAGTATATAGAGCAGACAGAATCATGTATATTCCCTACTTGATTCTACTAGGTTTTCATCAGAACTTCCTCTGTGTGATCATCCCAATCACTCAGTCTAAGCCGTACCTAAAGGAAAGCCGACGCTACCTTTAGTGGAACCCTTGAACCTCTTATTCAAGAGAAGACCCCCGTCTTTCCCATAGCGAGACCGCTATCTGATTAGGCATTCCGCCTAAGGAAAGCTCGAACTATCCTAGTCGTAATACTTGTAAGTATGTGAAACTTGTTACAATAAAAGATGGCGCTGGCCACAGCAAACAAAAGGTCTTAGTGAATACAAAGAAAGGTAATAACAAGACCGAAACAAATGAAACATACGAGTAACGAAACACCTCGGCTGCGGGCACACTTGCTCAATTCCAACAAAAACATCGTCTCCTTCAAATTGGGATGGACACCTTTTACCCCATGCTTGAAGAGCAGCGTCATAGACACGTTGCTTGGCCGCCTCCCTTTCGTCTGCTGCCATAGGCTTTCCTTTACCACTTACCAGGCTTCCCCTCTCCTTTCCAACTCGAGGAGCCAGGCGCAGAAAGCTGCTCTGAGTTTAGGAATCCATCAAGGTAACACCGCGCCTGCTCGCATGCCAGGTCAGCATAATACACGAGGGGTACAAGGCTCACCGCCTTCATCAGGAAACCTGGATTTTTCCCAGTTTAGCTGATATACCTGTATGACCTGACTGGTCTGATTTCAGACCTATCATAATCCCAGATTGTCAAAATCACAGTCAGACAGTGATGTCAGACACAACATACTCTCAGTTCATCAGGACATCATGATGCTCATGTATTTCAGACACAGCAGGATACAATTGTTGCAGGATGTCTTGCTTTTCAAACATAGCAGGCTACATAGTACATCAGTCTTTCAGAACTACATGGCCCTCAAGTATATCTACCCATGCAGCACTACAGCTCTGCCAGGACTTCATAGTCATCAGCTTCATCAGACAAATCATAAACACAGATATGCAGCCTCTTTGGTCAGTCAGCTTCATTAGACAAATCATAAACACAGATATGCAGCCTAATTAGTCAGTCAGACACATCAGTGAGATCAAACACCCAGATACCCAGCCTATCTGATCATGCAGACACTAGAGCTGTATTAGTAATGTAGTAGGTCAGATAATCTAAGTATTCAACTTTTGCAAAACTTCAGAATTTCTATGCAATGTTTCATTTTCATTTTGCTTATATCCTGCTCAAATGACTACCAATTGACAAGGTAAGACTAGTCATAGACTCATTTCAACTAGGACTACAACTTTCATTAAAACATGCAAGGATTTTATTTACTTCTAATTTTCGTATTTTTGACAAATTTGCTGATGTTTCATTTTCATTTTGCTTATATCTTGTTCAAATGACTACCAATTAACGAGGTGAGACTAGCCATGGACACATTTCAACTAGGACTACAACTTTCATTAAGACATGCAAGGATTTTATTTACTTCTAATTTTTGCATCTTTGACAAATTTGCTGATGTTTCGTTTTTATTTTGCTTATATTTTGCTCAAACAACTACCAATTGACAAGCCAAGACTAGCCATAGACTTGTCTCCACTATGACTACAACTTTCATTAAGACATTGAACAAAAATAACAAAGTTATTGAAAAGGTGAAATAAAATATTTCAAAGTCCAGTAAATATGGTATATATATGATTTATAACTCAGAAATATATGTGGTCTCATAGCCTAGTGGTTATGCTGCACTTGAAGAAGCACTGATCACGAGCAAATTGATGGTCCAGCTGAGGCTGACAAAGCCGGCACTGCCACCATGCCACGCGCCACCTAAACTGAGTAAGAGAAGAAGGACGTGACCCCAGCCAGCAGCATGATCTGTCTGTCCAAGACTGGAACGGATCGCGTGGAGGGACGGAGGATGAGCGATCGACGTCGTAGACGGAAAAATTGAGATGTTTTGAGCCTCGGATGAGCTCGAACCACCGCTGGACAAGGTGAGGGATTACAGGTGAGCCAAATCTCAACCTCCCCAGGGAACATGCTGAAGGGACTGCAAATCTCCCACGTTTGGGACGTCAATTTACCGGTTTGACCCAGCTGAGGAATTGGCAGGGGCACGTGCTTTCCTCCGCGAAAAAAAAGGCCCTTCAAGCTGATGGACTGCAAATTGACAGTCCTCGCCAAATTTGCAGTCCCAGGCGCCACATGATTTATAATCGACTTCGGTACATGTACTGCTACCCTTTTCTCGTCACCCTCTCGTCATCATCACCATCACCTATAGCGGCCACGACCTCTCTCCAACGACCTCTCTTCAACATTCCACTACTAGTACCAACTGGCGAGTCCCTGTTGCCATGGGCATCAATAATCTGTGGGAGGTACGTGTGTATGCAACTTCAGTCAACAGAAAGCTCACCTCCGGTTCCACAGGTACTTGAGCCTGCTGCAACGACGGTACCCGTCGTGTCCCTTGCTGTCTCAGACCGCTATGTAGGACCAGCGCCTCACTCACCCTATGTAGTGGGTATCGATGCAAGGTCAGTTTCAACATCTCAGGTGTTCCCCTGTTCGATGACTTACGATTCTGCAGCGGATGGTTTGAACAATGTCAGCAAGGAAGATGGCACCGTGCGCATTCTCAAACTGGAATGAACCCCACCATTAGGACCTTTCTGTTTCGGCTCGCTCGACTTGCATGGCACCCAGTACAGCTCATTTTCTGTTATGATGGCGATCAGCGGCCCGATGTCAAAAGAGGCCATCGTGTGTCTACAAAAGACCACTGGATGGTCCAGCCCACTCAGCGTATCCTCAATGTGTTCAACATGCAATGGATTACGGTACTTTTTTCTTTCTATCTTACTTTTTGTTGCTGACATTGCATCTATTGTGTCCGCCTACTGCCTAGGCTGCGGGAGAGGCTGAAGCTCAACTAGCATTGATGAACAATGCAGGGATCATTGATGCTGTTATGACTGATGATAGCGATGCCTTTGTCTTCGGTGCTCAGACCGTCCTTCGAAAGTAAGGCTATTGCAATTTTTCTATTGGCGGGTTTGAACGATTTTCTTTCTTAGCTCGTCATTCTCAGCTGATGCAACTGCGACCGTCAAGATGTACACTACTAGTTCCATCCAGGAACGGGTGGAACCACACCTTACCATTGACGGATTCATGACCATGGCTGTCTGCTGTGGCGGCGACTACGACAATGTAAGTTAGCATGCTTTTCTTTGTACCAGATGATGATTCTCATTAATGTCTGTCAGAATGGCCTTCCTGGGTGTGGTCGTGAGACTGCCCTTGGTCTCGTGCACTGCATGAATACCAGTGTGCTACGAGACACTGGATGTGGCAGAAACTCGCCCGATCAGACCCTTGAACGGTGGCGGATGGATGCTCGGTACCATCTCATGGATGATCCCACGGGCGAGATGGGTCGAGCTCACCCTGCCATTGCCCGAGCCCTTCCTGATTCATTTCCCAATCAACACATTCTGAATTTGTATGCAAAACCTGCCATCACCCCACTCACGGAGCTTCCCATCCTGCATTCCCCTGCACCACCTGACCTCGCACCATTGGCCTTGCTCGTCCAGCAACTCCTTGGTTGGGACCCGAAGAAACTCATCAGCTCATTTCGTTCTAACATCTGGCCCATTGTGGTCTTGCACGAATTGCTCGAGGACATTGCAAAAAACTCCCCTGCGAGTGATGAGGTCCGTTGGTCATTTTATCTTGCTTTTAATATACTGACGTGCTGCTCACAGATTGACCTCGCACCAGGGTGTACGAGGGCAATATTTAAGTGTTGTGTGAGGCATCCAAAGAAAGTCCTTGCGGGGATTGCAGGCCACAACAATGATGTGCCCATCTGTGATCTTGAACGAGCGGCACTTCAGCTGCTTCCCACTGGAAGCTCGAAGGGTTCAGATGATGTGACACAATCAACTGAGTATATTCGTGTATGGCTTGCTGATGACATATATGACTGCTGGGTCCGAACGATGTTCCCTATGTCTCCGGAGCCTTCCACGTCACACGCAATTGACCTCGAGGACAACACAATGGATGATGGCCCTGCGTCGTCTGCTGCCACTGTCTCCTCCTCTTCATATGTGGATATCATCGACCTCACCCAAGACGAAGGTGGAGACCATGAAATTATTGACCTTACTATCTGACGTGCAAGGATGACTTCCTTCTCGGGTTGTTCTGAAACTTCTTCTTCATCTGTCTTTCACTCCAGCGTATTTGTACTTCATTTGTATTGTTATCTTGTCACTTCACATTCATCTACTCTCTGTGCTCATGCTGTTTCACTTCATCTACCATGTATTAGGTTACTATTATTAAGCACAATGACAAGTTCTACCACAAGTATGACAAGGGTCCTTCCTGGGCTGGTTGGGATTCATGTAGTGCTCCCGTTGCTCCCGGGGATTGTCATTCCATGACAGCAGGTATTTAAAGATGGTACCTGGATTGTCGAAGTTTTTGGCCCATCCTCCCCAGTCACATATGTCCCGAAAGTCCCACCTGCATACCTTGTATAAAAACTGACACCCGCCCCGCCGAAAGGAGTGAGTGCCATAAGGATGTGGATCCACGCCAATATCCAGGAGGTTATTGCGAAAACACTCGAGGAACGCATCAGAGGTCTAGGCCAGATAAATCAGAAGCAGTGCCAAGAAGCACAGGACACCCACCATGCCGTCTGTGGGATTCACGCTAATACTGTCGGTACCGATTTTCTTCTGAAAAATGAAGCCATCAAGGTTCTCGCACCTTTCCCTTGCCAATACCCACCAAACTGCAAACATCCGCACCAAGCACATCCACGGACACTCCTCGTCAGGATATATATAGAACAGTGCTATGCCTGTCATGATCAAAATCAGCCATGCACACTTGAGTACTTGAGCACGCACCTCCATATTGATGCGTTTTTCTGAATGGCAGCTCGAGTTTCACACGGAAGTCAGCGGGTCGGAATGTGGTTGTGTCCTGAAGAAATAGATCTGTGGATATGTCGAGCCAATTGTCTTCGATCACGTTGTCCTTGACTTGAAAAGTTATATCTGCCCAAGTGATCCGGAGGGCCTCGTCATAACGCAGGAGACAGATCATTGAGACCAAGTAAAGTAACAGCAGCATCATGCGGTGTAGAAACAACTACACTGAGAGGAACTATACGAAGATGGCTCCAAACTGATATATTTGTGTTGTGGTCTTTGCACTGCCTAGTCTGCTATACTTGCCTGACAAGTGCGTTCGACCCAGGGGTCTGCGGTCTGGGAATAGTCTTGGGGGTAAGTGAGTGATGTGGGGTCAATAGTCCGAGCGCGGGAAACAATGTCCAAAGGTATAATTACGATGTCCGATGCAAAAGCGTCGGACCCGATGTTTTCGGGGTTTCGGGTGATCAGGTTCGAGTTCGGGGTGTCGGAAACTAATAGTAATGCTATAGCGAGCGTCGGAAGAGCGAGCGGTGTGCGCAATAATAACAATGACTGATACGGGCGGTGAAGGAACGATGATATTCGCAATGTCAACTAAGAACTACGAAATATCGGGTTTGACCACTAAGCGTCGGGGAACTGCTCCCCTCTACTTGGATGATGAATAATGCTCAAGGTCAGTCCAATATATATGTAAGTACGTAGAAATGCGGAACCCGTAGGCAAAAGTAGCGGCGGAGTATTTCGGATCCGAAGTACATGTAAATAAACATGAGGCGCTGCGGACTATGGGAAAACATGTAATAGCGCTGGCTACGACGTGAGTAATGTGCGAAAATAATGAACTACACACCTAGTGGGGCTAGCAAGACGGGATGGGACACGGATAGGACAAGTGCGCGGGAAAACATTGGGTCCGATGCGGCCTAAACGTCGGGTTGGCGGGTTAGCGTCAGATAACATCGGGAAGTGATTAGCATGTGATGGGTATTTGACGTGTACTGTAAAATAGCTCGATACGAGCCCAGCGCCAGCTCGTGTCCTACAGCGAACAATCAACCTCAACTCTGGCGTGGTCGGTTCGTTGTATCCAGGAGACCCAGGCTCGAGCCAATCTTCTACACTCTGCATTGCAAAGTTAACCAGCCCGAGATCATACCGATTTCACGGGCGAACAAGCAGGAATGACTGCTGAGTACACCTTGCAGGCGAAAATTGAGCAAGCCTGTCTTCCGTTCTGACCTGCAGGTCTTGTAGCCCGTGTGCCTTGACTTCATATGTGAAACATTTGTCACCGTCTCCACCGGCACTCCGCCTGACTTCAGTGAGAGGAAATGTGATGCAAGGTAATTGCAGTCTGGCGTTTGCGAAACAAGGAACATTAAGATTCTCCAGGATAGTATACAGTCTCGAAGCTGACTGCACGGCCATAATGTTGTTTTGCAGCGTGGAGACCGACATCTGCATCTCGTCTTTGGATACAGATGTCAGTGTACAGGACGGAGCCTTGTATGAGGAAATGTCAGCTGGCAGGCAACTGTTGAAGTCGGACGATTGTCCCACCCAGTCCAAGGCTGCGATGTCGCACGAATGGGCTATGATCTCCTGCAGGAGTCGTCCGAGCGCCTTCTGTCTTTTCTCTCCATAGATAACCGGAAGGTTGAATCAAAGATGCCAAACAAAGAGTAGGCGATGTCTTCCTCCCTTGTAGTATACCGGTTTGACGCCCATCGGAGTTTCTCTCAAGCATCTTTTGTCCCCGGACGGAAATCAACGAGCGCCCGCGCATTTATGCCAGTTGAACGCTCCAGCTCCCACATGATAGCAACAGACCACTTGTGATTGCATGAGCGGCTGTCGAGATATGGGGTCCAATCTGTTTGGTAGAAGAGAACAATTTTAGGAGCGAGGAACTCCTGAACGGTCCATCCTTGCGTGTTCCAAGTGCTGTTTGCGAGCACGCCAGATTCTGACGAAGGAGGAACATCCAATAGGTAGACGACGGTGAGCGCTGAGTGGTGATACCATACGAACATGGAGTTCACTGATTGCTGGACCTCAACATTGTTGTTCTGGTCGATGCAGCATGTGTCGCTCCACACCCAACGATGTCCCGTATCGCGAGCAACTTTGCAGAACTTCTGCAACTCCACCATGGTTCCAACCGGATCCAAGTCATATATGACCTTGTCCTGAATGTCGTGCAGTAGGGGCTCCTTCCTTTCCCACCTATGAGACAACATTACCCAACTGGAGTACTTTGCGACCGCTTCTTTGATGGGCTCTGTTTGGAGGGGTGCATACATCACCAATGAATGCAAAAGCTCTTTGTACTCTGTACTCTCCATGAATGTGTTGATCTGCGCATCTCAATTGCACAAACGTCCAGTAGAGGTGTTGACTAGACGAAGGGGGGTGTTTTCTAGTTGTGCTTGAATGGCTCGTTCAATAGCAACTTCTATTTCAGATGAATCGATGTATTTATGGCGTAGCTCTGCGAAAATATATCATTCCAGTTGGCGCTCAAGTTGTGTGAGCTTGCATTGGATCCGTGGGTCGAGCGCATAATCCAACTTGGAGAGCATGATTATGAAGGCTGCCAATGCATCATCATAGCGTTGTGCTCCACGAAGCGCTGTATACTTCAACTCGTACCCAAGATAAGATGAAGGGTTGAGCTCGATAACCTACGAACATTATCACAAATGTTCAAACAATGACAGGTGTCGTCCGCACCTTTTCCGCATCCGAAAGGGCCTGTGCATGGAGCTTTTGGCCCAACTTCACCTTACTGCGGTGTGCAATGTATGAGTAATACATTCCGAATGCTGCGGAGAGTGTGTTCTCGATGGACCAGAGTTGAAGATTCCCATCAAAGTCTCCGCTCGCGACCACTTCTCCACTGGAGGAAATTGCGACGCAGGAAACCCATGTGGTATGTTCAAGTGCCTGTCCTATCTGCTGGTGTGACTGTGCTCCACAGGCGCACAGTCTAACGAGGTAGTGGCAATGACGTAATGCGGGAAGCCTGAGTGTGACTGGTGCAAGGTAGACCGATCTGTGTTCCATTCGAGGAGTCCCAAAACTTGATCGTTGATGCAACTGAGACAAGTTGCTGGCCAGAGGGCGACCACACAACACTGTATTGTCGTTGACGACTTTTGCTATTAGAGTAGTAGACAACAATGTGTGAGAGAATATCCTATGGAAAGCCAGACAACCGCGCTCAATTTCTCACGTGCATGCTTCTCTTGAGACACCATATAAGGCAGTTAGCTTCTATAGGACCTTGGACACCCTTTCCGAAAATTAAATAGTGTTATCATGTAAGGCTGACGTCGAGTTCGATAGGGAATTGTGAACAGAGTTAGTTTAGACAAGAGACGAGAGGAACGAGAATTGAGATGCTTGAGACGGACACGTTATAGGAGGCTTCTGAAGTACTTGGAGCGGGGATCTTAGGATAGAATTCACTGTAGGTATGAGTATACATGAGCAATATATATACGTTTTCGAGTAGTTGACTAGGCCGGAACAAGAACAGGGAGCATATGGCGAGTTGAAAGATATCGGTGAAGAAACGGGAATCGTGAAGTCTGAGCACAAGGTAAGATAACGAAAGAGTAGGAGAAATGAAAGGAATGTATCCACGCAATTCGGATGCGAAGAGTGCAACTCTTCGCATCAAAATGAATCACGTGGACGACCTCGAACGTATGATCCATTCAAGTGTCTCCGTTTGTGAAGTATGGTCGGCGCGTAGAGGATAGGAATCCTTACACCACCTCCCCACTTTGAATATCGACCGTCCTTGGTCGATCCTCTAACTAAAATTTTTGTATCGTACGTTGAATTGGTCAAGAAAAAGATTAAGAAGAAAGGAGGATAAGAAGGAAATAAAATGAGAGAAACGCATCTAGATTTCGTCTTTGGCGGTACCAGCAAGATTTTCGATGTTGAGATATTGAGTGACGTCGAGAGAGGTTGGGGAACGAGGGTGGTAGGGTATGAGACGAAAGGCGGCAAACTTGAGCTTGGAGACTGAACCGTCGATTTCTGCAAGACGATAAGAACCTCCCTGCGATCGTGAAACAACGATCATGGGACCGAAATAGCGCGGTCTACACTTTGCGTTTGACGCGGCTTCGATTTTCTTATTGAGGACGAGGACTAAAGCGCCGGGAGGAAAGTTGTAGTCGTGGATCGTACCAGCAAAGCGTTTCTTGAAGTTTTTAAGGGATGCGAGGCAACTGTTGACGAGTCGTTCGTGAGCAACTGTAAGATCCTCGTCTCGTTTTAAGAGTTGGCGGGCGCGAAGACTGATAAGATCCGAGGTTGATATTAGTGCCGAAATGTCTGGGAGCGTGAATGTGGCTTCGACGAGGTCAAGGGGAAGCAAAGGTTCTATGCCATGCGCAAGATAGAATGGGGAGTAGCCGGTTGATTTTCGTGTAGTGATACGATCTGCCCAGAATACGTGCGGCGCGATTTTCGGCCATTGAGTAATATCACCGTTGCATGCCTTAACGAGGGAGTCCCGGATAGTGCGATGTGAGCGTTCGACGACTCCGTTTGCTTGGGAGTTATACGCTGATATTCGAATGTGATGGATCCCGTACTTCTTTGCCAACCAGTCCACTGCTGCTATGAACGGCGTCCCATTATCTGTCACAATCTCTTCGATCACTCCCCATCTACACAATATCTCTTCGAATAAGAATGCGCCTAGAGTCCGTGCCGTTTCAGTCCTCAACATGCGCCACTCTGGCCAGGCAGATAATGAACAACGAGCCTGGACTATGCGATCGTATCCGTGAGAAGCCGGCATGAACATGGTGTCGGTATACGTTTTTTGAAAGAGGGAGGCTGGGATGTTGACGGTAGGAGGAAGGACGACTTTCGCGACAGAGCGGGTTTGACACGAGTGGCAGGTCTTGAGATACCATTGAAGGTCATGGTCTAGGGATGACCACCAAAAACGGTCCGCTATAGTTCGTCGAGTAGAGTAGAAACCTTTGTGACCGAGCTTGTCGTGAGCCTCGCACATTATTCGCAGTCGGTGTTCTCCAAACACAACTAGTTGATGGCGTCCTGTTGTTTCTTTTCGCCACAAACGACCTCCTCGTACGAAAAATTGATGTGCACGTTTGGCAAGACGCAGCTGATCCTTGCTCGAGATGGTTGAAGGAAAGGAGAGAGTGTCGAGGTAAGTTTGGATAGTCCGTAAATCATCATCGTAGCGAGAGGCAACACTATTTGAAGGAATTCCGTCTTTAGGCGAGTCTGGTGTGACGGTAAGAGCACTTCGTGTTCTTTCAGCAAGCCATTCATCATCAACTTCTTTCGCCACCCATACTCCGCATCCCAGTATCTCCTCAATCCACTCTTCAACATCTTCTGTCGTTTCGTCCAAATTTTCTTCATCTCCAGGCGCCATGGGTCGTCGAGACAAGCCGTCTGGTGCTACATGTTTGTTTCCAGGGACGTGTTTAAGGGTAAAGTCGAAAAGAGAGATGCCGGCTATCCAACGATTGACGGCGGCGTTTGGATGAATGTCAGGATTATTGAGCATGCCACGAAGGTACTTCGCATCTACTTCGACAGTGAAACCTTTGAGTCCTATGAGCCATACCTTTGCTGCGCGCAGGGCTCGAAATAAGCCATATAACTCGATTTTGGCTTGGGAATAGCGAGACTCCCGCTCGTTCCAAGTAATGGAGCCAAATCTGGAGGGACGACGACGACCTTCTGTATCGATTTGAGAGAGAATCCATCCGCATGCTATATGAGACGAGTCTACTGCTAATATGACTTCGAGTGAAGAAGAGTAGTTGATGGGGCGAATTGCAGGAGAGTGGATGATTGCGTCTTTGAGGTAGTCCATGGCACCCTGCGCAGCTGAGTCCCATGTGAATGGAGTATCGAGACGGGTAAGGTTAGTGAGAGGTCGTGCAACGCGAGCATAGTCTTTGATCCAGTTGCGAACAGTGCCTGCAGTTCCGAGAAAGCCACGAACTTCAGTTCGTGTTGTGCAGGGTGGCCAGTTTCTAATTTTTGAAACCTTGGTTTTGTCCGGGATTCGTCCTTCGTAATTGCAGAGTTGACCGACGACGAGAACCTCAGGAACACATAGAAACAACTTCTTTGCTGAAACAGTAGCTCCCGCATGCTTGAGACGATGCAGGACCCGATTCACATCTACACAATGCTCCCAAACGAACCTTCTAATGCCAGGATTCTCGGAGATGAGTTCGTATGAGCCATTAGGTAGCTCGTATCGCGTGCAGGGTCCCAAAACATTGACATCATCCTGGAAATTTGGTGCAACATCGATTTCGTCTTGTAGGATAAATGCAACATCGTTCTGGAAGACAGCTGGCGAGTTGGTCCATCCCTGGGGGAGGACTGTCAGACGATATGTGCCGAGGGGAGTTTGGAAGGTGGTGATGTCGCGGGATTCCTCTGCAAGGGCTCGATGGTCGAAGCCTACGAATAAGTCCATCATAGAATATATAGCGCGTCCTGCGCATTGCTCCGCAAATAACTCTACATATGGCATGGAGGCTGCGTCTTTGACTGTGACAGCATTGAGGGGTTGGAGATCGTGTACGATACGCACTGAGCCGTTCTTTTTGGCCACACAGAACCACCTAGATTGATACGAACTATTAGATGCTTCGTAGACTCCGGAGGCGATTTTTGATTTGATGAGCGTTATGACCTCGTTGCGAATGCCGGGGGGTATGGGAGGTTGGCGATGGACCCAGGGAGTGTGTTCAATGGTAGGTATTATGACGGGCGGGAAATAATCATCACGGAATCGTCCTTTCTCAGTCTCGTCCCAAGCAAGAGCTGACTCATTGTTCATGAGTACGTGCGCTGCTAACTTGCGCTCTTCAGGCCATAGAAATTCATTTTTGAAGATTCCTAGCTCATCCATTCGTTCTTGAGATAAACGGGAGCCGGAATGGAATTCGGGTGGATTTGGTGATAGAGGAGGGAGGGAGAGAAGTGGATCCTCTGGGAAGCGTCGTACGATTCGAGCATGGGACGGCATGGTCATGGCTACAGGTCTGACTTTGTTGGCGACTTTCTTATAGGCGAAGGTGCGGCTAACTGGGTTGATTTCGAAGTGCGCCTGAAGGAGGAACTCGGCAAAGGAGGAGAAAGTGAGACGGGATATGGGAATGGGTGTTTGAGAAACTGGAAGGCTTGATTGCGGAATAGCGTGATAAATGTCCGTTGAGCTTGTCGGCGTAGATAGGGCTGTCTGACAGATTGGAATTGATAGGACTGCGGTGGTGAGAGCAAGGGATGGGTGCGGCCAAGGACGGGGGAGAGTTTCAATAGTACGAGTGTTGGAACTGTTCATGGGATCTTGAATCGTAATCTGTACCTTGTCCGTGTCCTCAACCTTAGAAAGGTGAACAAGCTTCTGCCAGGGTCGTCCTAAGAGCAAGCGGTAGGGTGCATCTGGCACGACATAAGCGTGTGCCCAACTTTTGATCCCTTCGACCTCTATTTCTAACATCTCAACGCATCCTCCCATCTCCTGGGCTCCTCCATTCGCAGTTTGCATCTTCATGCGAATTTGCTGGTTCCTAGGTGCATTAGTCTTTCTCCAGATGTCTTCCCGTATAACGACAATTTCCGAGCCTTCGTCGAGCAGCGCTAGTTCTGAATGGACGCCATTAAGTAAGACGCGGAGCTCTCGAAGAGGTGTAGCGTGTTCAATCTGAAGGGGAGGAATGGTAGAGGCGAGGGCATTCGTTGAGACAGCCGTTGTAGGCGCAGGAACACGGTGCGTACGACAATGTTCCACTGCTTCCTTTCGTAGCTCAGGACTAATGGCAAGGAGGTCAGACACAGTCACATGGGGTACCATTATATCTAGGATGGACTTGTAGATGCGGTGAATGGCGTCCGGCGCAGCTGCCTTCGACTCGTAGGAGAAGGATGGAGGCCTCTTTGCCACTATATTGGGTGGTTTGGGGGTGACTTCGATAAGAGGTGGTGGGGACGGGTCTTCCTTTGAGTCGGAGGTGACAGGACTTCCTTTAGCTTTTGATCGTGTGATGGCGTTGACGTCTGTTGGAGTTTCCTTGCTCTCCTCCTCAACCGTGGCTATGATAGCGTGGTTCTCCGCTACTAGGTCGCACTGTAAGAAATACGACTCGGATATAAAAGCAGATGAGGGAATTTCAGAGGTTTTGGAGGACTGAGGCGTAGTTTCACGAGGGGAGGTGTCCACAGGGATCGCATTAGAGCCGGTGGCTGGTGTTGGAAGAGTCGTCATAGCATATCTGGAATCTATTACTTGCTTGAACGTTTCGTTTCCGGTACGTCGTATGCGTGACTGATCAGGATAAGCAAAATATTGACCATTTCGAATGATTCTTCCGGCTCGTAAATATTCACCAGCTGTGGGACAAACACGCATTACATGAGACCCTCCACAAAAGAAACATGTCGAGTTCGAGGGGAAGGGAGCTGAGACTGGGAGAGGAGGAAGGGGAAGATACGATAGCGGGGGCTGAGCAGTTGCTGTACTGATGAGGTGCAGCGCCTTAGGAGGAGGCCAGACTTGGGCTACTGTTGGAGCGATGTACGCAAGTCTTGAATAACATCCTGAGTAAGCTATATCACCGATATCAAGGCCGTGCATCTTGCGTGCGAGCTCCTCGACTTCATCTATGGTGGACTTGGCAGGTGGGGGCGTCACGAACGCTACTCGTTTGGTCTGAACCTCTTGCCTCACGTCTCGTTTTTCTTCTTCGTCATCAGAGTCCTCTATCGGTATGGGAACTTTCGCTCGACCTTTGTGAGGTAGGCTTCTGGATTCGCGAATGGTTCGGATCCTGGCTGCGATAGGCTCATTGAGATCAGTGTCGAAGGCATCGTCCGAAAACACAAAACGTCCGGCTTGATGGACTTTCTCAAAGTCCGTGGGCTCTGTTCTGGAATAGTTAGGGTCTTGGAGTTCCAGACGTCGGTCTATGGCGCGACGAGTGGAGGTAGGAAGTCCTTGCCAGAAGTAAGTGTCCCTTTCCCACGCTGAAATCTTGCTGTTAGCCACAAGCCAGAGAGCAACTGGACAAAACTGTTTATAGTACTGTATTAGCTCAGTTTCCGTCGTAATATCGTTCTCGACGTTCGCAACGACAATTCGTTCAAGATCACGAACAGAGTATCGTTGTCCCTTGGCTGCTCCTGAATACTGCGCTAGGATGCTGGCTTTGAATAGCGTGAAGTCCTTGCTCTCGTATCCGGTCAAGGTTAGCCAGAAGCGCTTCGTTTGCAAGTCGACGTATCGGACAATAGCTTTGCACTTGTCTGCGTCTGTGAGTGCGTATGTGGCTGCCAGGTCCTCAAAAAACTCGAAAAATTCTAGAAGCTCCGACGTTTCTCCATTGAAAAACGGAGCTTTGTTGGATCCGGGGCCGGGCATGGCTCCTATTCCCTTATTTGCGTTGGACATGACGGGGATAGTCGAAAAGGTGGGCGTTTGAGTGTTGTGTGATGGTGGTGCATACAGAGGCTGTGTTGGCGCAGTAGCGATAGCAGGCGTTTGGATCGAGGAATTGGGAGCGACAATTTGAACTGATGGGATGCTAGAGGAGCTTGCGGACTGCTTGGACTGTTTGGGCGGAAGTGAAGGTGGTTTAAGGAATTCTGGCTGGGGTATCGGAGGTAATGTCAGTGCTGAAGGGGCTGGCTTGGTAGATTCAGGGAGTATCGAAGGAAAGATAGGAGTTTCTGGATTAAATCTGGCCGGTCTGAGAGTGAATACATTTTGAGGAGGGAGTGACGGAAAAGGGGGCGAGTTTGAGCGGTGTGTGCGATTTATAGTATCGTCGTCCGAGAGAGAGGATTCTGATGGGTCTTCCGATGTCTCTAGGCTGACCTGGGCGCGGTAGTGATGACTTGGGGTGCGAAGGAAGGGTGGATCAGCGAGTTCTGCTAAGGGTGGTGTACGAGGAACGTCGATAGTGTGAGCACGGCTTCTGCCCTTGCCCTTCGTTTGGGGAGTGACACTGCTAGACGATGCCAGCGCAGATGGCTTTTGTTCGAGGCTTAGCTGCGCGTTGGGATGGTAATATTTCGTAATGGCGAAAGGAGGTGGTCAAAAGACCGGGTACTAGAAAAGAGAGTTTGACTAGTAGGTCAGTATAGACCCACGAATCAATACTCGGTGCGTCGGGATTTGTTCAAAACAATTCCCTCGCAGTGGGCTCCAAAATATGTAAGGCTGACGTCGAGTTCGATAGGGAATTGTGAACAGAGTTAGTTTAGACAAGAGACGAGAGGAACGAGAATTGAGATGCTTGAGACGGACACGTTATAGGAGGCTTCTGAAGTACTTGGAGCGGGGATCTTAGGATAGAATTCACTGTAGGTATGAGTATACATGAGCAATATATATACGTTTTCGAGTAGTTGACTAGGCCGGAACAAGAACAGGGAGCATATGGCGAGTTGAAAGATATCGGTGAAGAAACGGGAATCGTGAAGTCTGAGCACAAGGTAAGATAACGAAAGAGTAGGAGAAATGAAAGGAATGTATCCACGCAATTCGGATGCGAAGAGTGCAACTCTTCGCATCAAAATGAATCACGTGGACGACCTCGAACGTATGATCCATTCAAGTGTCTCCGTTTGTGAAGTATGGTCGGCGCGTAGAGGATAGGAATCCTTACAATCATGATTTTCGTAAGACATTGTACAAGATCCCCAGAGCCTAGATTCTACTACGGCTCCTTGGTAATAGATACTAGTATGAAAATAATCACCACTCGTCCATTGCACCCACTTCTTCATCCGAAAATTCCCAAACGACGAGACCGGCATTGTCAGCCTCATGAGAGACATCTGGTTCGTCTTCATGAGTAAGGTCATCAAGTAATTGAAGACCGGCATTGTCAGCCTCATGAGAGACATCTGGTTCATCTTCGTGAGTAAGGTCATCGAGTAATCGATGATGACCATCATCTAGTCCAAGTCCTCCACGAACGCCACCCATATAGTAATACCCATTAGTCTCTTCGTGAAATGGCAGGTCTTGATGCTCCTGAAGGAGCGGCAATTCTTCATCTTCTTCAATACTGTCAGAGAGTGGCATCCGGGGTAGTGTTTCGATGGAAGCGGCAAATATATGAAGCAATCCTAAATACACTGTCCAAGCTGATTTGCGATTGACGACAGGACGTCCCAAACGTTTGTAACATATCTGAAGAGTGTCTCCAAGGTCACTGGGCACGAGATCGAACACAGGGTGTCCAGGTTTGATGTACGCTGCTCGAACATGATCCACAGTGGCCTTCTCTACCTTGATCTATTGATGAGGTAAGGTCAGCTCCCTAAGACGAAGATTAGATGGTACGCACCTTGAAGTCAAGGGCACCAAAGTCTTCAGCGGACCGATAGATAAGTTCTGGGACTCCATGTGGCAGTACCTTGTTGCGATCACGCCTTTTGGCAGTGTGGTTGATCCGGTCCTGGTAAGAATCTAATTCGCGCTGCAACCATGGGATGAATACCCATCAAAATATCATTCTGAAGAGATATTAATCAGTGCGATAGATTGAAAGAACTTGAATCACGTACACTTGAAGTGTATTGTCACTGTCATACCAGTCTTGTTCGACTCCGTGGTCCAGCAGGGACTCAGAACCCGGAGTGAATCGACGTCGCAGTTGGGACCACGCAATCTCTGGCATGACATTTTTCTTGGTTCGCATCCACCGATGCTATAATGTGCCCTGTAGCGAAGGATCGTACCATTGGCGCAACATGGTGTGGCCATTTGCGATCCCAAAATTTTCGGTCCCAGGGTCGCTCTGTGTAACCAAGGGCATATCTGTTGAGGGTGTCAGAACATTGCGATAATTTCCGAATCAAAATACTCACGACCAAGGTTCTCGATAGTATCTAGATAGTAGCTCAAAATGAGCTGTGGATTTCGATTGGAATGCCAAACTCGCATCCACATGATGCGGCCAGAGAAAGGTTCGATTCTGGTGTGCAACGCTAGACTGAACCTCAGCCATTTGTCGTGCTGATCTACTGCGACTATATCATTCACTCCAGCAGCCCAAAAGCGCCTTCTTTGCAGGCGGCGGGCCTTTCGCTGGCGAACAAGATCGGCTTCATAGATGGCGAAGTAAGACTTTATGACACTCCTGTTGAAGTGTTCATCTGATGGGAACAATCAGAAAAGGTAAGAGTTCATACCTTGATACACTCATACCCTCCTCGTGGTGAAGTAAGCTAATCATCTCTCTCATTCCGGCCTTTGGATACATTTCGCGAAGTTCGAGCATGGCATCACGAATGGACTCAACACTGTGGCCTTGCTGGCGTGTGCGCAGCAGCCCCATGTCCGTACGAACCTGAATAAATTTAGTTAACCCAATTCCATAGCGCTCGGTGTCGATTTCTTTTCATAAGGCTTGGACGATCTGCTTGTCCGTTAGACGTGACTTCCATAGCCGAAGGATGTGGGGTGCGATCTTGGCCAAAGGTGCTGGAACATCTGAGTCAGCATCAACGCAAGGTCAAAGGATGGAAGACGATGTAGAGACTCATGCCTCTCATGGTGTGATATGGCACTTTTCACTAGGGAGTTCATTGCACGAACTTGCAGCACCATTCTGTGTGCTATCTGCAGCTATCCCTATATGAGGCGCAGCTTTCCCGTGCAACGCGCGCCATGCGCGCACCATTCCCACGCCTTACGATGTATACGCGCGCGCGCTTTCCCGCGCTTGAGCGCCCTATAGCGCCAGCCATCCGGAAGCATCCATCCATTGTCCACCAAGTTCTCTAGTGCGTATGTTTCCATTTCTCTTATCTGTGCATCGTTCCACCTTTATTTTTATCATGGACCCTTACTTACATACATATATCTTTGCATACCTTACTCGGTAGCGATTCGGCTCCGCATGACAGCGCTTAGGCGCCATATAAGCGCCAGCATTACATACTATGAGAAACTTTCCAACAATAACTTTACCTCCCACTTACCACCCACATACTACCTAGCAGAGTATAGTTGCAATCTATTCCTTGACACCTCGCGCTCATATCTCTTGTCTTGCATCATATCACCACTTAAGCAAACTCACACTTACTCTCACTTGCTTCTGCTCACGCGCGCGCGCGCTTCCCGCGCCTCGCACGTACCTTCGCTTTCCCGTGCCTCGCGTGCACCTGCGCGCTTTCCCGCGCTTCGCATCAGCCGACCAGTAGCGCCTTCAGCGCGCACTACTAGATCCTTGCTGCACTCGCTTCCCCTTTAGGGTCGAACGCACTTGTCGTCTCAAGTATAGCAGACTAGGCAACGCGCGGCCTTACAACATTTACAGATACAGTCAGGAGCTTTGTTTGTTCCTCTCAGTATTGTTGTTTCTACAACTGGAGCCCACCGTGAGGGGTCCATCTGGTTTAGTTTTGATTAAGTGATTTTGATTTTAGGATTTCCCGACGAACCCGTACTTCGGACCCGACGACCCGACGATATTTCCGACGTACCTGCAGTTTTTTCCCATCATGCCCGACAGATTTGGTATGCCATTCAGGACAGAACAATCAGCCCCAAGATTCACTGGCGATGTTTATGGAGTTTTCACATTTTTGCAATCTGTAGACCAACTCGGACAAAAGTGCAATTTATCAGACACTGAGCTCATCAAGTATACTCTCAGGTATATCCAATGCGACCACAAAGAACTATGGGCAGGATGCCCTGAGGCCCGAGGTACATCTTGGTTAGATTTTACTAACGAAATTTTGTCGTCCTACCCAGAAGGAGGCATACACGAGTATACCCGACCTGATCCGAAACCCGAAATACCCGAACCCGAGGAACCCGATGATTATGAATGGTGGACACTTCCCCTAAGTGACGAATACACACCCGCACAAGAACGCCTAACTTCAGAAATAGAAATCTCCGCACCCAAAGACCCTATCGCAACATCCGATGCCCCAGAGGGAGTCCGAAGTCCTGAAATTTCGGACTTGACCTTCGGACAAGTTCAGTTACCATCGGAACAATTGGATGTATTCGTAGAAGTCATTGATGCAGACGTACTAACATCAGAAGTCTTAGATTCAGAGCTAACGTCGCTAGAAGACAACGTACCCGAGATACCCGAAACATCGGCCGACGAATTCCCCGAAATATGGGATATTTGTACCAGGAGTTTAGATCACGAACTCGTTTTACCTTCTCCGGATCGCACTGATCATTTTGTTCACGCAGTAGCCGTCGCTTTATTTCTCACCGGTTATGTCACTTGGTCTAGGTATCATTTTGAATTGTCACACCCGAAAATCCGCACGTCAAAGCCCGAAACACCCGAAACACATTTCCCCGTCATCCCGAAGATATGCCCCGTTTACCCACAGTTTCCCTGCATAGTTTCGCCCTACCGTCACCCGTCGCATCGGATCCGAAATATCCGACTCCATCATCCGGTCTACCGACGCTTTCAATACCCTCGTCCATCGCACTCCCAGATCGCGTTTTACCAGTATGAAAGCCAACGACGTCTCTACCTTAGGAAAAAGCTATAGTTCGAAACCCCGAAATTTCGGGTAACGCGATACCCGAAAACGCGCACATATGTTCATAGCTCGCACATACTAGCATCGCACGTTTCACCCCGGGATTAGGCCGGTGTTTCATATCTCAATAACCCGAAAAATCCCTATCCTCATACATCCGCACCTACAGAAGAAACTAATAGTACACAGACATTCGAATCCGAACGCGCGCTAATAACCCCTATTTATATAGCATTTCATCTTCGAACTGCGCATCGCGCGCACACCCTTATATATACATAGAAAAACCCGAAAACCCGAAAAACCCAAAGAAAGACAGTCAAAAGTTGCACGAAGAAGTCAAGTCAGATGGTAATCTGCGTCCCTAGTGTCATCTTGACTATGTTATCCGAAAATTCATTTGGCACTTACAATTATTTTTTTCATTGTTTTTTATTAGACACCCTAGTGGGGGACCACCTAGCATCGGATCCGAGATACAGACATAGGGGACACATAGGACAAGCGCAGATTTTCGAACATTGCATCGGCCGACAATTTCGGACTTCGGATACCATTGCACACTCGGACATTGAGTTGTTTGCATCCATCACATTTGTGCAGAAGAGAACAGTGATAGATTATGCAGAGAAGTAGGAAAAGACGTCAGAACACGAGCAGACACATATCAGTGCATTTTCGGACTTGCACTCGGAAAGTTCCCGCGCATCGCATCGGCCGCGTCGGCCACTCAGATACATTTCCGCACATCGCATACCTTCGCATCACTTCCCCTATGCTTGAGATACCTCGCATTTATCAGATTTATCCGTTGCCGCACTCATCACGAAATATCGAAACAATCACGCATATCCGCACATCGGACCCGACGCTTTTGCATCGGACATCGTAATTATACCTTCGGACATTGTTTCCCGCGCTCGGACTATTGACCCCACATCACTCACTTACCCCCAAGACTATTCCCAGACCGCAGACCCCTGGGTCGAACGCACTTGTCAGGCAAGTATAGCAGACTAGGCAGTGCAAAGACCACAACACAAATATATCAGTTTGGAGCCATCTTTGTTTTGTTCCTCTCTGTATTGTTGTTTCTACAACGAACAGGTGGGTTTATTCTGATTGGGCATTTTCTGAATCAGTTGAGCCCATGAAGGAGCCCATGAAGTCAGCATATTTATACTGTAGATTCCTTGACCGCTGTACATTGAAATGGCGTAGGAAATGTCTTACTAAAAACTAGTTTGCTGTGCATGGGAATTGCTTCGGAGGAGGTAGGAGATTATGTTCAATAGTTGCGGCTCTTACCACGTTCAATAGTTGTCTGGAGAGCGCTCATCCTCCCCTCTTACCTAGTTTGACATTCAGAAAGAGCACTCATCCTCCCTTCTTACCCAAGTTTGACATTCAGGTTGACATTCAGGGCCCAGATCTAGAGAGCAGTTCCTGGGTCTGACTGTGAGTTTCATGATTAATGATTAGCCTTGCAGCTTCTGACCGTAAGCTTCACTCTGCAGCTCACAGGGGTGTCTCCAAATAGCAATCATAACAACGTCAATGCCACTGCAAACACCAACTCAAACTCTAACACGAGTCACGACTGCGTGTACTGCCAAGCGCCGTCATATGAGCACTGACAGCATGCCAGGTCTCGTAAATTTGTATATACAATGTACTATAACTGATCTCTCTGCAGCTCTCTGCTGCGCAACTTCCGGTGAACGATGTTCCAGATCTTTGGTATGTATATACAATGCACATAACTGACTACTGATCTCTCTGCAGCGCAACTCTCTGTGCATCATCATTATTTGTCTCACTCTCTGCGGTGCAACTTCCAATGTCGGATATTTGGTATGTTTTATTGTACATATGATGCAGAGCTAAATTAAGTGGCTCATGGTGCATTTAAGCAACCTGGACATTGCGCTCTGAGCTTCAGTTTCCTCCTTCAACTACTATTCTTTGTGACTATGTCTAACTACGAGCTTGTGTCTCAATACACCGAGGACGCCTTTGCAAAAGAGGACCGGTTGTGCCAGTGTCCTGCATGTGGCGCCAATATCGCCAAGGGTGACCCTTGCTTCTATGTGGCCACCATAGAGCACAGCAAACCAGGGCGCTATGTCTGTGGTCCTTGCCATGAACGCTATCAGAAGAAGGCAGCAACATCTGTGCGACCTGCTGGTAAGTCAAGTTCTGGCACAAGGTCTATAACTAACAAGTGTTTCTAGTTCGCCCTACTCCAGGCTCTGCCAGTGGTGGTAGTTCTGGCTTCGCTGGTCGAGGCCCTCCAGATCCACATGTCATTCGGCAGTCAGTGAACACAGGCCAAAGAAAACGTAAGTCGTCGTATCCATTACCTGGTGTAGCTGGACTGATTTTCCAAGTGTCGGTCAATCCACCGCCAGTGATTCCTTTGTCCCATGGACGGTCCGAGTTTTCTGCAGGGCCTGATATTAGTGTTCCGTCTTTGTGGCAGCCATCATCGCAGCAAACTCTGCGTAGTTCCACCGGATATACGCCACACCATGCCCACTATGGCTCGGAGCGTGATCGTTGGGCAAAACTATCCTATGCTCCTCCTCCATCTCAAACGATCTCGCTCGAAATTTCAGCTGTTCATGAGGGAGGTAGCCGGAAGAAGGGTGGGCGTGGTACACCTTTTGGGGTATGTGTTCAACTACTTTATCACAATGCAACCACTAATGCCACAACATACAGAGTATCTGTGAAGGAAAAAAAGATATAGACGCTCAAATTGATGCCCCAGGACTCATCAAAATCGCCCTCAATACTGTTTGTCCGAGGATTCAATCATTCTGTCCTACCTTTCAGTGGCAGGATGAAGAATTCGTCGTCCGAGACTCATGATGGGTGGATCTATCGGGTCATCATGCACGCGAGCCATATTTTTACTCACAATGTGTTCAAGCTGGACGTAAAGGCTTAAAATCGCCGATATTCAAGACAAAACAGTTTGCACTCATGGTCGTCATACCTGAGAGCCAGTGGCGCGAATACGAAGAATGGACGGAGCGAGTCGAAGAATGGACTCAGCAAGCTGAAGAGGTAATGCTACTACTTTTTCCCATGCTTCTAGGCTGACTTGGTACTCTTGTAGGACGAGGCTACTCGCCAAGCTCCAATGGCTACTACCGCTATCTCCAAAGCCTCTGTTGATGTCTTCCAGGGCGAAGATGACCTTGCCACTGGGGTACCGCTTCCCTCAAAGAGGACCCACATCCGTACAGCCAGCAGCCTGAGTTCCACATCACCGCCACTAAAGAAAGCGGCTTCCGCGAATATCTTTCAGTCACCCGATCGTAATGAGTTGAAAGAGGCCCTCTGATCTGGCGGAACAGCAAATGTAGATGCACAGAGTGGTGAGTTTCAAGTCTTGAGTATCTTGTTTGTTGCGCTAATGTCCCTTCAAAGTGTATGACCTGCAGAATGAAAATGTTCAGCTGTACTGGATCGCTACTCGCCCGATGTCTCAAATCCTGGAAAACAACAAATATCAGTCGTTCACATTGCATACTGCAGAATCGGCGACTGGGCAACTGACAGTCAACACGTTGTAGAAACAACTATTCCGAGAGGAACAAAACAAAGATCGCTCCTAACTGATATATTTGTGTTGTGGTCTTTGCACTGCCTAGTCTGCTATACTTGCCTGACAAGTGCGTTCGACCCAGGGGTCTGCGGTCTGGGAATAGTCTTGGGGGTAAGTGAGTGATGTGGGGTCAATAGTCCGAGCGCGGGAAACAATGTCCGAAGGTATAATTACGATGTCCGATGCAAAAGCGTCGGGTCCGATGTTTTCGGGGTTTCGGGATATCGGGTTCGGGTTCGGGTCTTTCAGAAACTAATAGTGACGCGTTATGCGAGCGTCAGAAAAGCGAGCGGTATGCGTGATGACAATGATGACTGATACGAATAATGAAAGAGCGATGATATTCGCAATATCAACTAAGAACTACGAAATATCGGGTTTGACCACTAAGCGTCGGGGAACTGCTCCCCTCTACTTGGATAATGAATAATGCTCGAGGTCAGTCCAATATATATGTAAGTACGTAGAAATGCGGAACCCATAGGCGAAAGTAGCGGCGGAGTATTTCGGATCCGAAGTACATGTAAATAAACATGAGGCGCTGCGGACTATGGGAAAACATGTAATAGCGCTGGCTGCGACGTGAGTAATGTGCGAAATAATGAACTACACACCTAGTGGGGCTAGCAAGACAGGACGGGACACGGATAGGACAAGTGCACGGGAAAACATTGGGTCCGATGCGGCCTAAACGTCGGGTTGGCGGGTTAGCGTCGGATAACATCGGGAAGTGATTAGCATGTGACGGGTATTTGACGTGTACTGTAAAATAGCTCAATACGAGCCCAGCGCCAGCTCGTGTCCTAAAACGTCCTCTGCCAATCTCATTGGCCGAGGTGGATTCAAGAGTGCCCATCCTGGGTGGTTAACACTTGCATCACACATTCCTACAACCGGACTAGGTTCAATCCCGCATCAGAAAGTCGTAGTCAAGAGACCTTTCATTAAGATATTTCCTCCAAGTGGACCATCGGCAGGCACATACAAAGTTGGACGCTACGCTGTGGCCGACGAATTGTCCAAGCAGTTCAAGGAAGCCAATGTCCTGTACTGGGCAAATTCATTGTTAGATCTTACCTACGCCTTCGTTAACCGTTGTGTCGCGGCCTCGTCAGCCCCCCCTCCTTTTGAGATTCCACATCTTCGTTTCGTTCATGCTGGACTCGCACTGTCCTTCCTACCTGGCCAGATGATCGTTACTAAACCGGGTGCTAAACCATGCTCCGTCCGCGCTGCATTTCTGTTAGAGGAGCTCATTCCAGGTGGGCCAGATGCCTTTGTGAAATTCATTCACAACACGGACTGTGATCCGCTCCTTGATCCTGACGAGGATGGGTACAGTACAGCGCTTTTCCTAGCATTTACTCAACACGTTCAGTATGAGAAGACGGGGGGATTGGCATACATCTCCGACTATCAGGGTGCATAGAAGTTACTTATGTTTGTTTTGTCGGCTGACATGGTGTACTACCACAGGTAGCACAGAGTTGCTGACAGACCCGCAAATATTGACGCACCCGTATGTACCCCAGCTGTGACCTTACCTCCAAACATTCACATTCATTCCAGGTCCGTTTCTGAAGGCAACAATCTTTTCGGTGATGGAAATATCGAAGATGTGGTGAGCCAGTTTGAGAAGAAACATGTGTGCAACCACTACTGTGAATGGTCCGGTTTCGAGTTGGAGGCATATGGAAGGCAAGCTTGATATATATTGAACTCGCCGTATCTTAATGTCGTCACACCTGATGTTAGTATGTTTTGTTACATTTGTACTATTGTCATTGAATTTTTCTTGGTCCAATAATCTCTCGCAAACTGCCGCTTGTGATTCGCAGTGGCAGGTGTCCCGTAGAAGCGTATGCCTTATATGGTGCGTCGGGAGAAGCATGCACACGAAAAATTGAGCGCGGTTGTCTGGCTTTCCATAATATCCCAAGGATTGTCACACGCGTTCTATTCAGTGACGATCCAGTTGTAACTTCAATTCTGATAATCAAATTCAAGTATGAGAACTTCTCGGAACCAGCCCATCACGCGTGCGCACTGCCATGTTATCCGTCTCAGCGGCCTTTCACCAATCACTTGAAAGAAATTCGTTAATTAACCTCTTCCTTGAATTCCGATTGGTCTCAAAAACTTTTCAGCTGTATACTCAACCTGGAATCTGGAGTCTGGATGAAATTCACATACGATTCCTTCGCTCTACCGAGGTCGACCGCGTTGTCGTGTCCGTCATGCTGACTCATGATTAGGTTCAGGCTATTGAAGATGACACATGATACAGCCTACAGGTCACCTGCCTTGACGTGTTGGACCGGTCCACACGTTGCTTTTCTATCTTCCTGGTTGCCGCTGACCTGCATTTATGATATCGAAGCTTAACTTGCAAGCATTATCATGAGCCAGTCCCGTGGAACAAAGGAAATCGCATTGAACGTTCAAGCGATGGAGACTGTTTCGCCGGTCTAAATGAGTACCGGTGAGCCGCCGGATCACCATCATGATAGGCTATGTGGCCTAGTGCGTGATTCACTCCTTGTTTCAACTTGAAGTTTTAACTCTACATTTTTAGCTTGCGCTTCGAGTATGGGATTTATAGGACTCATGTGCTATGTCGAGTGATTTCCGCTGATGGCTCCTATTAGTAGATGGTTGATGACAAGGCGAGTGCACTAGTACATATATGCCAGAGTCCTGTTTCTCCTGACACAGCTACTGCATCAGTGATTCTCAAGAGACTTTGGGTCCTCTGTCTTAGATCTTCGGTTGATTATGATATCGATGCGATGAACATTCAGTACTCAGCACAGTGCATCAGAGGACTGGTAAGAAAGTTATATGGACAATATGTCCTTTACTTTTCATTACGACGTAAAGGCCTCGCAATTCACATAACACACCCCAAAAGACTCATCAGAAGATTCACGTTATCTTTTCTTTTCCTTTCTGAGCAGGTCAGACGTGTTTAAGATGCAATGCAATCAGCTTCTCCTCCCCTTCATTACGATGGATATGTGGTATATAACTTCAATCCACCCTTCCTCGATGCGAATCAGCAAAGGATCTTGGCACTTAGAGGCATCCGATACTCGTCAAGTCTACACATGTGCAGTCAGCGAGCATCTCTGCTAGGCGACTGGTTCTGGCATCATTCGCTCAAGAGGTATGGTCGTCTCCGTTCTAATTGATAACAACTTAACCCAGATCTAACGCTGTCATTCTTTTATTACTAGGCCATCTTCTGGTGTGGGTCATGGTCAACTTCAAGAGTCCTATATCTCATGGTAATTCTGCGTTATATATAAATTGGCGATTTCACCTAGATCCGATATCTCTTGACACGACTGATTAGTTCCGTCTTTTATGGTCATACGGCTCGAACATTTTTGTCGTGCTGCGGCAACTGATTGAATTACAATACCAGGCCAGACTTTCAGTCATTGTGCTGCTGTGCGTACTTCTCAAGCCGCGCGATCGTTTATTGGGTCTCGCTCACAGCTCTTCAGAAGTGAGCTATTCGACATGATAAGGCTCCAAAAAAAGCTTACACGTTGAAATAGATCAAACCTGTTTTTTATTGCGAACCACACGCTTGCTAGTATTACTTAGGAGTTGCTTCATCAGATGGCTGGCGGTCTCTGTTCTTGTCATCTACACGACAGGAACCACGAGAGCTCGAAGCAGACACACCTGTATATACATGTACTTGCTACCCTTGGTCGTCCATTCGACCATGTTCTTACTCAAATTGTATCGCTTTCACGACTCTGAGTTTCAATTTGCTTTGTCGTCCAATCATAACGTTATCTGAATCCAGACAGGACTTCTGGTACTCCCAACGTTCCATGGGAACGTTGGTCGATAAACGTACGCTAAATGTTCATTGATCGGTAGAACACTTCACCGGCACCACACCGAATAGAAGCATGAGAGGAACTTCGGAACAAAACTGACAAAGATATGATGAATGAATAGGATTGACGATGCATCATCCCTACATAGTACAGCTGTGCTGGTAAGTGCTATCCATCAGCTTCGCCTCCCGTTCATCACGGTGGGTATATAGTATATAGCACTAATCAGCTTTTCTTGATGCAACCCACAGAGGGCACTGTGAGCCCTCAGATCTCAACGTTGTCAACACTCGAGGGCACCCATACTTTGTTATGTCCGCACAGGTGCAGTCAGCGGGCATTAATATTGCTGTTCAGCAACTGCCTACCGTTCAAGTTGTATCATTCACTCTTGTGGTGTACGATCATGCTATCACATTCGCTCAAGAAGTACTTTCGTCTTCACGGTCGATGACAGTCTAACCCTGATTCACCGCCATCGTTTATTTTAGGTGACTTTCTTTTGGTCCAGTTCTTGGTCACCGTCAAGAATACTGTATTTCATGGTAATGCCGTTACGAATCATATTCTTCTTCTCAGTGACTAATTTTAGGTCCGACAGATCCGATACTTGGCTCTTGCGCAAGTTTGGTGTGTTTGACTCCATTTAATAAAATGCACTAGAAATGATAATATCCTTTAGTCTTAATGCTGCGACAACAATAGGAGCAGCCAAGGCTCACAGCGATCTTGTGAGTTTTTGAGCTGCGCATATCGTCGTTGGGGTCTTACATGCATTGTTCTACAGGGGTGGGCTGTTTCATATGACAAGGCAACAGACCAACTTACAGATTGACGTAGGTCTGCTATACTTGAATACACTGTTAGATTAACAGTCATGATTCTATGCCAATGTATGTCCCTTGCACATTGATTGATTCCACTGAATCGACTGGTATACAGGTGTTATAACATTGCGAGTATGGCATCTGTTTCCTCGTAGTCGCTTCATCAGATGGTTGGCAGTCACTATTTTCACCGTTTGCTTGGCAGGAGGTGCAATATTTGACGCCATCAAGTATAATGCAATCAAAAGTGCCGCGAACACGAACATATTGGCACAGGGCCGTACATTTTCATTCATCCTCTACCTGCCAGCCTTGGTTGTCCATACGACTATGTTCTTACTTACGCTGTATCGCTTTCGCGTCACCCCCGAAACCTTGCAGCAACATGGGATGATCCACCGATTCGTCAAAGAGTAAGCCCCTATTAATCACAAGTTCTACCCATGAAAACTAATGTTCGCTTAGGGGAATGATCTTGTATTCGTTTGCAGCCGGTGAATATACTTCGATTCTCTTCGTTTTGCAGATGCTCAAGCAAATAACAGGATCGCTACTGTACGAAATCATCAGTCTTTCTTTTGTTAGACCAGAGGACATATCCGTAAGTTTTATAGCCATAGCTGCATGAAATATGCGTCACCGTTACCAGAAATATGGTTTAGGTGATATGGGAGAGTAAGATTGTTCCGTCCATGGCAGTTTACTAAAGTTCACGAGCAACATCTATCATCCAGAATAGCAATGGCAGCTACGGCTGTCTCTATCTGTCGCGCGATGCTAAGCATCCGGTGCTTGGCTGCAACTTACCATGTCGATCCGGCATGGTTGCTCAACCATGCAGAACTCAGTCGTGTCCAATGGAGGAGAGGACACACTGAAGGAGAAATCTACGTTGAAGTCGGCGAGATGGATGTGGTTCTCCCGTTCAAATCTGCGGCATTACCTGCTGGGAATATCGGAAGAGAAGACGAGGTGCAAAATTATACATAACTTGTGTATCTAGCACATGATTCCCTTTTTTTATTGTATATATATCCATTTATGTCCATTAACATGATTTCCTTGACCGACACATTGTTGGAGAAGCAGTAAAAATGAAGCCACATGTAACTACACTCCTTTCGATTTAAATAGCTAGACTAGTGATCATATATTCAAGTTACCTTGCGGAGCCTTGGAGTGATGCTGCACGGATAGGGTAGCGGGTGACTAAAGAGGTCTTATTAGTCGAGACACAGAGAGGAACGAGAGTGAACACACATTGCGATACCACTGGACCATCGTGGTTCAAAATCAATCACCTCCCCATCTGCACCGATTCGTTTCGAAAATGTAAACACGGTAAGTAGGGAAGAAATTGCTATCCATAGAGATGCGTCTCCAAAATGCCGGCCAACACAAATCCTACATTATCACAAGGATGTTCAATGGCATCTGAAAAAGAGATATCATGACAAACCTTCTCCCAAATCCAAATGCCATATTGACGGTATCGTCATTGAGGTTGCCATCAGCATCCAGGAAGCGCTCGGGCGAGAACTGCGAAGGATTTGGGTATTTCTGTTCATTTTGTGACATTGCCCTATAAAGCAGTTGGCCTCTGGATGATGATCCCTTGGACATGCAGACTCACCACACATTTGGCACAACGACGGCACCTGTTTACTAGGTTAGCAAAGAACTTCATCAGAAAACATGAAGTTTCGTGCCTTTGGGTATGTAGTATCCCTCGTAAACGTCGCTGTCCACCGACGCATGCGGTATCGCTACACAATTCCGTAAGAAATTGACAGGCGCCTAAAAACCTCACACGCACATAGGGGCAAAATCGGGTGCCAACGAAGAGTTTCCCGGAGGATAGCATCGATATATTGCAAGGAGGATCTATCTTCGAAAGTCGGCAACCTCGACGCGCCAACGACAGCATCAATCAGAGTGCGGGCTTTCACTTGTACTTCTGGGAAGAGTACCATGGCAAGGATGAATACTTGCAATATCAAATCCGTCTAAGTAAAAGTTAGAGCACTGCAAGATAAAATACTCGAAAATTAAATACCGTTTCGGAAGCAGCTGCTCGGACAATGCTCGTCAATGTTATTCCGGCATACTGTATCCGACTGGTACTCACCTCCAAACGCTGTGGCTGCACTTTCTTTGATGGTTGTGATCTCGTCAGAAGTTTCTTTTCCGCCGATCCGTCTGAGGGCATTTGAAACCATGGATGACTGGGCTTTCCCCTCAGCCTTCCGGGACATGTTAGGTGCAAATATGGAGATATTTGACAGCATACCGTTCTTTCGAGCACATACTGGAAAGGATCGTGCATCCACTCTCCCAGCCATTCACGTGACTGGATGGCCTTCTTCTTGAGCGACATACCAGGAAACCATGCTGGTAGTCGTAGAACTACATGAACAGTATTCAGTCGAGCCCAGAAAATACAACCAAAGACTCACGAATTGGGAATGCATTGAACACGGTAGCTACCTCAGGTCTGAGTTCCTGCACAGCCAACCTCAGTGACTTTCCAATAAGCTTCACTAATGGGTCGTCGTGTTTTGTTTCATAGTCATATGAAGCCGACATTATCACAGAAGATGAAAATCTGGCAGAGAATTCCGGTATTAATAATACACCGCACCGGTCTGTACTAGGAGAAGACTTACACGTGAACATGGTTTAGGAATTTCTCTGGGGCATCAAGCATGTCACGAATAAGCTGCTCAGCCTTCCGCCGCTGCATTGGACGATAACATAGAGCTGCCTCTGCCCTGAATGCTTGATGGAATATTCCTCTTTGACGACGCCAGCGAGCTCCGTATCTCATGAGTATGGTGTTGAAACCGAACCCAAAACTGTTGAAGACGCTATGTCAAGAGCTACGCTGGGTGGTTAGTTAAATATGGCTCCTACAGAGCGTTTGTTGGAAGGTCCGGCCTATCAGAGTAGTTGTATGACCGCTTCTCCAAAAGCTCAATCGCTACCTTCTCGGAGTTGATCACAATAATGTGTTGGCCGAAAAGACTCGAGTATACAATATCGCCTACCATGAAATCATTTAGCGAAATTCAGGGTATTCATATTTTCACGATGTTTCCATGTTATGCACGCACCGTATTGTTTGCCCCATTCCGTGTAAGCTAACCATGGTGCATTGATGTCAACCCCCCGGATATTACCAATGAGTGGAATAGGCAGCGGTCCCGGCGGCAGCGGAGGCACTTTTCGCTTCTCCATGCCACAACGAACCGCACCAACAAAAGTGGCACAGATCAAGGCGCCGATGCAGATGTCTCTCCAGTCCAACGACATGGTGGGATGAAGGAATGGTGTGTTTCGGGCACCTCCATTTATATGTATTATGTATGTTGAAGCAATTTTTTTAACCTGACTCATCATCATTAAATTGCGACAGTGTATCTAGTTTTCGCGTCCAGGGCCGCGTACTAATACATTGATATTATTTGTGGCGCGCTTCGCGAATGTGATCGGTGTGCTATTGTATAGGCCATCGGTCCGAACGTTACACTAGTAATACGACTTTGTACTTATTCCGGTGAGCACTACTTACTAGGGCTAGTAACATGACATGTCTTGATGACCGGATAGTACAACTCGGAATGCGCAGGTCTAGGTGTTTACAGGCATGCTGGCCATAACTTGAAGCTTTAAATCTCTTCTCGTAGGTCTCCCTAGCATACAGCTAATTAAGTCGCGGAGCTCCGAGTCCAGACGTAGATTGCCAAGGGGTCACCTTACTCGTGTCTACTACTACGTTTGTCTCATGGCACATTCGTATCCTCAAGAAGTGCTTTTTACTGTATCACGAGAAACACGTTTTCTGCATGCATCGTCAGCATGTCTATGCTTCTTCCGCAACACCCTTGCAAGTGGACGATGAGGGCTCGTCGGCTCAAGGCTACATCACTCCTTGTCTTCTTCCCTCTGCCAGACTGGCCATTCAGGTGGACTTCAACAGCTGCTTCACTGCCTGTAAAAAAACCTACACTCGGTCGTAAACAAACACTTTCGGTATGTCGGGTCCGTTCTTTGGCTAGCTGGATACCAATGTCACGCGTCTAGCTGGTCGAAATGCTTCCCTTTGCCTCAACAATCTGTATCCTTGGTGCTCTCGTCTGTGGCTCTTTCGCACTACAAAGCTCTCCGACAGTTTCCAGTGCCCCCGATGTCAGCAGCTCGAAAATATATACAAGTGCTATCTCAAGCGTCATAGCTGCGGTGACGCCCATGCTTGCTTTAATATACTTTTGTCCACTCTACCTTCTGTATCGGCATTCAAAGCGGCACCCAAGGTCGATCAATAAGATATCTGGAGCGCGAGTTCAGCAGTATGGCCCACGTTAGTATTCTATCCTCACCTATTGCTGCCTCGTTGTTGACGCACCTTGACCTTGCATTGCCTAGTCGTGTATGTATTCTTGCTGGCTGTTAGCTTGGCAGAGGTGAGAATAATGATCCAACTTTTGTACAGAAACATGCATGACCTCTTTGTTATATTAGGTCGCAGATGCCACTTGGTTGTTGTTGCAATTTCGCTTCAACAACAATGCACCTGATCCCATCACCCGCAGTGGTGTGCGCTTTCTCTTGTGGGTTTGTTTCGCAATTTGAGGCAATATGCAATTGAGCACGCTGTCAAATAGGTTTTCAGCCTGTTGGACAACTGTGACTTCAGGCACATACACTTTGTTCTTCCTCGATCCCTTGTGGTCCAGACGCCCAATTGCGTCTATAGGTACACAAGCAGTCTGGGTGCTTGTAACATGGATATTCTGGGTTGCCGGAGCAGGTTTGTTCAACAAGTCGTTCCCTCGCTTGTTCATGAGTGGATCATGCGATGGGGTTGTGTATTGTGGTCAATTGCAAGTGCTCTTTGGTTAGTAAGCTGTTGCGTAAGGGATATACGTAAACTGATAGGCAATTTCAGCCCTTGCCGTTGTTCAGATGTGCGTATGTCGAGATCATCTTGGATTGTTGACTGACCACGTTCAATAGCCTTACCTTGACCTTTGGAATGCTTGTGATTACCTGGCTTGTTTGGCAATCGGCTCGCAGTATTCACCATCCAATGGTTATCCGAGTTGCAGCCGCTATATAGGCACCACCATAATTCTAGCGAGTAACTTTGAACACCGCCCTCGAGGCCATTTCCGCATTACCGCCATACCTAGTTACGCTCTAGAGTCTCATGAACAATAGTGACTGCTGTATTATTATATGGGGCTCTGGTAGATACGTGACAGTGTGTAGCATATATATTATGTTGTGATTCATTCAATTTTCAATTTGCCACTGGAGCTGGCGCTGGACTATGCTTCCGTTCCGTCTCCGAAATAGCACGATATTGATTGGCTAGTGTAGCAACGGGAAAAACCGGCGACCTTTCGGCTCGATCGGGCTCAAATCATTTTTGAAGCGAAAAAGTTGTCATACCAGAAGTATCCGCTGGTCCATCACCATCTCGCCTTCCAGGCTATTGTGTAGTTAATCCTTTTCTCTTTCTTCACCTCATAGACTTTCACAATGCCTTACGCTCCAGGTATGCTCATGGTTTCTGCTGCAGGGCGGAGGCTGACTCTGTTTAAGGTGACGCTGGCAAGGGTGCTGCTATCTTCAAGCGAAGTTGTGCTTTGTGCCACACCGCCGGTGCTGGCGAGCCCAACAAGGTTGGGCCTAACTTGCATGGGTGAGTGAATTTGTTACTGCTCTTAACCCTCGCTGAGCGTCTCCCAGTCTTTTCGGTCGCAAGACTGGCTCCGTAGAAGGTTTCTCGTACACGGCGGCCAACGTGAAGAAGGGTGTTATTTGGGGAGAGGACACTCTTTTCGCTTACCTTGAGAACCCCAAAAAGGTTTGTTGCGGGCGCGGATTGCTTCTGTGCATCATCACATACTGATGCGCTTTGAATTTTTACACAGTACATCCCAGGAACCACAATGGCTTTCGTTGGTCTCAAGAAGGAGAAGGACAGGAATGACCTCATTACATACTTGAAGGAAGCGGTACGTTATTTTCCCGGAATAGCTGTGATCTCCAATGCCAACGATTTGTTCCCGCTCCAGACGGCCTAATTTTATATCCACCACGGACATCCTATTCATACAGACTACAGATATAGTACGGCTTTGCATCAGGTCTTAGTATACTAGACGGCCACCCTCGCTCGCATCTCCTTGCATCCTTTACCCCCGCTCATACAACGATATACTTTTTTCTCTTGCTTGTTGGTAGTCAGCGATATGTCAAGTTGCCTCCATGCACCACAGGATAAGTGGAGTGATCAGCCTATTGGTGATGACATGCAAAGACACATGGTGCGTAACACTATTATGTTCCAGCGCAAGTCTACGTGTTTCTATTGAATGCATGAGGGTGAAAGAAATAGATAAATAATTACACATTGTACTTGTCTGCAGAGGGGCGGAAGGTGCTATTCCTCTCATGCATCGTACATAACCATATAGGACGGGCGAATGGCGTCATTCGTGTAACATACAAGCTCATCATAATTCAATGATCCTCCACTCACCACCTCCGCGAGGACCTAGACTAGTTGAGAGCGAGTACAAAAGGCAAGAGGCAGGGCACATACGGAGTCATAACCAGTTGGAGGTGCGGTCAGTGATGTGTTGTCTTGGGTCATCTTGTGACCTTTGCCAACAACCACTTTGTTTAGCAATATTGCCTTCAACACCGATGGATTAACATTCGTGGAGTAGTCGTTCGATTTCGATGACGTCGACGAAGTGTAGATGCCGTGACCAAACCTGACATACGCATCAAGATACCGTGATTGATTAGTTATAAAGGGTCACATACCGGCCCCAGCCAGTCTTCTTGCCAAAGAGATTCAGGTTGTAAGACGTCTTGAGAATGCAGCACAGAGAACATGTCTGAGATGGGCACAACGCGCAGTTGCCATTATCGCCTAGATTGCATTCCCTGGTCGTTCCGTGCCAGCGACGGTTCTCGTTCCCTGCCGAACGCCCAGCTGCAACAAAGTTGCCGCGACTCTCGACAGCAGCACTGCCCCGTGTCAGCCAAAACATCAGCATCTACGTGAACGAAGACTGACCGATATGCCTCGTATTTAGCAATGGAGGCTGGCGATGAGATCACTTTGTGCACCCTCCGAACTGTCGGGCATGGAGTCTGATGTCTCCACGATGCCTTAAATTGGTCAGCGACTACAGCACATAAACGTTATCGATTGCCCGCATTGACACGCGAGTGCTACTTACCGCTCTTGAACGTATCGTGTCCTTGTGGGACTTCTATGAGTCCTGGGGCATTCATCTCAGCCCTCGAGGTGCACGCCTGACTGCAGAAGTGACCCTTGCCCTTGACAGCCCTTCCGCACAACAAACAACCATTGGTTGTTGGACTGGATCGAGAAACGGTAGTAAGTAGTGTCAACACCCGATGAAAGAATGATTGAACGGACTTGGTTGGTTGTGTAGGTTGTGCAGCCGACGCCCCTGCAGCCTTCGCTTTTTGTGCGCAGGTTTTGCCGCAGTACGAATGGGTCGTTGTGCCATCATTGTACTTGGGTTGCTTGTGACAATGCTGCAGTGACACATGTCAGTTGACTTTATCTTTAAATGAGTATCAATCATCGTACGTCGCATAATCTGCGGGTGGCTTTGCTGGTCTTGTTTCGTTTAGGTTTGCTTTTGTGAACATGCTTGGTTTGTCCTGCAGTCGCGCAGGTCTTCCCGCAGTACGAGTGCGTCTTCTGTCCATCGAAGTACTTGGGACGGACTTGACAAATCTGTAAACGGCGTTGGCTTTTGAGAAGCAAAGACCTTATTCGAATTACATACGTCACACATTGCAAGAGTCGCAGTTCCGGTGAACTGGGTAGACACATTAGCGGGCACAGGCTGTTTGGCTTGAGGTGCTTGTCCCTGCGATGCGATGTACTGGCCAGCCATAGTGCCGAGCACAGAAAGTGCAGCATGCATGGGTGGGATCGTTGCATTCATCTTGCTGGTATCAGGGGTACTGGGCTTGTCTTAAGCAAGACGATACTAGGATATGGGCTAGATATTGGGTGAATCAGGCTCTCCAGGAGCTTTGAGTTTTCGGATAAGTTGTGATCTGTGACGTTCGAAGCAAACAACAATTTATAGCTAACACACAGACCATCATGGAGAGGGGCCAATCGCTCTTCGATGAAACGCGTTTGGCGCGTGTTCTCCGCGAGGGAAAAGAGGCACCGTGGACTCTGTGCAGCCTTGGAATCAAAGACACTGCATAATAGCACGGAGATCTCGTGATCCGAGCGAGCAGGATGATGCGAGGCTGGGTAGTAATATGACAGTCGTATCGATTGGATGCAGGATTTGCCGCAGGGTGCACCGTGCGCAGTTCGCGCATTTTCCTCCAGAGTACCATATAAGTACAACCACATAGTATATATGAGGCTTTCAGGTCCAGACCATGATTGAAACAGTTGCCGGAATAACGTTCACCGCACGACCGATGCCGAGATATGCGCGTGTCTTGTTACTAACTTCATATCGATAGGCCAGAATCCATTTTCGTTCATTCACCGCGTTGTGGAGCTGGCCAAACAAAAGGGTCCCGCCTATTACTAGACTCGTAACCAGTCTGACTATGCGTCAATTTGAGATGGTGAGAATTTATTGACCACCTGAGCCTCATCATACGCCAGGCTGGTCATCGTCGAGCCTAGTACCTATCGATATGAAGTTAGCTGTATATGTAGGCCCGAAAGGTGTTTAGTCGCCACTCATGTGGTATTTAATATTCAACTCATGATAAAAGAAATTTCTTTTATCACTCGCGAACTCTAATAAGTGTGAGGTGGTGGAAGCGAAAGGACTATGTAATAGCACAGCCACATCAAGTCTGAATCCACGCTTCATTGCACAAATTTTCATCATTCTGCGGAATTATACAAAAAGTAGATGGCTGCTTCGAATAAATAATTAAACAGTGTCCCTCGAGCGTCCCCATGCTTATCATGGATGTAAGGGTAAATTCAAACATTGGTTCATGAGACTAACGGTGTCTTGAATATCGTCGACATCAGGGTCTTAAAGCTTGGCTTAGGCGAATTTTTGGGTTTATGTCCATATACGACGAGATATGCAGGACGCACAGCGTCATTTGTGTAGCATACGGTTTCTGGGTCAATTATGAAAGGTAAGTAACAATCCACAGATGAATAATCAATTTAAACTCGCCCTCATAGTTCAGGTCCCAGCCAATCTCACCAGTAATCTGCGAAGATGTGAGTAGATGATTATCAAACGATGAGGAACTCACGGAATCGAAACCATCGGGAGGTTTTACGAGCTTAGGTGCATTCCTGTACCGTTTGTATGGCCTCCCGACTACAACACGATTGACTAGCAAGGTGCGGAGGCGTGCATCTTGTGACAAGTTGCATGAATAATCATCAGCTTCTGTGCTGCAGTTTAGCAGGTGCGCCGATGTAAAAAATGAATATAAACAGACTAGATGAGCAAGCAGAGGTATATATCCCATGCCCAAACCTACGATACCAACTGTCAGAACGGCACACTAGATTCCAAATGCTTGTTTTCACCTCTTGAAAGCGTTCTTCGTGCCTATGCAGTATTAGACAGTGCATAATAAAGTGATCGAGAAAAGCCTTACCACATTTCTTGATATCAAAAGATGACCGTAGGATAGAACAAAGATAGCACTCTTTGAGGCCACACAGCAGAATGTTCCTCGACGTTTCTCCCAGGAGACATGCCCTGTTTGTACCGTGGAAGAGCAACTTCTCGTTCCCTGCCTCGTTCCGAGCTCTTACGTGGGCCTGCACCTGCTTCCTATCATGCAGCAATGATCAGCGCGCACCATTTCCACTTCGAGCGTTTGTCATCACCTGTACTGTAGATATGGCTCAAGATTGCTGTCGGGCCAGAGGATCTTAAAGATTCCTTGTATATGTGGCCTGACTTTCTTGCCATGTCGCCATCCCTTATTGAAAAGGTCTTCCACTGAAAGAGCAGGATTAGCTAGCGCCGACTGATAAAAAGGATGAAGCCACCTTCGGCGAAGTGAGCACTATCACGACTCAAATACACCAAGCGGCTGCGCCGGCCTGCGGAGCAGTTGACAGGGTTCTCCAAAGAGAACTCGTCCAAGTTTAAGGATTCAAAAGACGAAGTTGACATAGATAGCAAAGTCAGATAGACAACCAAGCCCTGGCTACACGTCCATAAAATATGATCTTGATATTTCAATGCGGTTGAGGTGCACCCTGCATGCTATCCGCATAGCACCATTGGCCATAACGAATTTATCAGGCCTGTCCACTTGCACGATGAGGAACCTCGTGTCGATGAAATCGATGCGAAGTGCATTGATGAGTGCAACCGAAGAAAACGTAACAAAGGCGGATCACAATCACTGCCCAATCTCAAAGATTGTATCCATGCTGCAAATGCTCTGCAGCCACGACAAGAACATGAGGAGAAGTGAATGCAAGGCGAGTCCGAAAAAGGAACAAAAAAGGAAAGCAAATAACATGAAGTTGCTTACTAATCTCACTGCTTTCCATGCCCCCTCCATGCAGAGGGCCTCGCGGCCTTAATCGATGACGAACTTTCCCAGATTTGAACACATGACAGGATCCACCGACCACGGGCCAGACACTTCCTTCCGAAATACTCGTCCCTGCCGAATCTGTTCCGATCGTATCGCCTTCTTGAAGGCCTATAAGAACCTTTAGGCCAGGAAAGCTGTTTCGGTTTCTAACTAGACTTTTCACTCGATTGCCCATCAAAATTTACCAAAATACTATACGCAATCCTCGCTGTCACTGTCGCTATTGCTGTTGTCCTGCTTGGAATGCTTGACAACCGCATGATCATGAAACTTGCTAGCATATTCCGAGTTGGTGTCAATTCTCCTTCAGATACGCCACAGTCAACATCTGCGGCGCGTCGGGCTCGACCCGCTACCCAATACTACTCAGCGCCATCGAAGTAAGTACCTTGACTGTCCACATTATCGTGATGTTGAAGCTGCTCTGGGCACGTACCAAGCTTGAAGCTGCCTTCTCCTGGTGTGCAAGACGACGGAGAATCAGAAGCTTACTATCCTCCACTGACCGCTCCGCCAGAACCTGTGGGCTCATCAGTAGCACCCTTTCAAAGAAGGGAACGCATTTTATTTTATAACAAACATGAACCTTACTACGAATTCACGAATTTCTCGCCACATGACGTTGTCTACGCTGGGAAGAGATACCCAACTAGCGAGCATCTCTTCCAGTCTTTCAAAGTTTGTCAAAGATATTGATTTTCCGATATCTTTCTGACACTTTTGGATGCGATGCAACAGTTTTTGGACTCCCAGCCAGCCATCGCGGAGCACATCCGCAAGTGTGGGGACAGGCCAAGTGCTGTGTTCGACGAAGCTCATCGTCACCAGAAATGGGTTCGATCTGATTGGAGACAAGTAAATGTTGAGAAGGTAATTCGGAAGTTTACTGGCTGTCAGTACCTGACGGGGGCTACCTTTGTCCTGACCTACAGATGGAAGCCACACTTCGACTCAAGTTCACTCAGCATACAGATCTAAAGGCCTTGCTTCTTGGCACTGGTAATGCTGAACTAGTTGAGGTAAAACTAGGTGATTATGGGTATTTCTTCTGATCTCTGATCTCGTGGATAGAACTCCCCAAAGGACTTCTTTTGGGGGATAGGTGCTGATGGCTCTGGACGCAACGAACTGGGAAAAGCACTTGAGAGAGTGCGCGATGAGCTTCGTAAGTACTCATTCACGAAATAACAGAAATATTTAATTACCAGTCGACGTGAAGGATACGATGACAAACCAAACAGGGTGCCCCCTGCCAGGCGTGATACGTCCCGATTTTCGTTGCAAGACCTGACGTCGCTGGTTGCGGCAGTAGCATCTCCCCAACCTTCAATCCAATCATCGCAACGCCGCTCCGTTGTTTCCACGGGCATGGGAATCGGCCCACCCTCAACAGTACTACCTCAACATCAATTCCAAGCGCCGCAGCGCCTCTCCATTGTTCCCGCAGGCATGGCGATCAGCCCGCAGTCAGCATCTCCTCAGGACGCTGGGCTATGCGAGGTTCGTTGATGCTGTCCTTGGCTTCGCGCTTCTCTAACTTTTTTGTAGTTTTGCCAGCAGAAACCGAAATATCAGCACCATCCTTACTGTGGTAGGACATGCGCTTCGCAAGCAGCGACCATGTGCAACGTTAGTTTGTATTTCTGGCCAACAGTCTGTCGTTTCTGACCGACATTTTCTTAGCATTGTCGCAGCAAACCAAAGTACGGCAAACATCCTTATTGTTCAAGGACTTGCGCTGTGCAAGCTGGAAAGGCAACCTAGATTTGAAAAAATCTTCCCGTTTGGATAATTGGTACTGTAAGATTATAGTGCGTCGTGTGCGAGTCCATATTTGCTATCTATTACCGTTTCAATGTCTGCGTCCACCTAATTACCGCCCTTCCATAAAGCCAGGTGTCGATCCCCTCAGGGTCAATTGGAGCATCAGCCACGAACAACTACCCTTGGTAGATGTTGCTCTGTTTCTTCTGTTCGCCAAATTCATTTCTAATCAATAAGAACATTAATACCGGAATACAGCAGATCGATGAATTGAATCAGGTATTCAGAGTCTGGGGGCCGCACAGCGGCACGCACTTGCAACACGATAATAGAAAATATGTTATAGTACAAACAGTTGAAGATGAGTTAAAGAACTAGATCTATACAAACTATTCATTGTGCCCATTCAAGCATCCGAATGAAAACATCGTCGAAGACCATCTGCGAGACATCAAAAATGTTAGCTGCCTGAACAAAAAGAATGCAGGAATAAGACATGCCTCGGATGGGACTGAGGGCTCTACCTGGGCTGAATCGTTTGGGGCTTGTCGCACGAGGTAACTCCTTTTCTCCCAAAGTCGGACTGACAGAAGGTGAAAGCACGCCGCTTTTGTTGACAGGCAGGTTCATATCGGAACCCAAAGCCTCTCGGGCGCCTTGTACAGGCGACGGAGGGCGAGAAAGAACCATCGCAATGGTGTCATGATACCCAGCCTCATCGAGTCCGCCGCGAATGGTGCTCCTATTGCTGCGTCGTCCACGTGTTTGTGGTGTCAATGCATCGGGCAGCTTCGTTCGCGTGTGCGGTGCATCAACGGCACCAGCCTTTCGACTGCGAGAGGAAGAACAAGGGTCCTTCGTATAGACCTTTCGCGTTGGGTCGCACGAGCTGCCTGATGGGGCGTCCAAGTCCGTGATCGATCTGGACCGATCGCGAACCTTTCTCGAGAATTTATTGAGTGGCGAAGACTCCGTAGAAGAGTGTCCAAGTTCTTTTGCCCTTTGGCAGTTCCCATACAAAACACTGATGGCATCAGTCATGTCGCCAATGTTGTGGATGTGCAAATGACATTTGAGCGCTTCAAGATTGCGAAGGACATCAGTGCATCCAGGACGTTCACAGCGGATCATGGCTCCAGGAGTGTAGTGGCCAGTCTGAACCATTTCCAATCCCTGAAGTTGCTATACATACATCAGTACGGAGTAGCATGGGGTGTGAATAGTGCTTACCGCCTGCGCTACGCCTTCCGGGTCATGATGAAATAGACGAACCTCTAACTCGGGACGCTTCTCAAGATCGATTGTGAATTGTCCGTCGTCAGTTACGGCATGGGTGCATGTCGAATCCCTGTTGTTAGGAGTAACGGGAAGTTCTTTTGCAGTGTTGAGGGGGCAGACATTTGTAGTCCCTTGGTCCTCGATTGTCTTATTTCGTTGTAGGTATTCCTGGACGATTCTCTGGGCCTCCGTTACTCCGTCGGATTGCTTTTGATGTTTTTCGTTGAGTTCCTGAGCCTCGGATAGAACGCTATCGCTCAGCTTGGGATCTGCAGCACATGCTATGGGTCCAGTAGTAGACTCCCATGCAGATACGAAATCGGTGAGAAGGCTTGCATTGTCGTCGGCATCCTCCTCATCGAGAGGCATGGATGAACCCTCTACAATTTGATCGGGGATAAAGATGGCGTATCTACGAACGTCTGCCTTGGAGTCGTCGAATCCATCGATGCCTGTGGCAGTAGTTGATTCTGAGTTTGACATGATTAACTGGCAAAAGTGAAAGCAGGCAGCACAGAGAAAAGCAGGGAAAGAGGAGGATGGTGAGATACTCCATGAAGACTAATCAGTGGTGTTTTATACGCGCTAAAATGTGGATCTTCGACGCTTTCGTGGATGTGGACGCTCTAAGGTCGGACACTGAGGCTATTTGTTGCAAAGTTTTTAATGATCCCCATTTTGGGCATAACCCAGTACTAGGGTTAGGGCAGTAATTGACGGCTTCTGCGGAGTACAAACCAAGCAAGCCATGTATAGTGAAAGGTTCAGTTAGAAACTGAAACAGCTTGTCCAGAAATTCTCACATGCCTTCAAGAAGGTGATACAATCGGAACAGACTCGGCGGGGACGAGTATATCTGATTGAAATGTCTGACCCGTACCACTAAAAGCCTATCCTGTCACGTGTTGCAACCTGGCAGACTTCATCATCGATAAGTTAAGGCCGCGCGGTGCTCTGTATAGAAGGGCATGAAAAGCAGTGAGTTTATTAAGTAACTTCCTCTTATCCTTCGCTTTGCATCCACTTCTCCTCTGATCATGCAACATGTTCTTGGCTGCAGAGCATTTACTTATTAAGCTCAGCCACAGCGTCAGAAGCAAAACTCACGTGAAGAGAGTGGCAAAACTTGGCAGAACTCCGGACTCGCAATCTCAGATGCAACTATAAGATATGATAACATTTATAGCTTGAGTTCAATAGGAAATGCAAACATTGCGGAGACACTGATAACTCACCAGGCGCTGGAATCCAGGCTCAAGCCTTGTGACAACAACCTCTTGTACAAATGCAACTCCTCCTCTGTGCCTGTAGGACTCGCCCATAGTCCATATGGGCCATGTGGCACTCGATCATCGAATTATGCCAGTGAACTAGTATCGTTTCCTCTTCTGTGCTTCCATGTCAAAGGTGCTGGCTCCTCCTGGCCGAGCGCTCAGGAACCGGCACCAGATGTCCAGCTGAGCGGTGTGCGCTGTTTCTTCCTCCCCTTTTCATTCTCCCTCACTGCCAGCACTATTGTCGGACGTCCCAGAATCGAGGCGCGACTCAAACAACAACAACAAAGACCTAGATGCTGAAGGAATTGACCAGCACAACGTTAGAGAGCTCTTCCCTTTGTCTTCCCCCATGCAATTAGACGCAAACAAGGACAAACATAGCATCCCATGACCGAATCACGAGGAGTTCATACGACCCGCAAAGTAAAACACTAGTACGTGATCATTCTTCTTTGCGAAGTTCTATCAAGATGTATTTTTAAGGCTGGTACGTCCATCACTAGGAGGCGCACTACTCGGATGTGATAAGGGTTCAGAGCGCTTGACTATCACAAACTTTCAGAAACGGCTATCCGATTTGCTACTAGTATGTGACACGAGGAGGCGTCTCGCCTAGGCGCGGCGGCCACTACTCGGATGTGATAAGGGTTCAGAGCGCTCAACTTTCAAAAACGGCTATCTTTGCCCTCCCAGTTCTACAACATGTGATGGAGCTGCCTGCAGGTAAGTCTTAGTATATAATGACGGACAACCCGATGACAAACTCAAAACTTGTCTTAAATGCCTCCATTGTCAGTGCTTTCGCCAATTGCTAATTCTAAAAAATTCAATCTCAATGCTTCTGCTGTTGCTGGTTTCTTCGGTGGTGAGGAAGCTATCACTGCCATGGCTACTGTGCACCTGTATAGGGGGCGTAGATGGCTCGGCTGGTACAACTCCCCCGGCAGCTACATTATAGCCAAGGAGTTTGGCAGGATATCCAGATCAAGATTTTGGAATGGTCTTTTTCCTGGCTCCAGCCATCATGATCCAGCTGTTGCATTCAGGCTGGACGGGAAGACTGGCCCGAAATATGTGGCGTCACACTCAGGAACTGTCATGCAGCAGACGGGGCACCTTGCACATCTTCTGACGCAGGGGACAGATCACTCGGTTGTGCCGCCAATGCTTCTTCCTAGCGCACGAGATGCTACAACCTCACTCATCTCTATTGTCACTGTCCCTGACATCAATTACGACAACCTTAGTATGCAGACCATACGCATTAGCAATCATCATGCCGTCTTGGCCAGCTTCCCTATCCTGGTCAGCGTCGGTACATGCATCCTTTCCGCCTTATTCGCAGACTGGTACTGCTTTGCGATGATCTTCCTCGGAATTATTTCTAGCGGTGTCACGTGTTTTGTCATTGGCTCTGGAGACCTTGATATCGAGACGGTCAAGACTCCAGCGGAGGGTTCCCCTGTAGGAGACGGGATGCTCTTGATCAATAATAACGTCTTCATCTTGAAGGGAAAGGAAAAGGATGTGAATGTAATCACGAAGGGGAAATTTGTGCTAAAGTTGAAAGGAAAACCAGAGTATACAGCTATTGGGCTGTGCTCGCTGCTCCTTGAGGTGCAGTTTCTGCTGCAGCTCCTCCTCATTCCCCAGGGATCGCTGATTGGTCAGACCATGTTCCTGACTTCAATAATTGCATCCTGGGCGTACAACTCCTTCCTCGCGTCCCTGGACGAGGAAAAACTACAACGGAAACTGTTTTACGACACTATTAAACTTCGGCAGCCAGCTGTGCTTAGTTTTAAAGCTAGCACTCGGACCATCATGGCTGTATTCACATGCTTCGTTCTCTGCGAAGATATACAAAGGCCTCTTCAGGGTGTCGAGCCGATGAACATCCTGTTGGAGTTGGTGCCCAATGAGACGCCAGTGTGGCAGAAGTGGAGGGAGCAAGTGGTGGCTCAGGTCAAGAAAAAAAAAGAGGGCGAAACGATTGATTTCCAATCTGGGAATGTTGATATGTTAGTAGGGCTCGACGACCATGACAAGACACTTTTGGCGAATCTTCTGCAGGATGCGGAGGATGCGTACAAAGGGTACACGACTCAGCGACGAGCAACAACACTGCACCCTACTTTTACTGCTACCATGGGGATAGAACTTCATAACTTCAACATGTAGAACCCTTCCGCAAAATTTGGATTACATAGTTTGACCGTCTGACTTGACGTATCGGATAGGTGACAAAGAAATACTGTATCGTAGTGGTATTAGGACTAGTTGGCCGATCTTCAAGGTGCCAGTGATATAACAAACAGCCAATAGCCAGCCTGGACAATGGCAACGAGCGTTTTGGGAGGCGAATGTATATAGCGAAGTGCAGCATGATACTGTATATAGGGAAAAAGAGGCGCTCAATTTCGCTTTTGCTGTGCGCTGTACTTTCGGCAGATGTCGTTCTGTTTCTGCTGTTCGCTAAATTCATTTCTAATCAATAAGAACGTAGGAATACAAATCAGGGAATCGAATCAGAAAAGTCAGGTATTTGGCTGGTCTACATAGGAAGAGCCTGGGAGCCGCACAGCGGCACCCACCCACTTGTAACATGATAATAGAAAGTACGCTACTACTATGTTAACACAGTACAAACAATTGAAGATGAGTGAAAGAACTAAATCTACATTGCACAGACTATTCATTGTGCTCATTCACGCATCCGCATGAAAACACTCGTCGAAGACCATCTGCAAGACACATCAAAACGTTAGCTGCCCGAAAAAAAAGAATGCAAAAATAAGACATGCCTCGGATGGGACTGAGGGCTCTAACCGGGCTGAATCGTTTGGGGCTCGTCGCACGAGGTAACTCCTTTTCTCTAAAAGTCGGACTCACAGGAGGGGAAAGTACGCCGCTTTTGTTGACAGGCAGGTTCATATAGAAACCTAAAGCCTCTTGGGCATCCTGTACAGGCGACGGAGAGCGAGAAAGGACCATCGCAATGGTGTCATGATACCCGGCCTCCTCTAGTCCGCTGCGAATGGTGCTCCTATGGCTGCGTCGCCCACGTGTTTTTGGTGTCGATGCATTCGATTTAATATGAGTGGCACTGGGCTTTCGACTGCGAGGGGGTGAATAAAGGTCCTTCGCATGAACCTTTTGCGTTGAGTGTATGTCGCACCGCTGGCCCAATGTGGCGTCCGAGTTCATGAACGGTTTGGACCGATTGCGAACCTTTCTCGAGGATTTATTAAGTGGCGAAGACTCCGCGGAAGAGTGTCCAGGTTCCTTTGTCCTTTGGGAGTGCGCAGACAAAACACTCATGGCATCGATCATATCGCCAATGTTGTGGATGTGCAAATGACGTTTGAGCGCGTCAATATCACGAAGGACATCAGTGCATCCAGAATGTGAACAACGGATTATGGTTCCAGGAGTGTAGTGCCCAGCCTGAACCATTTCCAATACCTGAAGCTGCTATACGGACATCAGTATGAAGTATCATGGGGTGTGAATAGTGCTTACCGCCTGCGCTACGCCTTCCGGGTCATGATGAAGCAGACGAATCACTGACTCGGGACGCTTCTCAAGATCAATCGTGGATTGACCGTCGTCGGTTATGGTGGTGTATGTCGAATCCCTGTTGTTAGGAGTAACGGGAAGTTCTTTGACAGTGTCGATGGGGTAGACGTTTGTAGTCCCTTGATCCTCGATTGTCTTGCTTCGTTGTAGGTATTCCTGGACGAATCTCTGGGCCTCTGTCGCTCCGTCGGGATGCTCTTGATGTTTCTTGTCGAGTTCCTGAGCCTCAGATAGAACGGTGTCGCTTGACTTGGCATTTGCAGGACATGCCACAGGTTCAGCAGTAAACTCCCATGCAGATACGAAATCGGTGTAAAGGCTTGCATCGTCCTCCTCATCATCGAGAGACAGGAATGACATCCCCTCTACAATTTGATAGGAAATGAAGGTGGCGTATCTACGAGTGTCTGCCCTGGAGCCGTCGAATCCATCGATGCCCGTGGCAGTAGTTGATTCTGAGTTTGACATGATTAACTGGCAAAAGTGAAAGCAGGCAGCGCAGAGAAAAGCAGGGAAAGAGGAGGATGGTGAGGTACTCCATGAAGGATAATAGGTGGTGTTTTATACGCGCAAGAATGTGGACCGTCGACGCTTTTGTGGATGTGGAGTCTGGACGCTTTGAGTTGGTGGACACTCAAACTGTGCTTTGCTTTGGTAGTCCACTGCAAAGTTTTGATGATCCCCATTTCGGGCATAATAACCCAGTTCTAGGGTTAGGGTCCCCTTCCCAACAGCTCGGTTCGAGACTTTGAAGTCAACCAACCAACCAACCAACCGCTGGCACCAACTTCGACATGTCAGTGATCTGTACTTCCTTCCCCCCGATAATCCGTGTCGGAGCTCACTCGTTAATGAAGCCAATGTATAGTTCGTATCATAAAACTCTGAATCATAGATGGAACAGTGTAATTAACACCAGCCAAGCTCGCTCCTTCGTTGCACTGGCGGCTTCGCCTAGGTCTTCATCCTATGCTACCAACGGAAAATCGCGCTCTGTTTACACTAATTTACGACTTAAACCACAACCGGCATATCCTGGCCACATACCACTCACCCCATTCGAAAACGGAGTTCTCGCAGTTGGCTCTGCACTCATGTCTCTCATAGATACTCGTCGCGCGGGCAAGCACCTCCTAATCTTTTACAGTCGGTACATTTTGCTGACAAGTCCACTAGACATGGTTGCAGCTTGCGGAGAAACCACTGCTGGGCCAACTCTGGTAAAGTTGAGGGATACAATGTTGGAGTCTCCAGAGGGTCGGCGCATTCTCAAAGAAATGCCACGTATCAATTCGCAGACCTTGGACTGGGAGAAGTTGCGGTCCCTTCCAGAGAACACCTTTGGACGTGCTTATGTGAGGTGGCTTGACGCTTGCAAAGTCACACCTGATTCTCGAGAGCCCGTGGGGTCATTTTATTCCACGCTATGCATACCAGATGCTCACCATTAAGGACCCAGGTACACTACATTGATGACCCAGAGCTGGCATATGTCATGCAGCGCTATCGCGAGACGCACGACTTGTATCACGCCCTCTTTGGATTGAAAGTCTCTGCCCTTCCCGAACTTGCACTCAAAGCGTTTGAGTTTACGAATCTAGGCTTCCCAATGACTGCATTATCCCTGGGAGCCTCAATAAGACTCAAGTCACCTCAGCGGGCCCGACTTTGGGGGGAATTCATCCCTTGGGCTGCGAGATGCGGGAGTCATGCGAGGTGCCTGCTTACAGTGTATTGGGAGGAGAGATGGGGACAGGATCTGGACGAGATGAAGAAGGAATTTGGTGTCTGGGATCCACCGGCAGGAATTACCATCCCACGACCCTCGCGTATTGACCTCCCCTGACACATACCGGCATGGCGATAGGCAATTTTGCCGTTTCACGGGTCCTGTGGAGCTTCAGCATGTGGAACGGATAATGTATGTCTCCTATTTCCCGTTGTCGACTCTTTGAGTCTGTGCATTGACACACTTATAGGATCCAGAACGCCTGGACTCTGGTAGGACTGTTATATTTAAGCTTACATGGAGGTATCCCGACTCTAGGGAGAGAAGGTTTTATCAGCTAGAAACATCCCGGCACTTGTATGCAAATAGGTGCATGAAATTATTTCCTTTTCCTGCTACTAAGCTTGCATCGAACACAACGTTAAAACGTGCAATACTTATGTCCTCTACTCGTTTCTCGTGTTCAGCACCCTTCACATCAACCTAGACTCTTATCCCAAGTTCATACACGGCAATAGCCACCATCACGACTACGAGTAACGACCATTCTGGATCAGTATTACACTGGTCGTGTGACTCATGATTGCCACCTCATTGAAATTGCAAACAGTCATGACAAAGTCTGTGACCTTGAGCAACAGATGTCGGCCACTCACTGCAGAAAAACGCACACTACGTCTAGGATGCATCTCGCACGAATCTAGACATTCGCATCACATTCGTCGCACATAACGTTCACATCACACAGTGCTAGAACTTCATACTAATCCCCTCACTACGACCAAATCCTGGCAATATTCTACCCATCATTGAATTCGATAAAGCCAAGTGTCAGATCTATCAAATCCAAGGTGAGATCACCAACAGTGTAATTATATATAACGCAGGTTTACGGTAAGATATAGGACTTCAGGAAGCAAGTTGACCATGACCCAGACCAGAAGAAGGTGGCCTAGTAATAAAAGAATGATAGCGTCAGATCAGGGTTAAATCGATATCAGTTACTATGGAGGCGACCATACCTCTTGAGCGAATGTAATAGCATGGTGCCAGTACATCACAAGAGCGAATGATGCCAGAACCAATTGCCTAGCATAAATGCTCGCTGACTGCACCTGTGCGGACATGACGAGTGTCGGATGCCTTTAAGTGCCAAGGACCCTTTGCTGAATCGCATCGAGAAAGGGTGGATTGACGTTATATATCACGTATCCATCAAGGGGAGGAGAAGCTGATAGCACTGCATCTCAAACGTGTCTGACCTGCTCAGAAAAGACAGAAAGGATAGTATGAATCTTACATCAAACCATACAGCGTCAGAGAACTAATGAACCCTTTAGGGTGCATTACATTGATTGTGGGGCTTTTACGTCGTACTAAAAAGTAAAGGACGTGCTCCGCATATATTGTCATGTAATGGTATACTATAAGACAATATCACTCTCTCACCCCTCTGGGACTGTGCTGAGGAGTGTCCAGTCGTCACTGGATGTTCATCAACTGAAGGTCTAAGACAGCAATAAGACAGGTCACCCAAAGTCTCTTAAAAATCACTGATGCAGGGCCCGTGTCAGAAGAAGCAGGAGTGTGGCATATATGTACTAGTACACTCGCCTTGTCATCAACAATCTACTGATAGGAGGCATCAACAGACATCGCTCGATATAGCACACGAGTCCTATCAATCCCGTATTCAAAGCATAAGCTAAAAATGTATGGTTGAAACTTTGGATTGAAACGAGGAGCGAATAACCGTACTTACCTTAGACCGGCGAAACGAGGACATCTCTGAAATGGCCGGTTTGGGACAAAGTCTGAGCCAAAGTCTGGGACACGGCAGGCTCATCGTCACCCCCAGGCTCGAAGGATGAAAGTTGCTGTATCCGTCACTGTGTCTCACGTTTGCTCACTGTCTGCAACAGCACCAAAGACTTACTTACACGGATGTTGGCAGCCTATGTAATAGCACAGCGAGCTTGCTGCTATATCATATATTGATCTCGGCCGGTTCTTGCGATGTGCTAGCCTCCTGACAAGGCACGAAGAACATTGTTGGCCAAGTGTTCTAGCTCGGCGCAAATTCAGCCTCCGCGGTCTCCTTTGGTCCATTGGACTGAACCATAATGCTTGCAAAAAGCTAAGCCTCGATATCGTAAACGTAGGTCAGTAATCGGGAAAACGTTACACTTGTGCAGAATGTAACGTGCCAGTGGTACTAAATCACGTTAAGTTTGAAAATAGAGAATCGTTGCATCGTGTGGACCAGTCCAAAACAGGGCCTGTATCATAGCTTGAATCTAATAAACTCATCATGAAGGACGCATCAACGTGGTAGAGTGAAAGAACCAGATAAATGCCATATGAATTGCATCCAGACTCCAGATTCATGTTGATACGGCTGAAAAGTTGTTGCGAAGAAAAGGTTAACTGTAGTATTGGTGGAACACTTGCACTTGCCGCGAAGCACGGATTCGAATGTCCGATCAGTGTTTGGTTCCACTAGCACGTGGTGCTGAAATAGAATCGGAACATGATGTTCTTATGCTGACTTACGACTCCTTGTGGTATCTAAACTTTGGTTCGTCAGTGATAATACTCCGAGGTTGCGATAGATCAAATAACTGCTATTGGTATAAATGAGATTAGGTCTTGAGCCACTTTCTGAACGCATTTGCCCGCATGTCGACCAGTGAAGTTCTCCCCCAAGGTGCAGGCTATGGCGTCGGTGAGTTGGTTTCTAATTCACATGTTTTAAACACTAGTACTCATCTCCAATAACATTGTTAGTCATCGGTAAGATACATTGTAATCTGTCTTCTATCATTCGCTCAAGACATCTATGTAGGGATCGGACTGTTCTTCAGTGCTTTCATGGTGGGTTTGACTGCTATGCAGGCACGCTACACAGGTGTCTCTCCCACGGAGTCCGAGGAGTTTTCGTCTGCTTCACGCTCAGTGAAGCCTGGGCTTATTGCTTCTGGCATTGTCTCTGCTTGGACATGGGCAGCAACGCTAGTATGTCCATGTTCAGCATCCATATCCACACGTGGCTTAGCGGACGATATCACTTAGCTCCAATCTAGTGCAGTCGCTTATAGATATGGCATTTCAGGCCCATGGTGGTATGCCGCAGGTGCGACAGTACAGGTCCTCTTGTTCGCGCAGCTTGCCGCGAAGTTAAAGCTCAATGCTCCCTATGCACACACCTGGCTCGAGATTGTTGCAGCGCGCTGGGGAACTACAGCGCATCTTTTCTTCATGTCTTTTGGTCTTGCCACAAACTTGATCGTGTCCTCAATGCTTGTTTTGGGTGGTTCGGCTACCGTAACAAGTTTAACTGGGATGAGCACGATCGCTGCGTGTTTCTTGATCCCACTGGGTGTTGCCATTTATGTCGTCGTCGGTGGAATGCGTTCCACACTGCTTTGTGATTAGTAGGTGGATGTCGTACATGTCATATTCCTTGACTCACACCTTTATCTTCAGTACACATACAACCGTCCTCTTTGCCATCATCTTGACATTTATGTTCACCGTATATGCAACCTCAGGCTACATCGGTTCCATCAGTCGCATGCACCATCTATTGAGTGAGGTATCCAAGATCTCACCTGTAGCCGGTAATGCTGGCGGTTCATACCTGACTCTCCGCTCCAAAAACGGCCTCATCTTCGGTGTTATAAACCTCGTCGGCAACTTCGCAACTGTCTTCGAGGACCAGGCATATTGGCAGCGCGCCATTGCCAGCAGACCTTCTACGACTGTCAAGGCATACCTTATTGGTGGTTTGGCGTGGTAAGTTGGCGTCTCTTTACCAGCATGTGCCGACATTTCTGATTCAAACATAGGTTTGCTGTTCCATTTGCATTCTCAACGACACTCGGGCTTGCCGCGGTGGCTTTTTCTGCGGTGGCTGCTGCCAACTCTCCGTCACAAGATCCACTATCAAGCAACTTTATTCCCATGCTTGCGCCGCTCTCGCAAAATGCTATCTCAGAGGGTCTTCCAGCCTCGCTAGCTGCTGCGACGTTGCTCGGCAAATCGGGCGCAGCTGCACTTCTTATCGTCCTCTTCCTGGCTGTGACCAGTGCCACGAGTGCGGAGCTCATCGCGGTCTCTTCTATTTTGACTTACGACGTCTATGTGGTATGTTGCTATCCAGCATTCGGCCCCAAAATCGCTTACTGTTAGTTATAGAGATATGTTAATCCGAAGGCTACGGAGAAACAAATTTTGCGTATGAGCCATGCAGGGGTAAACATCTTTTTTGGAAAATCTAATCTCCTCATCAATTGTTGTGTGTAGGTTGCCATCTTTGCCCTTGTGATGGGTATCGCCGGTGTTATTTTCTACTACATCGGAGTGTCCATGGGTTGGCTTTATGTTCGTGCCTATATCCGTGCTACCTATTGTGCCTGACATAGTTTGCAGACATTCATGGGGGTCATCCTGGGCTCTGCTGTCTGCCCAATTGCCCTTTGCATTACCTGGAAAAAAGCTAATAAAGTGGGCTGTATTTTGGGTTCGCTCGTTGGGTTTTCCGCAGGTATTATTGCCTGGCTGGTCACCACCTCTGCGCTTAACCAAAAAGTGATCAATGTCACCGTATGTATATTATACTCTCATAGTTCCGCTTTTGACCTTGTTGCGTGATCAGACGAGCGGAGGTTAGATGACCGCCAATTTCAACACTGACGTGAAGCTGAATTGACCCAATGACTGATAGGCGACTACGAAATGCTCGCAGGAAATCTTGCATCAATCGGTGTTGGTGCCATTATCTCAACTACTGCTTCGCTTATCGTGCGCAAAATGTTTCATCCACTGACTCGGAGATCACGAGCTAATCAATCCTGCAGTGGCCAGATGACTACGATTTTGCTTCGGCTCGTGCAATCAATAACCGTGGTGCCGCTGTTGCCAGTAGAAATGTCGATGACGAACTAGAGGAGCCAGAGGTCGAGAAGAAAGGTTTAGACGTGTCAGCATTATCCGCGACAAATGAAACTCAAATTGATCCCGAGTTGGACCCAGTTGGTCTTAATAAGGCATTCAAGTTCGCTGCCAGAGCATCAATAGTACTTGTTCGTGCTTGTTTCCTTGTAACCACTCAGATACTGAAGCCGCTTGCTCTACAGACCTTGGTACTGATAATACTTATCCCTCTCCCCCTCTTTTTTGCCCAGACGGTCTATAGCGTTACCGGCTTTTCGGTGTGGGTGATAGTCGGTATCATTTGGACATTCCTGTCGGCGGTCGCAGTTGTGATATACCCCCTGTGGGAGAGCAGAGCCGCCCTTCGGCTCATTTCGAGAGGAGTGATCATGGTAAGTGTGGCATTTTATCTTAGAACTCATCTGATGGCATGCAGGATATTTTCTCTCCTGGGAGTGGTAAATTTGTTGCACCATCTTCAATGAAGAAGCCTGTCGAATGAAATTCCGTGACAGTTTTTTGGATAATGAAAAAACACTATATGATCTACCTTGCTCATTGGTTGGTTATTCAAAGCATGAAAACATTTGATAGCAACCCTGGGACATTTCCTGTGCATGAGAATATCATCCCAAACTCTGGTCATCGGCGCCGCGCTGCTGCAGCCGAAGAAGATCTAAGAGCTTCGAGATCCTGGTTGACTTTGAACTACTCGTTCCTGTGCCTCTCCCATCTGGTGACCTGGTCGATACGAGGAAGGACGAAGAAAATGATGTGAGCGAAAGCCTTAGCCTCGGTTTCCGCTACGCTGGCCACACATGATATTCGCAGGTAGGTATGCTGAAATGACTCGACTGTTGCAAGACCGATGTCGATACACATGCTGCTGTGTTGTCACAACACTTATGAATAAATAAGTCCTCCAAGGCAGCACAATGGGCTACAGTAGCCTTTATATCCGAAGACGGGGTTAATATTGACAAATGGCGCAGCGCAGGGAACAGGAAGAAGCGCATGTGTTTGGCCCATCTGGAATCTGACATAACGACGACGACGACGATCGTGGCATGTATCGTCAGCCTGCAGGACTCTTGAGGAAAAAAAACAGTGGTGAGAAGTCATACGCATACGGGTAGCATGGTGCATGAATCAATGTGCGTCGTGCGAGGATAATGATTCGATATCCAATGCTTGCAGGTAGGTTGAAAAAAAGACCTGCGTTGGCACTTGAGCGGCCACGTTGAACCTTTTGGTGAACGAATGGACGGCGTCCAACTAGTTCGTAGTGACCTGCCAGCGCTTGCCTATTCATAGTTCCAGGACTTCGGACTCCGGAGAGAAATAGAGTTGGATGCCATCAGTTCTACGGATACCCGTAGTTTGAGCACTCGTCAGTGCCACGTCACGACCGCGTCAACCTAGCTTATCAGTCCTTGTTGCGGGTTGGCTTTACAAGATGGTACGTTCCACGCCAAATTGCCGGTAGAGATTCCTTTTCAAGATCAATCTTATTAGGTGGCAATATGCTTGGGGTTCACACCGTTTACCTTGCTCCACACTAAATTACCAATGACTCGGACAAGGTAGCTGGATATCATGCATCCAAGTCATGATCTGCTGGAATGGAGAGCACCATACCAGTTCAGTTTAAGGTGAACTGGATTATTCTACATAAAGAACAGTGTTCAGCACGTAAAGGCAAGCTGTCTTCCTAACACTTATCTGGGCCCACACTACATCCTCACAAACAATGCGTTTCGCCTTTGTCCTCGCTGTTGCTGCTGCTTTGATATCTACCACTTATGCTGCCACTAGCAGTGAGCAGTGTAATTTTTTCTGCAAACATCCAGATGATTGCTGTCCTGATAAGCCGCGTTGTGTGAGTATAAATTGTTTGCATTTAACAAAACAACTCACTAGCGCGATAGTTCCTCTGGGTGTGCTCTGGCGCATAGTATGGTCTAGGTTGTGTGGCGCCTTGATCGAGGGGGATCAGGTCAGAATTGAAGGTCTAGAACCAAAAGCACGTACGACTTTCATAAAAGTATTTCGGTATTTTATCATGGGCACTCTACATACCCACAGCTGAGTATTTACAATCCCCACTCATCTGTAAAGCTCCTCCAGAATTCAACTAGCCTGTTATATATCTGGTTATCATGGGGCAAGACTAAATTCTGTTGGATATTGAAATATTGTCCCGGAGTCATTGATATAATTAGAATTTATATTCTACGTAAGTTCCATGCACGTACGAGGACTTACATCAAACTTCGCATTCACGAACGCGAGCCAATCACGGCCAAGCTCGACGTCATATCCATCCAGATAGACGGGGCGAAATGTCTGTTGAGAATCATAGCAGCCGTCGACAGTAGGAACGCGCGCCGGACCAGAAGTCGACTCCACAGCGACTCCATCGTGATTGATGACAGAGCGCGGCACATTGAAACTGTGCAGAAAAGACAAGGATACGGCGGAATCAGAACTCGCACCGTTGACAGGAATAAGAGCAGGAACGTCTGCGAAAGATCCAAGGACTTCGTGATAAATAGAAGACATAGTAGTCGACAAATTACAACAGTAAAGAAGATCGACATACGCAGACACAACACCTCATGACCGTGCGAACAAAATGCCATTTAAAACAGGAATACCCAATAGGTCCTCACCACTAATACCGTAGCGGGAATATTAGTCTATGTAGCGCCACAGCTTTTCCTTTCGTACCACTCGCAAGCTCTATACTCCTCAACTTCACTCTCATTTCGTTACCGCACAACACTCCCTCTTAGCAGTAAGCGTCTCGTTCCAGAGCACCATTTTCATTGCAATCTTTTCTTTCATCCAGAATACCCCCGACGCATCACTTTCAACGGCAGAATTCAGATCCGTGAACTGCTGTGGCCCACCCGCCCTCATGGACCACCCTGATCTCTTTCGCACTGAGTCGAAAAACCCTTTGGGTATTTATAACTTGATCATTCATGTTACCTACTATTTGTATAAATCAGATAGTACTAGCGTTGACCGGAAATTCATCTGATTTCTTTTGCCTCACGAAAACTATCTGCAACGCATGGACTGGACTAAGTGTATGTCCGTTCATTCATAGTTATGTCACTCATACTGACTAGTATTGTGGTCAGGTATCTGGTCATATTCTACTGCCGCCGCCTTCTACCACCGCTTAGTGATAGCTTCAGAGACATAGGAAAGTTCCACAGGTTCGTCAGTGCCAAGCCGCGACCGCGTCAGCCTAGCTTGTCGGTCCTTGTCACGAGCTGGCTTCACAAGGCGATGCGTTGTTCCATGCCAAATTGCCTGTAGACAATGCTTTGCATGATAGATCTTATTAGGTGGCAATAACATGCTTGGCCCGTTCACCTTGCTCCGGTAGGTGATATGCCAAATTGCCAATATGACCTTGTTTACAAGGTAGCTGGCCATCATGCATCATGATCGGCTAGAATTGCGGGTATCTCAATTCATTTTGAGGTGAACTGAATTTTCCTACATAAAGAACAACAATATTCAGCACGTAAAGGCAAGACATCTCCCTACTTTCCCTGAAGAATTTTTGCTTCAGAGTGTGGTCCTTTGGGGTCATAGACCCTATGTTGGACATTGTCTCGTCATCAGCTGTCTATCGTAGTTGGAGTTGGGTTCCCTGAAGACTTATCTGAGCTCTTACTCGTATCACAGCCTCACAAACAATGCGTTTTGCCTTTGTCCTCGCTGTTACTGCTGCTTTAATATCTGCAACCGACGCTGCCACTGACAGTGAGCAGTGTCCTTTTTCTGCAGTCATTCAGACCAATACTGCCCTGATGAGCCGCTTTGTGTGAGTACGAGTAGTTTTCATTTAACCAAATGACTCACCAGTGGCGCGGTAGTGGATCTGGATGTGCACCACCCCTACTGGGCCCTAATGAACGAGGAACTGACCACGTTCGTCAGAGTTGAGGGTCTAGAACTGAAAGTACGACCTTCATAGAAGTATTTTCATTTAGACTATCATGGGCACTTTACCTATGGCTGAGTATTCACAATCCCCACTCATCTGTAAAGCACCTCTAGAACTTTGGCTGTTATCTGGTTATCATGGCGCGAAACTATATTCTACATTGATATTGTGCCGCCGCCATTTTAACTAAAGTCTTGAAATAACTTCTACCTGTCGTCACATATTTTTTGATCCTTGCCTTTCCTTATTTTTTAAAAAGAAAATATGTATTTTGTCTCATCAACGGCACGTTATTTCGACAGTAAATCCTATAAAATGTCTAAACAGCCTCCATTACAACTTGAACGTACCCTCGCCCGTCCCCACGAGAGTTAGCAAGTGATCAGAACAAGTTCAAAGCGAGTCGGACGTGTTCGTCGTTAACCTATTAGGCCAGCCTGGTCATGAACCTGTCTGGTTCGGGCATGACACGACTACAGCCAGCCTACAATGAGATTCAAAGCTGAGGAAGTCTATGAACTATGTTTTCTATACTGTAGGGAACGCCTACATAACTACCATGCTAAGATGCGTATCTACCACTCCTCTTGATGTGCATGCATTGTGAGTGACATAAAATAACGAGGCATACGGAACAAAGCGAGACCAAAACATCAAAGAAAAAATGCCGCAAAGAACAAATGCAATGATAACATGCTTGACATACGTGAAATCCCATCCCATGTGCATCGTCTCCCCTTCGTCGTTTTCCTTTTCATTACCCCTCAAACCCTCCGAATCGTGGCACTCCTCCCGATCGTACTTGAACTTCCGGTCATGCTGGGCAGTTTTGACTTTGGCGCGCTAATGGTGGGCGCTGGAAGTCTGGATGCAGGTAGCGTTCCGCCTGTAGGACGGGGCAGCCCCGAAGCCATGCCTACAGTCGCAAAGCGCGATGGCGGGCGCAGGCTCTTTGATGTAGCAGTGGTATTAGATGCGGTTGGTATCTTCACTGGCGGAGCCTTGCTAAGTGATGACGCAGTAGGCTTCAGCAACCTTGATTTGAGCGTCCCACTAGATGGTTTTGTCTGTACAGGTTGGGAGGGCATACACATCTCAAGGGGTGAATGGGGAGGCTCAGTAGCTTTTGTGCGCAGACCGAGGACGCTTGTGAGTTTGCTCTTCATACCCAGCGTAGGCCGTATACCCTGCTCAGGCTTGCAAAATACATTCGCCTTAAGGTCGGCAGGTACCAGCCCAGGAGGAGGGCGACGCACACCAGTTAGTATTGGTTTGTGGATCGAGGTGGAAGGTACAGTCGGTGACACCTGCTCCTCTGCGCTACTTCCAGCAGACGAGCCCGCACTAGACAGGGAAGTTGTCCTGTCATGTGCCTTGGGCCGCTTCACAATGCGGAGCGCATGCACTGGAGCTGCGGGAACTGGTGCAGTGAATGCCAGCGAAACCCTCGGCGGTGTCACTGATTGCAATGCTGGAGAAGGGATCGGGGATAAAGGTGCAGACACCTTCAGTGACTCAGAGACCTCAACCTCGGGTGCAACAACCATGGCTGGCCGCGGGGAGGGCGACGACAATTTCATTCCCGGAGAGAGGCTGCTCCGTCTTGTTGTCAATCTCATGGCTACAGGGGGAGCTGGTACAATGGCATGAAAAAAGGGGGAAAAATCAAAGATATGAACGCACCATTTGCAGTAACCGCTGGAGGTGATGGTTGTGGCGTTGGACTAGACCCAGATTGTGGTGCTACATGTAGCGAGGTTTGAAGATCAAATATATCTAACAAGAGAGCACCACTCACCTGGAGAGCCAGCAACGTTTGCAAGTGTGCTCGCCGCGTCCTTCTCCTGGATTCGTTTTGCAAGGGCCTCCATCATCTCTTCCTCAGCGTGCATGTCGAAATCATCGCTGTCGATCACAAAAGCATCACCACCAAAGAATGAAATCCTGTCATTTAGAAGATCGAAAGACGCGTCAGGGCAATTTAGTTGGAGGTTGAATGAAGACTGGAGATCCACAGAATTTCGGCGCGGATTAGAAGATGGGGAAGATGTTGTGTGTGCTCGAGCGCGTAAACGAGGGCGTGCGGTTGATGCGGTTAATGTGTCGTGCGAAGATGATTGGGTCTGATATTTGGAAGGAGGTGATAATGGCGCATCAGATCCAGTTAGTATCTCTTCTGAAAGGAGGGTGGCCGACGGTGACGGTGATAGATGTACTGTAGGTGAACCTAAGTTCCCTTCTCTCGACACAACGATGGTAGGGGTAGCGTGTTCATTAATGCGCCCTCCCGATGGCACTTTTTTATCTGTGAAATTGATGGCATTGATCACAGAAGCTAGTGGTGAGCTAACCGGTGCCAAGGTAGTGTGACTCGCGCGGACTGCTGTCATTGGTGAGGAATGACGCTCCACGCCAGAATTTGGAGCTTCAGGAGAAGCTCGGGCGAGCTTTACTGCTTTGTGCGGAACGGGTGTGGCATCCATAGAGATATCGGCAAGAGGGGTGCGCTGAACATGAGCAGTAAGAGTCTGTTCTGACAGTGGTGTTTGCGTGGAATTGTAGCGATTGTGGGTCTTTCTCGAAGGACTGTTCATCGGCGTGGCCAGCGAGTCCTCTTCATCCATGTCCATACTTTCATGAACAAGCGACGCATTATCGACGTCATCTTCGGGCTCTTCTTCAATAGTGAGCCCATTAAAAAGATCGGCAGTTTCATCCATGATAGTCGTATCACCGACATCAACTAGACGAGTTCTGAGAACTACTGGGGAGTAGTGCTTGCTTTGCGTCTGGTAAGTGCGGTTGAAAAATGCCGTCATCGTGAGCCTGTCGGATTCATAGTAGGATTCGTAGCTTGGCTCAGCGTTTTCCTTGTCAGATCCAGAGAGCGAGTCTGGCGTTGTGACTTCGCTCCTTGGAGTCGCATTGAGAGGATCGAAGAGGTTGAGAACGCTGTATCTCGGATGGCTCATCGTGGTGCAGAGTTAAGAGTGAAGAACAGGTTACAGTAGCAGTCCTCGAGAGTCCACCCAAACCAACACTCCGTGACAAACGCGTGACACGTTGCGTTTCAAGTCACGTTTTTTTTCCAACGCGGTCACGTGCCGACGAGAATGTGGATAATATTGCAGACAAAAAAGTTCACTTTAACTTTCTATATTCAATATCGTCGAGCATGAATTGTATCCCTCCATCTGTAGAAGGTGAGTGATATGATACCTTATAGCTAACAATAATAATACACATCTCTGGTTAATTCTAACTTCTAACCTTCGTCTCTTCAAATATGTACATGGAATGCAACTTCGAAGATAAATTACGCGCGAAGAACCTATATGCATCAAGTTCTTTTGCAAGTGCTCAAAGGATGCGCTTCAAGTCTCTGACTACAGGAGACTAGGATGGAGGGCTGATCGGCTTTGACTAGGCAGGCGGCATGGAGATGTTGAATATCTTATGGACTTGGACACAGTGAACGTCGAACGGCCTCTCGACAGAGACAACGACAACTCGATTAGGAACGCGAAGGAAAAAAACACGAGACGGAAAGGAGAGCGCTAGATGTCGAAACATTCCGTGGCTGTACAAATCGTTTCGATACTTACGCACTTGTCGTAGCATATTCACCATGCATCTCGCCACGATGTCACTATTGGATGCACAATATATCTTGGAACCTACTTACGAAGGGAACAGCAACCCTTACCTCGTCCTAGCCAGCTGTACGGGATAGCAATGCAGAAGGACCTAAATCGCGTTCATTGACGGGATGTGCGACTCTTGGTATAACTACTGTTGTAATTTCAATCTTGTGCATCGAAAGTAAAGAAATGGATCTAGCTTGCAGGAAATAGATCTTTGTCCCTGCTTTCGCCGGAGGAGCCTGACGTTGGAATGAATGCGGTCACCTCGGTTTTGACATGTTCACAGTCCACCTTATTCCTCTTAACCCAGTTTTGCAATTCACTGAGCTCAGTTCCTACATGAAGAACGCCTCTCCCCTTATATTCGATGAAACAAAGGAAAGGCCCTTTTATTTCTGCGTTATGCATAGATGTAAAGAAACTAATCCAAACTTGAAAACGTTTTTAGTGTGCAGGAGTCGGAACTTCTGCCTTCTTCCATTGCCAATGTCTCCTGATGCCCCGATTTTGTGTCTGATAACGAATCTTCAATTGCCAATGTCTCCTGGTGCCCCGATTTTGTGTCTGATAACGAATTTAAATTCAAGTCCACACGGACGTCCTTGGCGAAATGTGCAGAACTGATATTGGAAATCTCGATTTCGTGGACTGCCTGTGGTTGCAGGTAGGACTCCCGGGCAATCGAACTGAGTGAGCTATTAGTCAGTGTCCTGATTACCGCTGAGGGTGACTCACTTGGCGAGAAGACATGTGGCGTATACTGTCATGCCAGAATATTAAAACATTCAGTATACTTGAGCGATAGTAACAAGATTCTCACAGCATCCCATGGGAAAACACGTATACAGATGTTTGATAACGAAACTGCAGACTGCCCACTGAATCTTTGTTAGAGTAATGATTTAGGAGTGAGACGGATAAAAGCATTCACAATTCCAAGAGCAGTGAATGCCGCCACGCTATGCAAGGAGTGAGTACACGCTCGTCGTCAATGATCATGGACTGACGTTGTAACCAAGCCCGTTTGCGAGCAAAAGATTATGAGTTTCGTAATCATTCGGTTAGTTCTAGTCATCGAGAAGGTGAATTCGGTATTCATTTGGTGTTTGAACTTGTCAATCACCTTGGCAAATCAGATCTATTACTGTGAAGAATGTAGGCCAAAGTACCAGCGATAAGAGTGTCACCGATTGCTGAACAACCAATTGAGATCGGGGGAGCCCACTTAACCCTTGTGAGTTGCACCCTGATCAATTAGAGAACGAACTTACAAGAGCCATTGTGTAGTACGTATGATTACTTGGTTTGAAGCTGTCTCCCGTGTTGAGAAGTGCCTGGCAACGCGACATTGGGAATCGGACCTACATTATGGAGATGGTCTTGAGAAAACCAAAAACTATTTCTCTTGATTAAGTAGTAACTCTGCATTGCATGATAAATCACGGCACCTTGCTCCATGGCACAAAATGCAATCTGATTAGCGTAATCAGTCACCTTTTCCGAGGCAGCTCAATACAGTCCCTACCAGAACAAATGACATTCTCCGTTTACCACAGAGACTCTTCTCAACTTCATGCGCACGTTAGAGAGAAGTACGACAGTAGTATCTTGGTGACACGTACGACAGCAAACCCTACAGATGAAAACACCATGCACAAGGGATGTTGTCAAGGTCTGTGAAACGGCAGTGAGCTTGAAGTCAGGATCAGGGGAAGAAAGCTCTACTAACACATATTCCAGTATAAATTGCCCATTCTCTGTCATTCTGTCAGAAAGACTATCAATGAGTCACTGGAGATACTAACGTCGACACACGGCGAATGAATTGTGGAAAATCCTCGAAATCCACTATATGAATGCCCGCGATCCGACCAGTAAGCGTCCTAACGAGAATTACAGTGTCATGCAAACAAGATTTTAATATAAACTCACATTTGAGCAGCTTGCATTATCCTATAAAACAACGTCAGTCCTCACATCAGGTGCACAATTGGAGAGATGTACCAAATGATGGCAACCTGTTACGCATTATCAGCTATCAGTCTGTGGCATGTGATCTAATTCGTACGAGGAGTTTGCTCTGCCAGTTTTCTCGAGATCGAATGGTATGTCTCCTGAAATAGATCCAGACTTGCGCAGTCAAAATCAAGAAAGCACTATCTTCCGTCGTTAGTGGATACTAGATGGTTGCCGATATGGTTGTCGATGAAACAATCCTACATTGATGATATACCAAGACCAGTCATCAGAGAAGCGATACTTCCGTTGTATGACGCCGTAGTCATGGAATCCAGGTGCTATAGAGCTCGAGGATGAGATGTAAATTGGGATCAAAGGCAGAAGAGCAACCGTACAGTTTATCATCTCTGAGTGCTGTCTGGCATGTCCCGTTACTACTATAGTAGCACTACCGGTAACCACAATCGCCGGTGAATCTTCCATCAAGATCGCAAGAAGCACTTACTACTATCAGCACTAGTACTAGAACCATCCCCGAGCCCGACACCCACGGTCAACACGAGCAGGTCACGAGAGATTATGAACCGTTCCGTCGAAGTTGTGATGAGTTCGATGTGGCTGTGCGGACATTCTAATTCGCTTAGCCTGATATGGCCATTGTTTTCAACCAATTTTGTTTGGTCGGAACTTGGTCGGAACATACCAGTAATCCTCCTTCCATGCCACATGCAGCACTTGATACGTACAATGGTGTATCATACGAGTGACAGACGAATATCAGGATTTCCATGACTTAGTCTCATCGGATCCCATTGGACACGCTGGCAACAACTTAGCAAGTTCCAAGTGTTCTGCACCCGAGTTTAAGACCTATTGGTTTTTGGTCTGTTTCACCTTTTACTTTCTTTGCGGTGAACCATGATCATCCCATATCATATTTCTAGCTTCTACAGTGTTCCATCAAGGAAGTAGTAGTACCTGGCCTCAGTCCTCATTCCGAAATGTCCCGATCCCACCGAGCCATACTAACATTGGCAATTTGTGCATATCCTGTCAATCTCCTTCCAGTGCGAGGTACGCGTCGACAACTTCTTCTATTTCTCACTGATGTCCGAGTCAGACCACTGATCGAATGACGTACGGTTCCATTCATGTATCATGACTGATCATGTAGCGCTTAGCCACTCTCAGTTTGCACTTCTTTCCATTGCTCTCCTCCATCGCAAAGGTTGGGACTGTATTCAATTTTAGTAGTAGCTGCACTGATGAATTGGTCTCTCAAATTACTACTAGTAGGAGTTTTTGCATTCAAAGTCAATCGATACGGTCATTACTTTAGTCATTTATCCCGAACTGACATTTACGTCCCAGTCAAACTACTAGATACTGGTTCGGTAGAGTCACCGAGTTCAGCCTCATGTTCAAGTATGTAAGTACATCGCGAACCGAATTCAGAGTTAACTTCAGTTTGGTTCTTTCATTCGTTTTGGTTGTCCGCAACCGACACCGAAGCTCGCAGCCTTATCATTATCCTGCGACCCTGCTCCATTCCTAACCTTGATGATACAGATCTTCCTATTCTAAAACAGTTCATCTCTGGATCTCAAAGTACATGAGGTACGTGTCGGCAGAGTGAGTCAAGATTCTAGTCATTTAAGTACGAGGAATAGCTAATTACTTGTTATCTGACTCCGTTGGACCGTCCTCGTTCCGTGGTTCTCTGTACTACGCTCTACTCGTTCATTAACACTATCTTTCTCAATAACTTCTGGTCCAAAGTGTCCCCTCCTGGCCTGGTTCACGTTCCCTCAGATTTCTAAGTTCACCGGTTTTGGAAACCTGGCTCTGACAGTATGGCTGGGAGCGATCCCATAGGAAACTCGACTTGATGGCTGAGACTCGATTGGATGGCCAGCCCTTGATCCCATAGTCGACCCTATCTCAGAACCGAATTGTGTCCTAGTCGAACTCGATCCCTTACTGCCGCACTCAACTCAATGCCTTGCAAATTCTGCATACGGAATCAGTAACCAAACCACACCTACGCCTTGCTCTGGTTGGACTTTAAAACGCTCTCAGTACTCGTCATGGCCACTGTTCTTGCAGGCTGTGTTACAAATGGACTACTGGGATAGCGACTAGGTGCCAGTATATCATTGAGCTCTAGAATACACGTGTACAGTACCAAGCGCTCGTTTCTGTCCATAACCAGTAACCGTTATGTGTACTACCTGATGTGATCTTGCCAATCAAGTATTCATCCAGCCCATGCTGCCAAGACGTCGCAAACAATTACTCACCCATGGTACAGATAGCGAGAAAAATCATTTCTTCTACTTCTCATATAGGAGACTTTCTTCGCTAGCCTGAAATGCTCAACGAGAGGCGCCTCATCAAACATGCGTCGTCGCTTAGGATCAGTTTCATTCATATTATTGTGACAACGCAATTCATGCGGCTCACACCAAATGCAGTCATCATAATCATCGGTCTTAAGTAGAGGATAACGATATATGTAGGTATATGACTATATATCTTGCGCTGCCACATTCTAGCCGATTATGCTTATCGTCTTCATTATAGGATATGTTTTCAGTGATTTGAACACAGGATTTGTGCACGGCGGCATTCCGACGGAAATATGTCTCATAGTAGTCTAGAAGGACGGAGGCATTGCGAAGAATCAGGAAATGATATGTGTTCCTTTTAATGGTCTGACTGCGACCCTCGATGAATGTAAATACAGTGGATATTGAACAACTTCTTGACCCATACGTACGATAGTAACTTAACTCTAGGCAAATACGACAACACCGATCGCGAAATGGTGACATTATGTCCAATGGATTGTCATATATAGCCACTCGACTTAAGAGGAAGACGCTTTCGAGGAATGTGTTTCTTCTTGCATCACCGATGTTTCCTGTTGCCCGGAGTTATTGTTTGGCAAGCCCACATGAATCACCTGCGTGAAAGGTCCAAAACTGAGACTGATTTCGGAAATCTCTGGTTCGTGGTCTGTCTGTGGCTGTAGGTAGGATTCCCGAGCGATGAGGCTGAGCAAGATATCAGTAGTCTCTTCTATTACCCCTGAGAACGACTCACTTGGCGAGAAGACATGTAGAATATACTGACAGGCCAGGACGTCAGAACATTCCGTGTACTTGAGTTGATAACTCACAGCCTCCAATAGGAATACACATAAATAGATGAAAAATCTCGAAACGGCAAGCCACCCACTACATCTAAGTCAGAGACATAGTTGATGCACGAGATGAAGCACTCACAAGCGCAATGGTGATGGATGCCGCCACGCTATACAGGAAGCGGTGAGTAAATACCCATTGTCAATACCAAGGAACTTGCGTTGTAATCAAACCCGTTTGCGAGCAGAATACGATAAGTCTCATGACCGTTTGATTAGTTCTGAGCACGAAGATGGTCAATTATACAGGTTAATTTCATATTCCAACTGATTAATCACCCTGGCGATGCGGTCCTGTATTTGCAGAGAATATAGACCAAAGTTCCAGCGATAAGAACATCACTGATTGCTGAACAGCCGAGCGAGATTGAGATAGACCACTTCATCCTTGTGAGTTGCCAACATCCCGGTCAAGGGTAGAACAAACTTACAATAATCATGACATTGTAGTCAAAATGATCACTGAGATTAGCACTGTTTCCCGTATTTGAGAAACACCAGACAGGACGACATTGATGGAATTGGACTTACATGAAGACTGCACTAAGAAGACCAAAAACTATTTTTCTGTGATTAGGTGGCGATTATCCGTTGCAGGATAAAGTACCGCACCTTGCTCCATGACACAAAATGCAATCTTATTGGCGCGATTAGTTGTTGTTTTTGAAGTAACCAAACGCAGTGCCTACCAGAACGAACGTTATTCTCCGTTTACCATAGAGACTCTTCTCAACTTCACGTGCGCATCAAAAAGAAGTATAATTGTAGTACGTCCGCAGCACGTACGTCTGAAAACCCTATATATGAAGACACCATGCACAAGGGACGTGGTGAAGGACTGTGGAATGACAGTGAGCTTGATTGGTTCGAGACTGGGGGAAGAGAAGCCCCACTCACACATATTGCGGTGTAAAGCGCCCAGTCGCTATCGTTCTGTCAGAAAACGCTTGATGAGTCACCGACGATACTAACGTCGCCATATAGCCATAGAAACGGGGTGCATCATCTAACTCCATCGTATGAATAGATGATAGCCGAGTAGTAATTGCCCTAGCAAGAGTTCCAGTAGCCCGTATATATATTTTCTATGGGGACTCACATTTGAGCAGCTTGCATTAACCTGTAACGCAACGTCAGTTTTTCCGTCAACTGCTGCACGTATAATTACCAGATGAAGGCAATCTGTTTTGCACTGTCAGCGATTAGTCTGTGATATGCAACGCAAATTCGTACCAGAGCTTTGTTCCGCCTGTTCTCCCGAGATCGAATTTTACGTCTCCAGAAATAAATCCAGACTTGCGCGGTCAAAATCAAGAAAGTTCTGTCGGCCTTCATTAGCATATGACTGGCGCCAATAGGTTCTCGGTAATACAATCATACATAGATGATATACCAAAACCAGTTATCAGGGGAACTATATTTTTGGTAGTGAAACTATGTGCCGCCGCGACTTGGGCCATTACGCGAATGAAGTTGCTGCTTGTTTCTGGATTTTCTTTGGAGGAGTCGAAGGAACTTTAGAAGAGTAGCCATACAAGCGTGTGTAAGTTAGCAACTACTAATAGTACAGGTATAAGCCGCATAAAGCTGGCGAATGGCCCGGGAATGTTCCGGCCAGAGCACAAGTACTGAGATCAATGATTCAGGCTGTTCAACTAGCTACCGTCCACTGTTTACCTATCCATAAGCCTATTTTTGTCAATGAATTCATAGTCGATAAAATTTTTATACGATCAGCTCTAATTATACTTTCAAGTTCGATCGCGAGATCCACTTCACACTCACCAGCCATCTCGACCGCTCGACTCCAGACGTTCCTGCCCTTTAAATTCTACGCCCGAAGCGAACTATTGCTTGAACGAGTCTCATCTGCTATTCGTCTGGCAGATGTACAATACTATCAAGAACGAGTGTCACTCGAATTTCTAAATTCTGACCAGGTGTCATGTCATCGCTAGGGTCCCGCACAGATCGGAAAGTTGACACCGTATCCTCCACGGGTAGTACGGGTACACACCGACCCGTAAATATCGGATAACACAGCAGGGACTGCATGAACAAGCTTAAGAGTGTATGCCAACGCCTTAGCACCCTTTGCAACAGCTTTTTTGAACGACTTTTGGGCTTCTCGGAGATGGATGGTGAGATAGATGCAGTGTGACTTGGTATAGATGAGATCTTGAGACCTGAAATGCCTTCTTTGGCAGTGGCGCATCAGAGAACTCGCGAGTCTCCCCAGGGTGCTTTATGTTGACTGCGATGGTTTTCCGACGTTATACATGGCTTTATATGTATGACTTTATATTCCAACCTTGTCAATATATGATCATATATCGGCATGTATGACAATATCTGCGGCTCACCAGTCCTCTGATGGCCTGGGAGCTTCAACTGGAGAAACGACTCGTAGTGAGTGGGTGAACTTAGTACTGGTCTCGAGTTTTTTTCCTTGGTTTCATGGTAGTTACTCGGGCTGCTCTGTAGCACAGTGTCAGCTTGATGGATTGTTAGAATGATTCACGGGGCGCAAAAGAAATCAGCATAGCAATGTAGTTGGTTGTGATCCAGGCGGTACTAGGCTACTAGCGCTGGCACGGTAACAAATTAAACTTCCCGATTTGGTAAATCATAACCCAAACACCACCGACCCGCGGTAAAGGGTCGCGGGTAGACTCACTAGAGTTCCCATAATCTACATCAATACTGTCTGCGATACTGAAATGCAAGTTTGCAGTATCACTGCCTTTTGGCGTAATGACTGAGCGGATGACAGTCTCGACTAAGTTACACTGTGCAGCTAAAGCGCCCCTAGTTTATTTATGATCATGAATTGCATTCCGTGGTCAATATACAACCACATCTCATCACATACCCCAATTCACTGATGAGTCTCAGCATGAAATCACCACACATGGATCTCGTGGTATAGCCTCGATGTATTGCAATAACCCTCCAGAAATGGTCAAAGACTATGTCCGGCCTGAGAAAGCATCATGGAGCCGAATACCTGAAATAACCGAGGCTGAAGTATTGATGAGTCTTGCAGAGGCCATAGACAACAACACCCTCGGTCCGACAATCGGGTGATGATGCAATACCCGGGAGGTGTCGCACTTCGTGGGAACAGTGATTCGGTACCGGATTACATCTGTATCATTTCGTGAACGCGGTACTGCTCAGCTGGGCCTCTGTGTCGTTAAAATCTTCACAGAAACGTAGTAGACTGCATGTACATCATACACAGTACGCCTGGGCCTTCCGGGATACTTGACGGCTGTAGAGTTGGAGTTGATGATAAGGCGTGGGCAGGATATGGTCAAAGGGACAGTCAGACGGCAATAGACGTACCTATGTTTCAAGTGCAGACTTCATGATAGTAAGAACTAGATCGTGAAGTTTTGGACTTCAACTGTTAGCCGAGTTGTCGCCGTGGCCTCAGATCTCGATACAACATAACTTGAAAAGATCGACCAGAAAGTTGACTGACGTCAGTTGATTTGAGGAACAAAGGGTTGTCCGGTTTGTCCAGCTTCGTCCTGAATGAAAACAGTGAGGTTGAAGTACTTGGACCGAATGCGCCGGGCACAATATTAAATGTCTATGTCATGTAACAAGATGAATAGCACTGACCATCACGTATCGGAAAATCAAACTAGCCGCAATTAATCTTCACGAGCATCAACAGCTTGCACTCGAAGACACCCTAAGCCTGTAGTGACCATGCTGTACCTTCTTTTGGCTTCCGTGGGCGGCCAGGTCCACGTTCCTTGAATACTTCCAATGGTTTTGACACGTCAGGATTTCCATCTGCAAAAACAGTTTGGTTCCCAGAGTTGTCCATGGAGGAAGACTGCAACGTGGTGTCATCTTCTGGCATTGATAGTTCACCATCGCTAGAGAAGCTGTCCGTAAATATTGAGTACATTGTTGTGAGTATAGGCACGCGTAAAGTTGCGTACTAGCCTGAGAGCGTTTGCAAGTATATATGTATGTGGCTATTATTTATTTTTCCAACCTTTTCTGCGCCGCGGAATCTGAACATCAAGGTGACACGAAACTGTGTACATATATAAGTATCACAATGTTCGGACAAGCTTAACTCGAACTTATCGCTATTTTCTGCAGCTGGTGAGCGCTCCAGAATCCCTTGCAAGCTCACTGTTCCCAATTATCTACGCAGCTCAGCTATCCCTCAGATCTTCTAATACTGGATTTGTGATCGTCCCTTCAATTCAGTGAGTGAGTTTTACTTGGATAGCAAACTCTTTCATCTCAAGATGCCCCATTTTCAGCACTATAATGCCGCAGTTTAGGCTGGGTGGTTATTTCATGGATTATTCCACCGCTCGCAAAGTTGCCGAACAACTCGCCATCGACATCACGCAAGGGCAGGGCTTCGCTGACTGGGATGACCAGCACATGGAGTGGCCCTTCAACGATTGGCTGGCCACTAATGGGCGACTCAATGTCAAGGTAGCAGGAATGATGTCCCCTGAAACTGCCATCGAGGGTATGCTGTTCGTATCTACGTTCCTTCACATCGAGGACACCGACCCGGGCCCCCTCACGGAGACAGAGAACGATTTGGCAGTACGGCAATGGCTGGAGGAATTAGGAGTACTGGATGGGATACAGTGGATTTCGATGCCGGACACGCAGAGAATCACACTCGGGGGTACTCAGCCGAGATATCGTAATATAAGGTTTACATGTTCGACAATCGAGGCACACAGGGAACAAAGGCTCAAGTGTATTCGTGAACTGAGGCGTCGAAATGAGATGCAGGATAAATAGAGGTTTCACTTAGTTACTACTCGCCAAGTAGCCCTTAGGCTTCGTCAGGCTTATCATCGCAATGACTTTCCTCGTTATGAAGAATAGCCTAACGAAATATTCAAGGAAGATGATAAATGGGAACTCGTGGCCACCAGCCCTTCCTGCCCCGTCGTTCTAAAGGACCGACGATGATTTGCAGCCTCTGGCTTCACTCCGTTCGTGCATTCATTCGCCATTCGCCGTTCGGATGCTTATGCATTTTTAATCGAGCTTTAATTAGTTCCTGGACCCTAGAAGACCTTCATCTGTGATGTACTCCATTCCCTCTTGTTCTCATTTTCGGTCACTCAAGTATCGAAACCCATCGATAAGCCTTCACACCATGTAAGAGGTATTTTAAGCATATATTGCATGTTCATCGACTATTCGCAGGGTGATGTATTGTTCCACGCCAGGTTGTTGGCAGACCGTGCTTCACAACGTGGTGGCAATCTGCTGGCATTGCAGATAAAGTCAACTGTTTGATAAGGAATCCCAGGTGGTTCCTTCGCCAACATTCAGCACATAATGCAAGGCGTCTTCCTATCCCCTTCAGATCTATTTGGTCCTCATTTATACATCCTCAGGAGTCAGAAACAATGCGTTTCTGCTGTGTCCTCGCTGTTGTTGCTGCTGTGACAGTATCAATATCTACTATGCCTTCTGTCGCTGACACTGATCAATATCTACCAGTGACGAATATCAACATTTGTGTCAGTGAGACGTGGACGTCTTTTGCTCGTGCTCACTTCGAAGGCGCTTGTTACGTCCATCGTAGAGTGCCGCCACATCCAATGTTCTGGTAGGCCTGGGACAGGATGTCACTTATTTTCACTCGCTCACTTTGAGATGACACCTGCGTTCCAAACACAACTCCGTCAAGATTACAAGCAACGACTCCTTCGCAGTGGGAGGCTTGTTGGAAGCTGATATATATCATGCGCCTTATGGTGTGGGTACACTAATTTCGTGCCAAGATGTTGGCGTGCTAAACTTTGTTTCTGATTTAGTGTTCCATGTGGCCGGTGTGGTGAAGGTGAGTTGCTCGAGAGAGCATCGCACTCTCCAGATGCTACTTGAAAGCTGACGAGGGTATCCAAAAGATTGACATGTGATATCACGAATGAAATGAAAACAGGTGCGCAAGCAGCTTGCGTTTGTCCAAGGGCAACTTATCCTTCCAGGTTACAATTGACTTGGGCACGTAGAACTTTCCGAGTGGAACAATCGAGCTATCTACTACAAGAACGATCGATCACAGTGTTAAATGTGATATCCGGCATCACGAGTGTACGATTGGAAAACGAGCTCGTTCGTAACATCGCGATTGAGCTGGGTTAAAAGTACCGTCCTTTCTGATTCGCATCTGATCGATTGTTGATCTCGAGAACCACCTTCATAGATCTACAAATGCGGGAACGAGGCGTGCTCCCGTCTAGGCTGCTATCGACAGTACCGCTCAGACAAGGAAGATGATCCTCCTTGCGAACGGTCAGGATGCGGTCAGAGGATGAAAGTCATTCGCCATGTTTCCTTCGCGGACTGTCCCGGTCACGATATTCTGATGTCTACCATGCTTAACTATGCCGCAGTCATGGATGCTGTTCTTCATCCAATCGCAAGAAACGAAACATGCCCTCAGCCGTAGACATCGGAGCACTTGGCTGCGGTTGAAATCATGAAGCTGGAAAGCATCATTATCTTGCAGAACAAGATCGACTCGATCGGGCTCTTGAGTACCAAAAATCAATCGCTACATTCGTCAAGGGTGGGTCCTGGGTGGCATGGATAATCCAATCTTTGTAGCAGGCATGGTGGTCGAGTCATTACCCATCGTTCCGATACGCAACCGAAATACAACATCGATATTGTCAACGAATATATTTTAAAGTGTATTATACCTATGCCAGTCCCCGACTTTGCTTCCGATCCCCGCTCCATCGTTGTCTGTTCCTTCGACGTCAAAAGCCTAGTGTTGAGGTCGATCAGCTCAAAGGTGGTGTTCTCTCACAGACGTCCTACGGGCTAGGGCAAGAAGTAAAGATTCGTCCGGGGGTCGTAATGAAAGACACTCAGGGCCGGAACCGCCGCAGGCCTATTTTCAGCAGGATCGTCTCTCCATACGCTGAGAACAATCACTCGCAGTTTGCAGTTCCGAGAGGACTGATAGGTATTCGGACCAAGATTGATCCTACGTTGTGTAGAGCGGATCGTCTTGTCGGTCAAGTGCTGGGTGCGATTGGGAGGTTCCTGAAAGTCTATACTGGTGACCGTCCCCATTTTCGATATGTTTTCGCATTCTGACAAAATCTAGAGCTTGAAATCATCTTGTTCCTTCTCTGCCGCTTGCTCGGCATTCGTCAAAGGTTCGACTGACTTCACTCACATGTACTGAGGTTGGAGAGGAGGTTGCGCTTTCGAGACATATCGAGAAGTATTAGGGCCTGTAGGCAAGTGTTTCTGTCGATTTAGTAGACTGATTCGCTACCTACTTGATGTGATCGGAGCCAATCTACATATGTATTTGGCGAGAAAACGATGATCATGGATATACACAGTAGAAGCGCAACGAAATTATAAGAAATGACAAAGGAGATCTTTAAAAGACGGAAAAAAGAAACAGGATAGATCAATGACTCTGACCGTCAGTATACTCAGAAGAGGAACAGCATATAGAGAGAGCCAAAAACGAGTCCAGCGTCCAGCGTGTCTGATTATGACATGGGGATTGGTGTTTGTGTTAGTGAGGTGCAGTGGCAGTGGAGGCAGCAGCCTGTGCTTGCGAAGACTGGGCGCCATTACCAACTAGCTGTTGCAACATGGCTCAAATTGGGCTCAAAAGCTTTAAACTGGTTTATTATTGTTTATTCCCAGTGAAAATCGACAAGAATGAGGTAGATACGCGTAGATAGATGTCTAACCACAAATTGCAGAAAGTCTCAGTCTTCGAGGACATCCAGGAAACGGCCAGTCTGGGGCCAAAGTCTGGGGCGGAGTCTGGGGTCAAAGTCTGGGGCTGCGGCTGACGCGTGCGGAGCTTAATTCTGAGTTCCAATTATATCTGGTCACGTTTGCAATACCAGTGTGACCCGTCCATTGTGAGTTGTGACCCGCCCTTTGTGACCTCTTGCAGGCCGCACTGCACTTGGTGACATCAATGATCAGTACTCAGTACTCCCAGTGAGAATCAGCTGTGCTCGAATAGGGCTGAATGTGTTGAAATGTGCGTTTGAGAGACAGCGCACATACTCGCGCATTTCGCTCGATATCCGGACTGACAGCATATTTTCTATAAGACGGGGCAGTGCCCCATGTGCTCTATTGTGCTTCTTTTATATTGCGCACATTTAGGCGCATTCACGCACACTCGCGCTGTCCTCCCAGAATGTGCTTAAATAGTGTCAAATATGCTTTGATTGCTTAGTAGGTATTATGCGGAATACAATCGGTATACGAAAGCAGCTGAAAAATAGTGAAACCGATGCGAAACAGGTGGAGTATACCTCGAAAGTACGTTGAGAGCCGAGCATAAACGAAATAGACGACAGCCTGAGAGCGGATCGCAAACATCGAGAGCCAAGCAGAAAGGATGTAGACAGCAGAGCAGATCGAAAACATGTTGAGAGTAGACAGCGGAGGAGATCGAAAATGGGAAGCAGAAAACACAGCAACGAAGGTGCGGCAGACACTGGTAGCAGAATCAAGACACGTTGAGGAAGCACAAGTGTTGGGACAGTGGATTGACGATCATAATTTTGACTGGTTTTGGTGCGGAGAAGCACGAACATAGCATGCTAACTGCATGTGGTGAGTAGATTGGCGGGTGTGTCGGCAGCCGCTAGCCATCTACGACGGGCACACTAGTACTGGCAGGAGGCACGATGATGGCGGGTGGCTTTGGAATTGTCACAAAGCAAACACGTGACAAAAACAATTCAAACTCAGCCCGGGTCAGCCGTGTTTGCCGAACGCCCCAGACTCTGGCCCCAGACTCCGCCCCAGACTTTGGCCCCAGACTGGCCAGATCTCTGACATTCACCAGTCTTCGACTTTTTGCCCCGGTTCGCCCCATTTGTGTTCGTGCCGAATTCTTTCCCACGATTAGTAATAGACAAAGTCCGTGACATGACTACTATGACGCTTTGTCCTTACCTCCATCCCGCCAGTTATTAGCGCCATCAATACCCATTCTCCTCACCCGCCCCGCATATTAATAAGCGGTATGTATTGGCACCATGTAAGTTGCACTGGTCTTTGCTCCATGGTGCACTGGTGCTGACGGACTTCATTCAGTGTACAACTCTAAATGCTTACCTTCAACACGCTCCCTCTATTAGTTCTTTGTATCACGCTGCAATAGTATTCATGTCATCTGTTCCTCCTACGACACCCTTCATCCGGCCCGAATGGGTCGCTATATGTCAATCATGTTCCGAACCTGCCGAATGGCAGGTTTGCAAAGACAATTCAAAGGGCAATCAAGGTCGTTGGTATGCAGTAGTACGTATATCTATTCATGTCTATAGTTTCATCGCGCTAACTACTGAGAATTCAGTGCCGACGTAAACGCTCCTCAGACAACCAATCATTAGTGCTGCCGCGGTCCGGTTCGGTCCAGTTCAGAGGCAGTTTGATGAGAACTGAGAACCGGACCAAGGTCCGGTTCTACCTTTATCGATGAACTTTGGACCGAACCTTTGTGAACAGTTCGCAGCGGTCAGGTTCGGTTTTTTTTTGGTTCGAACGTGAACCGGACCCAATTTTTTCTACAGCTAGCAAAAAATATATATAATCGAAGTACTTTGACCGCGGCAGCACTACGAGCTCTGTATCCCTCCACAATACTAACAACAGCACCTGTCCTGGCGACGATACACTCCGCTGAGTCACACGAAGAGAAATATATCAATGTCATTGCGCATGTACATACATGGGATGGAATGAGTTGTATCTAAGATGCTTGATGCATCAACAGCTAGTAGAATGGGGGACTCATGAGGGTGGGATGATATGTTGATGGTGCGGGAGTGGTGCCTGCCTCAATGGGGTTGCCAAGTCCGAGGAGTCCTGGAGAGGCTGTATCTATATAGGATGGTAAAAAAAAAGTAAGTTGCCCAACCAGAGTCGAGTCTACATGTGCAACGTACTACCTAAAGCATAGTGAGACATCGTTGAAATGAGGAGTCCTGGAGAATGTCCAATTGTAAGGCGGCTGTGTGAGTTCAAAGGAGAAAGTGAACAAACAATGTAGTTAGATAGAGTTGAGAATACTGTAGAGTTTGTGAAGAGAATGGATGTGCATTGAAGAGCAAGGGTGCAAGACATTTCATCATAACGGACCGCTCTTCATAGCAAAGACGCAGGTGACGTGGCAGGCACTTGTTGTTGTGCCGCAGTTGATGGTCTCAATACCAAGTGACATCGGGAAGTAGGAGGGCATGAAAGATGGGGCGTGGCCTGAGAGAACAGGTGGGAGAGTTAACACGAGAGAATGGGCACAAGAGGACAGGTACGAGAGAGCAAGCATGAGAAAACAGGCGCAAGATAGCGAGCACAAGCGAAAGAGTTAGAGCGTGCATCAAATTAATTGAAGGTGAAGAGGTCACTCACCTGACACCTCAAACTCAGTGGTTTTGGTTGCCTTGGTCTTTGTCGGCGCGTTGATTTTAGGGGTGGAGGCGGTGGTTTTGCGGGAGTGGGACAATGGGCTTGCGGGAGGAGTTGCACAATGAGATGTGTGGTCTGATTCGTCAGTTTGAACAGTGCATATCATGACTAACCTTGTCAATGGGCCTCTGCATTTGATGGAAACAAGTAAATCTTGAAGCTTGAGAATCCCTGAGGCCAAAGTGGATCATCAAAGGAAGGTGTTAAGGCGCGCTTCAACAATGTGGCAAGCTTCTTTCGGTTCGCGGTTCGGAACGGTTCGGGACCGGTCCGAACCAAAGTCGAACCATTCACCCAATGGCAGAACCGAGAACCGTACTATGGTCCGGTTCTGGCTGACACCTGGACCGTGGACCGAACCACAGGAGAACCGGACCAAAAGTCCGGTTCGAACCATGGTTCAGGACCGGACCACGGCAGCACTACCAATCATGCCAGTACTTCCGCTGGGGCTCACCCAGATCGTCCCCCACACAATCACCAGTCCTTCCCCACAGTACCACTATGCCAACCCAGCCTGGACCACCACCACCACCGCCAGTTGGTGACGCGTCCTCTCAACCACGCCTGTGCGCTGTACCTGGATGTAAGTTCACACGGATCGCACCAGATTGCGAAAACTTATGTTGTCGCAAGCATTGTGTTGCCTTTGGTGGGTGTTCTTCGAAGACCCACAAGCCCACCCCTGCCGAAAGTCAGCGAAACATGGCAATTGACCCTGTCCTTCGAGTGCCACCATCCCAGCCTGCCAAGGCTGGCCCTTCAGCAGTACACTCGGCCCCTACTCCTAGCCCCATGATCTCACTCAACGTGCAGGCGCCTACTTCTTCTGGTGCCACCTATACCCCTTCACAGGTGCCTACTCCCGCCATTGCCCACGCTTCTTCAGAGGGACGTTCGTACCCCTCAAACAAGGGTAAAGATCGGGCACTGCCTCCATCAGAGGTTGACATACATGCCAACCCTCGTTACCCATCGCAACTCCCACCTGTTTTCACTCAGTGCTATGCTGAACAAGAACAGCAGTTGAAGGCAACGGCGCACCAAGCTGCCGAGCAGCGTAATCTCGAGCATCGCATGAAGAATACTGTGGAAGTCTATGGATGGTCAAAGGTGTGTTTTCCGAAGTATGGGTTTCTGTTACGTGTCTTAAGAGCAGCTTTAGGACGGTGCAGAGGTGACCATGTGCGAATTTCAAGAAGGCATCACCCTGCTGCAATTCAAGGTGACTGCACAAGTACTTCGCGCGCTTGGGCTGTGCTCTGGAGACGATGCAGAGGCTCAAGTCCAATACTTCAATGCGTCGAGGAGCCGATGGTCGACAGTCCAGCAAGGGCACGCGCTCATGCTCGACAGCCGTCAAGTGTACATGCGGACCATAGGTGTTACAATCACTCCCGAGTTCGACAACATCTTCGAAAGCAACTCTCTTCATGTTGTTCCCAATATTCGCACCAATCTCAAAGCTGAGCGCGCTGCCGTTCGTCTGTCCAACACACGCACACAGCTTAGGGCTGCTAGCATCGCAGCCTCCGATTCAGAGGATCCAGAAGATATGCGGAAGCGTAAGCATTCAGGTCACTCACTGCGAGGCAACGCTCGCCGTGTGCGCACAAACACTGCTGGCTCCTCAGCTGTTCGTCCATACTCGCCTGCATTGATCATCAAACATGAGCGCACACTTCTGACACCACGTCGGTCATTCTCAATACCAAACTCGCCTCCACTGGCAATAAAACATGAACACACTGTGGACGCTAATTTGCAGGACGTGATTGAGCTATTTTCCGATTCTGGCTCCGAGGTCGACGTCAACATCACTCCCCGTCAACATGTGCCACATCCAAGTCGACATCGTTCACTGTCGTCGGACAGTAGCCACAGTGCATCATCGGACAGCGGCAGCCTGAGCGACCCCTCTACTGTATCTGAGTGTTCATCACTGTCTGTCGTCCAGTACAATTTGACAGCTAGCAGAGAGAAAGTGGATGATACTCGGTGATAGGTTAGCAGGCGGAGAACCAGGATCATAATCTCCTGGCTGAACAAGGACTATGTCATTCTTAAGGTTTGTCGCAAGGAAAACAAATCGGACAATAGATGCGAGTGAGAGCTCCGTCACAGGGGACAGGACACCCTGCAATTCCTGCAAGCACTGGCACCTGTACCTGTAGGTTTGATGTATCACTTCTTACAATTGTAGATGAAATGGGATACAATAATTACTGAAGTCCATAGATACCTATCATTGTAGGGCTGATATATCAATGGAGGATCCTGTCAGGACACTCCCATAATAATCTCACACCCCTAATTTTCGCATTTTTGGCCACCTACTGTGGGAATTTCCCCACAACACTTAAAAATAGATTGCTTCTCCACATTTTCGCATTTTTAGCCACCCCACTACACCTAAAACATCACCCATTTTGGGAATCTCCACAATATCAATTATTCCCACACCCTCCCCACCTCACTGCAGCTTCACCACCACACCACAATAGGTCCCCTCTTGTATCTAAGTAGTAGTTTGGTATATATATGTACAATATAATGTAATAGACCGCTTTTTTTGCTTATTTGTGTGCCTGCTCCTCCTCTAGAGGCCATTTAACATATGTTAGAGTAAAGAACACTTTCGCACTTTTGCCCCTTTGGTAGGAAAGTGTTCTATTATATTCAAAACATGTTTATGAACATATATGAGTATATTCCCATCTTTATTTGACCCCCTGAAGCGCCCTACATCAATAGATATAGCACATATGCAAGAAAACACAGAATATGTTCCTATTTAATTATTTCTAGGTGGACAGACTTGGAAAAATGATTCCCAGTATCTATTCAACAATATGAACAATGTATCAGGAGCCCAGGACCATGGGATAATTCCCTGTTGCATGGTGTGCCCCCCCTCTCCTGGTGGTTTACCCCCTGTGAAAGATTTTCCTGCAGGACCGGACCTTAATTGAGGTGAGGGGTCTATTTCTATGTATATTTGGAGTAGATCTATCATATAGCTGGCCCAGAACACACATAGGATCCTGCTACAAGAACAAAAACATAGAAAATCTCACTTTTGACACTTTTGATGTTTTTTAGTATCTTACTCTTGCATAAATAACCATCCCTGCTCACATATTATCAGTAGTACATTCACACATATGTTCTATGCCAAGGATCAGCCCTACATAGGGCGCAAATTTGATATCTGATGTACAAAGGGTATTTCTACTGATAGGAAACTTACAGAGTAATCCAGCCTGTGATAAGTGATCAGATAACTGGGATACCTCTTATATATGTCCCTAATGATGGACTTGAAGTTTTAGAAAGATCAGTGAAGGACTGACTGAATGACAAGTAAAATGACATATGTGTGAAAAGTGATAATTGACATCTTTTGACACAAAGTCACATTTATATATGGTACAGGGCAAATATTTCATTGAAAATATGTAGGATATATGATAGACTACTAAATGAACCTATGCTACATACTGCCCTGAGGTTAGAGGGTGATGGAAGGAATGTGGTGTATATTTGAGTTGACCCAGCATTAAAGTCCTACTGCTGCCCAACTGACCATTTTCGATGTTTTGAGTCTTTGAACTTTCCCACACTCAATTTCTTATCTATTTCACTTCCTCAGCACTCAATTCTTGTTGGATTGTTTTGTAAATTTAGGTATATGATAGTGAATGTACTTTAAATCTACTCCAAGTGTCTGATTATTAAATTTCGATGTTTTGAAAGTATGGGCTCCTTATCAGTAGAAATAGCAAGTATCTACACTAGCTCAAACCTCCAGCCTATTTTGAGCTGATCCTTGGCATAGAACATATGTGTGAATGTACTACTGATAATATGTGAGCAGGGATGGTTATTTATGCAAGAGTAAGATACTAAAAAACATCAAAAGTGTCAAAAGTGAGATTTTCTATGTTTTTGTTCTTGTAGCAGGATCCTATGTGTGTTCTGGGCCAGCTATATGATAGATCTACTCCAAATATACATAGAAATAGACCCCTCACCTCAATTAAGGTCCGGTCCTGCAGGAAAATCTTTCACAGGGGGTAAACCACCAGGAGAGGGGGGGCACACCATGCAACAGGGAATTATCCCATGGTCCTGGGCTCCTGATACATTGTTCATATTGTTGAATAGATACTGGGAATCATTTTTCCAAGTCTGTCCACCTAGAAATAATTAAATAGGAACATATTCTGTGTTTTCTTGCATATGTGCTATATCTATTGATGTAGGGCGCTTCAGGGGGTCAAATAAAGATGGGAATATACTCATATATGTTCATAAACATGTTTTGAATATAATAGAACACTTTCCTACCAAAGGGGCAAAAGTGCGAAAGTGTTCTTTACTCTAACATATGTTAAATGGCCTCTAGAGGAGGAGCAGGCACACAAATAAGCAAAAAAAGCGGTCTATTACATTATATTGTACATATATATACCAAACTACTACTTAGATACAAGAGGGGACCTATTGTGGTGTGGTGGTGAAGCTGCAGTGAGGTGGGGAGGGTGTGGGAATAATTGATATTGTGGAGATTCCCAAAATGGGTGATGTTTTAGGTGTAGTGGGGTGGCTAAAAATGCGAAAATGTGGAGAAGCAATCTATTTTTAAGTGTTGTGGGGAAATTCCCACAGTAGGTGGCCAAAAATGCGAAAATTAGGGGTGTGAGATTATTATGGGAGTGTCCTGACAGGATCCTCCATTGATATATCAGCCCTACAATGATAGGTATCTATGGACTTCAGTAATTATTGTATCCCATTTCATCTACAATTGTAGGTATTTAATGTATCATTCTTACAGTATGGCCTGGCACTGGAGTAGCGACTGGGTGCTCATCGATGTGTGATTACATCATAGACTTTGCATGTACGGTGCAGGAAGTTGTTTGCACGTGTATTTGATTATATAATCTTTGGCACGAATGGCACGAATGGGGCGAATGGGGCGAATGGGGCGGAAAGTCGAAGTCTGAGATGTCCTCACAAATTGAGGTAAATACAAATCTAAGAAATTCGAGACAGCAAAACTCTAATTTTGTGCAAAACACAAAGAATCTTTGCAAAGGAAAAAAATGCAAACATTGTCAGACTTCGATCGCGTAGTTTGCAACTGTGCAACGAACTTTCGGCAAACTTTGTACAAACTTTGCATATGCAGACGTTTAGCCATGTATGTGTGTTATATTTATTACGAGTCAGTGCACTGGTTGAACCATGTGCATCTTCTCATCCGCTCACCATGTCAAAGTTTGTCCCCGCCACGACCGTCCGGCTTGATACAATCATTCCCTCGCGTTTCAAGTTACTACTAAGCCAGGCTGCCCGCAACTATATCTCTTGCAGACTACAACATGACAACCACGAGCCCACTGGCAGAGCGGCGAGCAGTTGATTTATTCACTGTGACTGCCGTTTCTAGTACCCCGGACGAACTTGCTGGAATCTCAACCTACATATCTGATCCTCCCGCTCCCACATAGAAAGTGATTCTCTTCCCGGCAGCGTGTGGGGCCCGCTTTAGATGGCCAACTAACACAATCATGGCACTCAACTGGACACTTATGCGACTTCCATGCAGCTTTTGGATGCTTACATGTCTAAGACGGCTTCAGTATCGTCTCGTCACACTATCACGAAGGAGTTCCCAAGTACACTTGCCGTTGATGCTGCATCGTGTGCTCTTCGTAGTGGTGATGTCTGTCATGCTATCGAGATGTACAACCATGGTGCTAATTCAAGATGTATCGTGCCATTCGAGCGCCGTGCTCCAGTTCATGATGAAGAGATTCATAGATCTCAGCTCCCGCCTCGATAATCCTCCAAAGCTTTGAGAGAGTTGTGGGAAGTCATCGTTTGCCCGGGCCCCTGAGCTGGAATTGGTGTGAAGACGTTTGCCCCCTCCCCACTGTTTCCTTCTCCAAGATAACAAGCATTGATGCCACCAAATCGAGAGCATTGCGCGCATTGCGAGACAATACTTGGCTCCATCTCGCGTGTCACAGGACACAAGAATTTGACGAACCCTTTAAGTCGGCCTTTCTCATGCGCGACGAGCCGCTTTCGCTCAACTCGATGTCACACAGAGGCTCTGTCTTGGCAAGAATTTGCATTTCTTTCTGCCTGTGAAACCTGTCTACCAGTATCAAGGAGGTACGTGCCATGTCAGCGAAAACCTCCCGCGCTAATGCAGTACACTAGGAATACAAACGAAAGGCCACGGCGCAGGTGAGTGTCATCGTGCTTACTGGTTCTACAGGCCACTGTACTAACTGGGTTCTTCTACTACTACAGATCAGCTCTTCTTCGATGCTCCAAGGCAAGGACAGTGGGAATGAGCGCGATGACTAGCGGCGGGACCCCGGTGTGTGTGCATGATAGCATTGGCGTCGGGATAGCGGGCAGGGCGGAGGCGGGCATGGGCACAGCGATACCACTACCTCATCGACAAAAGAACAGTTCGCGTATATGGCTGGTTACTGCCTTTTATGGCTTACAAACCCTGGTAGATGGTTGTATGAGATTGTAACACATATGCAAGTAGTAACAGACACGTATAAGATGTAAAACTTGTACCGGAAGTGTGCGAAGCTTGTACAGTAACAAACAGATATGTGGAGGTATGCATGAGTTTGTAGCCTGTATACAAGTCTTAGCAGACACGTACAAAATGTAAGGCTTGTACACGAGGTATGTGAAGCTCGCAAAGTAACAAACAGAAGTGTGACGGTATGTATGAGATTGTAGCAAGTCATAGGAGACATGTGCAAAATGAAAACTCGTACAAGAAATGTGTGGAGCTTGTGAAGTACTGACAGAAGTGCTGAGGTATGTATGCAAGTTATAGCAGAGATGTTTCGAATGTGCGAAGACTGTTCAGTCCCAGTAAGAATTGGTCGGACGCCCTCTGGAGAGTGAATTGAAACTCTTAGTCCGAGTCGTGGGCAAGTTGAACTGTTGAAGTTGTATCTAGTGTGGTGAAGTACGAAATACTCGAGCCTGAGCAACGAGATACATATTATGCACGGACCTCTAATCGAACATATTGACTGATTCTTACTGGGGATGCAACATGATCAAAATTCACTAAAACCCTCTAGCTCCTTGTCACTGTCCTCGCCGTCCTCTGCACCCAGCTCGTCATCAATATCACTGTCCCCATCACCTTCAGTGGCTTCAACACCCTCTCCCGGGCCATCCTCGCCGTATCTGTTTTCATCAAAGTCCTCCCCTTCAACCTCCTGCTGTATTCCGGAGTAGCCATAGTCATCGTAGTCGAATTGATACTCGTCACCTTCGTCCAGTTCCATGGCTTCGCCTCGAGCTGCAGACCCTTCCTTGCTGTCTATCAAATCACTTTTATCGTCATCGCTGCCTTCATCCTCGCTATGGGTTACTGCAGTGTTGGCTTGATGTATGTCCAGTGGGTCACGATCGTTCAGAAAACTGCTTGTTGCTTCGTGAGTTGTTCGATGACCAACGCCGCCCCCACGAAATCTCATAAGCATGTCTCGATCGACAAAACTGTTAGATATCAGCAATGATATTCACCCATAACAGTGACACCCACATATTTAAATAGAAATAAGTCCAGTCTTCGTTGTTGTCATTGGGATGACGGGTGATTGATGGTGACATATATTCTGAGGTATGGCCATGAGTGAAGGCTGGGATAAGATGAATTCCACGAATGATATGTGTTGGGTCGATGAACCCAAACGCTCCAGGATCTTCACTCGGGATGAAGCCAAGTCGGTGTAACCGCTTCACCTTCCAGCCTGAACAGTGACTGAGATCACGGCCAAACCAACGCACCCATGCAAAGTCAACTTGCACAGGATCGTATGACAATGAGTTGGCGGTGGGATCACGATAATAGACAAGTGCGTGAAATATACCAATAATTCTGGCATACCAATAAGGATGGCCATTAGCCTCGTCATCCTCGTGGGACAAGACCATTATATCGGCATGAGTCCTGGAGTTGAGCGAGTCTTGTTCTCGTCGTAGATCATAGGTAGTGTAGTTGATGCGGATCACCTTGTGTCGATAGATACGATCATTTACAAATACCAGTCGGCTGCGCTCAGCAGTGGAGAAGGAGACTTCGTCGCCATCATAATCGTGTCCAAGTAATCGTGCGAGGATATGATCTTTTAATCGGGGAAGAAATGCCTAGATATTTTAAAATACTGAGCATTGTAGGATAGAAATTGAAGTCAGAAGCACTCACAGTGAAAGCAGGATCCCCTTCATTCTTCCTCAGCCATTGAGAAAGACCCAAAAAGTGGCGTGCTTCAGTGGAAATATGGTAGTGTACTCGAGGATCAGTGTATGGTAGCCGTTCCGACTCCTCAAAGCGCAAGGATGGCATCTCCGTTGCATCAGGAGCAATAAGATTGCGCAGTGGAGTGGTTTTCCTCTTCTTGTACTTACCCTCAGGAATACGTTCTTTCATCCTGAAGAGGATTCTCTCCCGTTGCTGTTGCTTTGCAATTCCAGATACATATCGAAACTTGTTCACTCACGGGTAAAAGCGTTTGATGCGCCTGTGCTCAATTTCACCCTATGAAACAGTATTAGTACTAAGTCAATTGCTACATGGAGCGTTACTAGTACGTACCAGCTGGGTTGTAAAGTTGTCTGTTGTCCCAAATCGTCTGATGGTATTAACATAATCACCCAGTGCGTGAAGTTTGTAGGTTTGTAGATTAAACTTCCTGTGCTTCGAGCGTCCTTGAGGCTGTTGCATTGCCGAGTTTCCGTGCGCTGAACTCTGTGCAGCCTTTCGTGCTTGGCGACGGCCACGAGCAGCTTCTTCGCTTGGAAGATCTCGGGTGTCAAATGTCTCTGTCTCGCTGGAAAAACGCCTCAAAATCTTGCCGAGTCGAGTTGTGGATGAATCAAGGAAGGATAGGGTAGTGTCTGTGTGCAGGCGTAACTTTGCCAATCCATGCCATGTAGCCAATTCAAAGAGAAGGTCGAGGACAAGGGTGTTGAATGGTTCTGGAAGGAGGTCTTCAAACACAGGGATAGCACACTTGCAAACCTTGGTTAGTACAAGTGCGCTGTACTAGCACCACTATTAGAAAACATACCTGTAAAAGATCCTCAAAGTCTCGCGCCGCAAGCTTCTTCATGCCAGAGGCATTGTCACTGAATTTGCGGACTGTACTCCTGCTAAATGTGGGTACTTGTCGATAACTGTCAGCGTATATTAATATAAGCAATTCCTGTAGTGGTTAAGCAGGAACTCGTATTGTTTATTCAACTGCTGTATTGTGTCGTGGCCATATGCGTAAAGAACACGGATGAGATGCGTAAAAGTGGCCTTCCAAACTCCCAGTTCGAATTCATGAAGCAGATCAGGAACAAACATGGTGTAAAAATTGAACCCAAAGCGTGCGAGCCGAGTTGAAAATGCATTCTAAGTAAATCAGTAAGGTGAAACAGGATGTAGTACATGAAGCATACCGTACTGGGGACAAGAGACTCAGGTACGAGCATCCGCTTGACAAAGACACTTGTGATATTGGTGCCCTTGACGTACAACCACTCCCGAACCTGTCTGATTATTGTCCATATCCGATGGCCATCTTCACGTATCTTTTTCTCGCGCCATCGTCTGTCAGCCTTGTTTCCGAGACCACCTATCTTGGTCTTGGGGATCAGGCAGCGTGGACAAGGGCACTGGGCGAGAAATTTAATTGATGCGAGAAGTGTTCTAATCGAATGAGATAAATCAGTTGGAAGTGTGCCTTCGAAAGATCCTTACTTTTCAGGGTAATCTGCCGAGTAAGTAAAAAACCGAGGAAAGATTCTGCGGGAGATGCCATCAAGACATTCAATGATGATCCCAAACTCATAGGCGTGCATGAAGTCATCATCAAGGAGCAACAACCAGATTGCCTGCATCAACTCGTGTCGACAATGACTGAGGATTTCAGCCGTCGCAGGCTTATTGAATGTACGTCGGTAGAAGTCTTGAAAACTGTCTGTGAGCTGTGGAAACACATCAAACATGGACTAATTAGAATAATGAAGCTCGTACTACCTTTGGAATGTATGCAAGATGGTGTGCTGCAAATGATGTTGGCTTACTTCGCACGTATTTTGACTGATTCCCTAGGAACATATAAATAGGCCAGAGAGATGCCGTTCCGAAGCTTGCAAGATGGGTCGAGTCTGACCACAGCATCATTGCTGCAATCACAGTCTCCAGAGTGCAGCCACCCTCTCGGGGCTGTGAATGGATTTTCTTGTGTTCGTCGAGCATTGCAGGCGAATTGTAGATTTCCCCGTAGGTTTTCTCTGCAGGCGTATTCTCAGACGGCTGATAAAAGACTTCGAATGGAGTAAGATGAAAATGTTCTGCAGCTGATTCGCAGAATGCCGCTTTGATGACTTCAAGCGGCTTGCGATAGAATAGGCCAGGAACCTCGAACAGTGGAGCCGCATCCTCAGATACATGTTGAACTCCATCAGCCGGGACACGGATCTTCACACCAGTTTCCTTCCAGCCATCTGATGGAGAGAATGATGAACGGATGTCTTCAACATCGCCCTGATAGCTGTCAAGGCGATGGGATTCCTTCAAGGCCCGAAACTCCTTGAGATCAGTTTTGTCGAAGTCCTCTGCAAGAATGACCTCGTCTACAAGACGATCTAACTCAGCCAAAGATTTTGTAATGGGGCCACTGTAAAACCAAGACATGAGGCGAAATGTTGTTGCATTGAGAAATGGCGCGAAGTAATTGGCTGGAGAAACCCGTATCGATCTACCAAATCCTGACCACCATGGTTGGACCCCAAGGCTGTTCGGAGTCTTGATAAAGGTTGGCGAGTCAGATAAATGCGCCGTGGAGATGAAGTTATCGGGGTTATATGATGGAAGGGAGTGTGTGTATTGACGATAGAGACCATAATGATCTCATACTGTGCTAATCGCTGGTTGGTTGGGAATTGGGAGGGGTAGATCTGGTATGTTCACATTGTCTGAATCCGAGGTTGAAGCCGGGGCTACCACTGGGATAGGTGGTAAGTCATCCCAGAATCTTTTCGGTAAGCGACGTCGGCGGTTTGGTAGACCCGAGGGCCGATATGCAGATGGTGATGGAGACCTTGGGCCTGGGTCCTGAACAAGACACCAGATGAAGATGACTCAGATATAACAAATGAATGAACATACCGGTGGTAACCCCGACTCAGCAATGCTTTCACGTATGTCCTGACGAGCTATTAGTGCTGCTGCTTCTTCTTCCTGACGACATATTTTTGCTGCTTGTTGGGTTTCTCGGTTGTGTCTTCTCTTTGCTAGAGAAGTAGCAGCAGCATCGGTAATTTTGCTCAAACAAAACCGCTTGTGGGTACTGAGAGCCCCACAAGAATCAAATTCTCGATGACAGCCCCTACATATGTGGCTCATGATGAAGAAAAACAAAAAAATGTAGACATAGGATTTCGCTAGCATAGAATCAACCTGGGGGCGGGACACAATGAAGGCTCGAGCAGAATCGTCGCGTGACTTTCTAGTTGCTTACAAACACCACCAGAGTTTTCAAAGCACATGAGGTTTGAGGTCGCGTGATCTATTCGAAATATTTACATACGGCCTAGTGACTAGCCAAGACCAACTAGTTGGTGTGCAATTAAATAAAAATTACAAGACTAAGCTATGGAAGTTCTAGACCCAGAGCCTTCCACAAGGACTCATGAGTGAAGTGGGCTATAGAAATTCTCTGTCCATCAAAAAATGCCTCGACAGCATGGGGGAGGATGTGTCCACGAAGTAAAATGATAGTACCAGGCTCATACCACAGCCTAAGATTGAGGCGAGGTATGAAAAGATGAGTAGGTCTTCGTCAGTCCAAATATCAGCATCAGCATCGGCCCCATTGACGGGCCCGTGATCCTCGTCAGTGATACTAGAGGCTACCATCTAGAAACTCACATCACAGTCAGAAGGGAATTGACAAGGCAAATGACGAGAAAAAAAGTTTAAGAGGCCCCACCACACGCGTGACAGTTGAATAACCTACAAAAGGCTTGTCCAACCTCGCATGGTGTACTGAACCTCGCTCACCTACAAAAGGCCGGCGAGGACAGTAGGGGATGGGCCGCAACAAACAATTAAAATAAAGATGGACTAAAGCTTACCTATTGGCCGGCCAACCAAAAAGAGAGGATGGAGAGGTAAAGTGAACAGAAAGAATAGCCCAGTTAAACCGTGGAGAATGTCAGGAAATGGACAATCGGGGGACAAGTCAGTTGCCGGGCAGCAATGGACGTTGAGAGGAAGGGTATGCGCTCGGTCATGAATGAAATTAACGTTCGAAACTCCGACCAGATTATGTAAGCCAAGCGGCTGACACAACGCCAGTTCCGAGTCGACATATCCGAGTTCTGAGCCCTACAACTACATTCATCTTATCTTCTTACTACTACAATCATGTTGTCTTCTCTCCACTCATTCACCGGCCAGGCCTCAAAATTCGCGTGGCCACACTCC